ATTTTATTCACTTGTTAATATTGAATATCCTAAAAATTCATATGGTTACTTATTTATTGTTACTGTTAGCGTAAGCGAATGTTTGTATTCCAAGTACTCTGAAGTTCACCTCAAGTACATCTACTTTCACACTTTCCTTCCGTTAGCATCTGCTGGTGTTTGGAAACGCTCCGAGCTTTGCAACACTGATCGACTGGACGGTCAAAAATAAATTCCCAGTATTAGGATATGAGAGTTCTTGTTAATGACATCTACACTTCGATCGTTATTTTCCAATGCGAAAACATAATTAAGAGGCACGTCCTTTAAAGCCCACTAGAGATTGTAACAGTAGAATTTTTTTAAAACAGATTTAGACGTCCTAGCCACGGAGCTTCCTAAAAAGGTTTGCTGCCTCGATTCTCAATTTCGGTTTCGCCCAAAAGAAAAGTAAACTGTTAACGCTGGTATTAATCAATGTTGACTTAGTGTGCCAAAGCTCTAAGATCACGTACACAGTCTCATTCTTTACTTTTGATCGAGTTATCACCCAAATAATTGGAGGAGCGAAAGAAAGCAAAAAGGCAAGCACAACCAGAAAACAAGACTTCGCTAACTTCAATTCCCGTAAGAAACGCCGTTTTCTTTTGGAAACAGGCCCACTTTCTTGGTTAACGATATCAACTGGTTGCTGCAACGAGAGTGTTTCTCTTCTTGCAGTAAAAAATATTTTGATATAAGCAAAAGCAATAAATGAGAAACATATCAATACTAAAGCGGTAGAGAAAATATGATATAATTTCATTGTGAATGAGTTTATAGAGTTTATTGCGATCATTACGCTCGTTATTATCACAGAGCAAAATTGAAACTTCACTAATTTTTTCTTTGTCACCGTTGTTCGATGCCTAAAAGGGAATAACACCCCCATATATCTGTCATATGTCATTGCACACAGTGAAAAAAAAGAAATTCCAACTGTCGCGTCGAATAGACTGGAAAAAAGACGTTGATACTTCATACATTTTGTAATTCCAGCAATGTGCCTCGCACTCAGCCAAATATGAATGGGCATCGCAGTCATTGCCACGACTAAGTCAGCCCCTGACTGAACGAGAATGAGAAAATAAGAAATTTTTGACTTGAGTTGAGGACAGTTCAAAATGGTCACAACGGATATACCATTTAATAAAACAGTGGCAATAAGAAGCAGAGACAAAAATACGAGCTGAACAATTCTGTTCGTCATGAAAATGTTCAAAAGATTATGGTTGGAAATTTCCAAATGCGAAGCATAAAATAAGCAAATGGATATTTTTCTCTCCCCATCTGTAATGTTCGCCATTTCTATATATCCCAACTTTCTTCTCTTTTATCTTTCATAAAGGCATCGACATATAATAATATGAAGCAGAGCTAAAGTACACTGTTCTGTTCAACGTGCTCGCTTTAGAATATATATAAAAGCTTTTATGCACGCAGGTGTTTACACCGCTATTCCATTGGAAATTAGCTACATTTATGAACGTCAAAACCCTTTTAGCTTGAAAAAAGAAAACAATTCATTTATTGCAAATAATTAAGTTATTTTTATATTCAAAAATAAATTGATATATTAATCTAATGTTTAAAAAAGAAATTGATATATTAGTCTAATGTTTAGTAACAAAAGACGTTAAAATACTTCTTGAATGAATTACTATGTAGGTAATAACTTTCAGATATTTTGTATATTGTGTTACTTTCGTAGAAACAGCTGCAACCCGAATTTTGACGCAATTATAGTATAGGCCCTAGTAGCCCTCAATCTAATAGCTATACTTAACAATTCTGAAACTATGTAAATCGGGAGAAACTATACGAATATAGCATCTTGCAGATATAAAGAGAAGACCTTTAGTTGATACCAGAAGCATTACGGTTTGATTCTTGCTTCGCGCTTAGTTAAGGCAACTAAAAATATTAATAGAGACACCACTAGTATAGTTTGTATTCATGCTCTCAAAACGATTTGGGCACTTGGCTGTAAGTGCATGGGCATGGTAAGGAAACAAAAAGAGCACCTTCGATTGTAAAATAGTATTTATAGCTAGCTACATTAGGTTCTCCATAAAGACATTTTTAATCCCAAAAAGGCGCTTTTGGTCCCTTGAAAAATTGGGGGGGAATGTCTAATGAGCCTTGAAAAATGTGCAGAATTAGGGCAGAATGTCTAGTGAGTCGGCTAATTTTCAATCGGTTTAATTACCTGAAAATTTACCAATATTGGGAAGGAAAGATATCATATTCGTATCAAATTTCTTACTTTAATTTCTATAAGAAAAAGGCTGTCAAAATATATAAACTATTCTCTAAGACTGATTAACCGAAAATGGGTATATCTGCTGATGAATAATTCTTTTACAACCGGCAAAAACCTTTTAGCGTCACAAAACGACGCAATTAGTGCATTTCCAAGTGCAATCTTAATTAATATTACCAGAGAGCAACGTGGCAGCGTTTTCAAATCACTTAACATCAAATGTATTTAACGACTGCCTAAAATAGACAAAACACTTCTCGACGTTTCGACTTGAGGGCCTTCGTAAGGAGAGTAACACTCGTTAAGTGTTTGTGTCTATATTATGCACTTGAAATCTTAATATTAGTCTTGAAATCTTAATATTAAAAAGTCATTAAATGCGATTGTTGCATATTTAATAAGATGTTGCGCCTCTCGTGATTTGTTAAACGTATACAGCAGCAAACTGCCTCCATGTATATAAATTTAGATACAACTTTATTCGCGATCGAAATAATTCATAAGAGTGAAACCTCGTTCATACGACGCCGGAATGGAACTCACTCTGTCGGTAGAAAAGTTACCGGTTTTAACTCTTTTTGGACGATAGGTTTATTGTTATGGGATAAGTGTTAGGTACGGGATAAGTGTTAGGTACCGAATAAGTGCTGCCGGATAATTACCAGATTAGTGTTATTACGTTTTGGCGTTCACATGCAAGAACATGGCTCAATTTCATTCTATTGCTTAACCTTATCTATGATTATTTGCCCGCATTCATACGACATTACAGACGACGTGCTGAATAAACCCTTTAAAAAAGATGGAATATGATACAGCAGTAGCTACACACGAATAACTTTGCGGCAAAACTTTCTATCAAAATCTACACTTTGCGCCAATTTTTTTTTCATCACCTGTGATGAAACCTTACGTTTGTTACGTGAACCCTACATGTGACCACATACCCTTACAGTCAGTATTCCGTTTTTAACTTTTACTATTCGCGTTTTCTCATATACCGCGGTGTCAACGCCATCCCTTGGCATCCCATAATGTAAGAATCTCGTATCGTTTTCAAAACTTGCAAGTATATAGTGTAAACCGCGGATTTCGGTGTCTGCCATTTAAACCTGGTCCCCCATATACATCCCGACTATTTTATATCTATTAGAAACGAAATACCGCCTTTTAATTTTTCACATTATAAGCATGCACTAAACAATCTGTATTAAGACGAGAACTCCGCATTTTTTATACACCAATATACAGGGGCGTAGCTAGAGGGATAATTGGGCGGGGGGTCAATATTCATATAATTATGCCCGACGGATTCCTATTGTAAGCTATTGCACTTACAAAAGAAATCTTTCCGGCAGAAGTGGATATATGAATCCCCCCCCAATTATCGTTCTAGTTACGCCCCTGCCTATATATAATGCACCTTCAGCCTTTCAAACACACACACTTGTACGAATTTCCTTGGTTCATACATTTGCGAAGATTTCTACAGGGACGTTGGTCACACGGTCGTTCTAAAAAAAAACAAAAAGTCGTATTATAATGTTAGTTTTATATTAAGCTGTAAATTTCTGCTTGTTCTAGTTTTTGAAATTTCCTGCAACATGATGATGTTTGAATTTTCATTTTACTGATAACTGTGGACTGCGCACTTATAGTATTTTTAAACTGCGCACCAAGTATAAAATTTCGCTCCCTGCGGCTTGTTATATCGCCTTTGGATTTCATGCAGAACATCTGAAAAAACATGAATTAACCTATACATGGCCCATTTTTAACCCATGGAAAATTAACCCATGGTTTCATTGAACACAAAAACTGGTGTAATAAAAAGTTTGTACAACATAATTATCAGATACAACGTAATTATCATGATTATGCTATAAGGAGGGGGAACTAGTCTTTATAATTAGCATAAAGTTCTCAATTCTGTCAGAATTCACCTGATTTTTCTTTCTGATTTTTAAGAAATTTAATCGCAAAGTTATCTATAAGAGTTTCATAAACAAACGCATACACATCCTTGCTGTTAGTGTCCAAACATTTAAAGTGTAAAATGTAAAACTGTTAAGAACCAACCAAACCTTAGAACCGAGAAGTTGACCCTCATGTCAGTCTCTAGCAAAAACGTTCCTAACTTAGTTTAGTCAGTCAATATTTTTGGTATTTTTTAACAAGCACATTAGCACAGCCCGCCTTTAACTCTTGTGGGCAGATCCCTTAATCTGTCTCAAAACGAGTTCCTATCTTCCCTCCTAAGGTTTACGAATGTTTATTTGTAATATTCCATTGATTTGTTCTTATAACGAAAGTCAGTAAATCAATTCCCTAAAAATATAAATAAACTTCTCGATGCCCCGGCTTAAGGACGGGACAATCACCCGGAGTCTCAGACTGCATGATTAACAGTTTCAATTCTGAAAAAACTTAATCACTTAATAACTAAACTGATATCCTCATACATTTGCTACATATATATTAAACAAACTATAACAAGTATATCATTTCGACACCAACCTCCTGAATGACGTGTTCTTCTTAATTGCGTTGGGCTATGAGGTTCGAGCCAGCGTTGAGACCTCTTTTCTTAATAACACATTCTACTGCATTTATGCATTCAATTTGCACCAAAATTCGCTTTTCGCATACGTCATACGTGCGTGAACTCATGCATGAAAGACGCGATAACTCCTTTTTTTCATGATATCTGGTAGTTTAATTATGCCTTGTTCCGTGTAACACCAAATATCTACACTCTAATATATATATATAGATTTGGACTGCTTGAAATGAGTCTGAATTAAAAGACGTAGTCTTAATTGATAACTCTTTTTTTTCATAATTTCTGGTAGTTTATATGCTTTGTTCCTTGTACCAAATATCAACACATTAATACATATATAGATTTCAATTGCTTGAAATGAATCTGAATTTATATAGACGCTGTTTCAAAGGATAACTCCTATTTTTCATCATTTCCAATAGTTTATGCTTTGTTGCTTGTGATGAACCAACAATAAAAAAGGCTAAAATTTAGCTCTCAATTTAACAACAAAATGTGAACACACTATTTAGATTTGATCTGTTTGAGATAAATCTAAATTTTAAGACGCCGTCTTGAAGGGTCGCTTTTATGTTTCATAATTTCTGGTAGTTTACGCTTTGTTCCCTGTGATGAACTGACACTCGTCTAGAGAAAGGCAAAACATATATCGCATTCTCATAATGACGTCAAACGCTCTGCATTGGCTCTGTATTCCTAACCGGCCAATAAAACTTCGTGTAACATAAGGTTCATCCGCGCTTGACGTCATTATGAGGTATTTAAATCTAAACAGGCGAAACTTAGCAGGAGCGATGCGCAATTTCTGACCTGAATCCCACTTCAAATTTATCACTAACTAAAAATTTGTTCGTAAAGTTAGATTACCGTGTGAACGTTATCTACATTTTGTTTTATCTCTCGTTGCTATACAACGAAACATTTTATGCAGTTTCTTTAAGGAAATAGAGACATTTTGTTCATCATAGAAAATTAGCATTGAGATTTCGCGGGAAAACAAAACATATTTTCCTTATTTGGGGACCAAGCTTGCTTCTTTGCACCTTTGCGATAAACAACCCACAGTAATTATAATTATACGGTATGGCAAGGGTGAGTGCCGGCCTTTACCTGATGAATTGCTTGGCCAGTTGATTTCCCCATTTGAGCCAAAGCAAGTTTAATTTGGCCATAACTCACGTCTGGAAGTTGCGCTTTGATTGGACCAAGTTTGAAACCGTCTGGAATGAAAAAATCGATGTCAGAAAAAAGTAGCCATATTTTTTCTAAAAAATTATGGCATTGTAATCATTTATTTGATTGTTGCAATTGATGAACCAGGCGGGAATCGTAATCGTAATATAAATTGGGTAGGAATGAACTGCCTGGATGTTGGGTAGGAATGAACTGCCTGGATGTTGGGTAGGAATGAACTGCCTGGATGTTGGGTAGGAATGAACTTCCTGGATGTTGGGTAGGAATGAACTGCCTAGATGTTGGGTAGGAATGAACTGCCTGGATGTTGGGTAGGAATGAACTGCCTGGATGTTGGGTAGGAATGAACAGGCCGGATGTTGGGTAGGAATGTACTGCCTGGATTTTGGGTAGGAATGAACTGGCTGGATGTTGGGTAGGAATGTACTGCCTGGATGTTGGGTAGGAATGTACTGCCTGGATGTTGGGTAGGAATGAACTGCCTGGATGCTGGGTAGGAATGAACTGCCTGGATGTTGGGTAGGAATGAACTGGCTGGATGTTGGGTAGGAATGTACTGCCTGGATGTTGGGTAGGAATAAACAGGCTGGATGTTGGGTAGGAATGTACTGCCTGGATGTTGGGTAGGAATGTACTGCCTGGATGTTGGGTAGGAATGTACTGCCTGGATGTTGGGTAGGAATGAACTGGCTGGATGTTGAGTAGGAATGAACTTCCTGGATGTTGGGTAGGAATGAACTGCCTAGATGTTGGGTAGGAATGAACTGCCTGGATGTAGGGTAGGAATGAACTGCCTGGATGTTGGGGAGGAATGAACAGGCTGGATGTTGGGTAGGAATGTACTGCCTGGATGTTGGGTAGGAATGAACTGGCTGGATGTTGGGTAGGAATGTACTGCCTGGATGTTGGGTAGTAATGTAATGCCTTGATGTTGGGTAGGAATGAACTCGCTGGATGTTGGGTAGGAATGAACTCGCTGGATGTTGGGTAGGAATGAACTGGCTGGATGTTGGGTTGGAATGTACTGCCCGGATGTTGGGTATATATGAATGTAGCCAAGTTCAAAGAAATTACATGCTTGCATGGTCAGTTGACGTATTACAAGCCAATATTGTTCACAAATGAGCTATAGTAAATGAGTAGCATTTTGTTTAACATGAATTGCAAATGTTCCACTCTGTTTATTTCCTATGCACGGTTTTTATTTGCGCGCAAGAATGCACCGAAAAATGATCATAATTTATCATACCTGGACCAAACTTGACTGACTTGTAAGCCATCACGACTTGCTCATACATTTTATCTGTTATACCAGCTAAAAACATCGAATTATGTAAAAAGCAATGGATAACAAGCCTCATTAGCTAGATAAAATGTAATGTTTATAACGGACGTCTCGAAACAAAACTAACCCATTATTAAAACACATCAAATATTTCCAATACTGTAATTTTGGATAATAAGATAGATCTGAATGAAACATTCCTCGTAATGCCACAGCGTGGGGCTCGTGAAACCAATCAGTGAGTATCAGGGGTGGATCCAGCACCAGTGCACTAATTTGCATTACAAAAGTGGTTATTTTTAGCAGTTTTCTTGTGTCATAGTGCTGGATCCCCCCCTGGTGAGTATGAACCCTAATCAGGCCCAACGAGTACCAAATTAAGCATAAATAAAGTTGCATTGCATTGCCTATTGAGAAAATTAAACCAACCTATAACTTGATTCTTCTAATGGCACAAGTTTCGGTTTGATGGTATAAGTATTTATTTTCTATACATATTTAGCAGACGAAGGGAATCGGCTTTTAGCGAGGAAAAAATCATCATTATTCAACATATCATTAATCAGCATAATTTTATCATCATCGCTTTCATTTGTACAAATAAACAAATATCATTGTACCTCGTTTAAGATCAACCGGATAGCCAGATTTAATAGCAATAGAAAGATGGCCCTCAATAGTGCTGGCGACCATGTTGCGAGATTTGGCAATTTCTTCCTGTAGTGTTTTTTACAAAAAACTTTAATCAGTGAAAATTTTGCATAATTCATATACAGGAAACATGCATTGGCCGAACTACAAGTCATATACAAAAATAAATCTCAATATTTATCTAAAATGAAAATTGTGAAGATGCTACTCTGAGCCACTAAAAACAAAGCTGAAAAATTAGCTGGACGACGGTGGGGACTTTACTAGAAAATCATGATTCATAAACAAATAATTACAAACTTATCATTATTCATAAATACACTGCAATACATGATTGTGCCTCCCACTAAAATCATGGTTTTTATAGTGCGCGGAAAATATACAGATCCAATAAAACCTACTATCGAAAGCGTTCCTTCATTAAATGCTTTGTATGTGGTGAACACTGTCCCAGGCAGTGAAAATTCAGAAGAAATAACTGGTTTCTAAAAAAAATACCATAATATAACATTATTCATTTAAAGACACAGTCGAGCACATTCACGCAGCAGCAATAATAAAGTAAGGCCTATACAGGGTGTATAAAAAACTGCAAATACTAAAATGAGTAAAATCGTACACCTGATGGGTTTAATTAGTTATAAAGAGTTCGAGGCATTTAGAAACGAACTTGCTTCGGACAGAATAAGATAATCGAAACAGTACCTTAGCTGAGGAAACTTTTTTATTCGTAGACAAATCATTATCTTTGCAAAATTTTAACACGAAATCGATAATCTCTTGACCAAATTTTTCACACATTTTCTTAGAGAATCCTTCGATTTGAATCAATGACGTGGTTGAAGACGGTCTGCGCGGGATCAGACAAAGAGAAAAAAATTGAAATGTCAATAGGGAAAAATATAAGCAATAATAGATCTTATGCATAATAACTTGGTAGTCACAGCAAATGAAGGTGTTCGAAAATGGGTACTGCTGAATGTTTCAGATGTCGAACTTTTCATGTGCCGAATTCAATGCGAATGAACCAAAACAAAGACTTTAGTTCATTTGCATTAGGTTCGGCGCAGGAAAAGTTCGACGTCTGAAACAGGCCTTAAAGACCTTATTATAATAGAAAATAACTAGCATATAGGTTATATAGGTGCTATATATATATATATATATATATATAATATATATAATATATATAATATATATATATAATATTATATATATATATATATATATATACATATATATATTCATAGTAACTGTTCGAATCGCATGGCCCATTTTCGAAAGGATTTATTCTAAATGCCGTATCCATCGTGCTAAAAGAAAATACGTTCAAATTCGATGACCAACATTATCGACAGATTCAAGGAACCGCCATGGGCACAAAAATGGCCCCAACATATGCAACATTGGTGATGGGTTTCCTAGAAAGAAAACTATATGAACGATTCGAGATCCGTTATGGCACGGAACAACGAGAACAATTCATCGCCATATTTAAAATATACTTGGACGACTGCTTCCTATTTTGGGACAAAACACGGGAGGAACTTGATGAACTACACACACTTTTGAACGACCTTCATCCGAAACTCAGATTTACAATGGAAGTACATGAGTCACAACTACCTTTTCTAGATATCTTACTATGTAAAGACGGAAGAACAATCTACACAGACATCTACTACAAGGGAACAGACTCCCACCAGTACCTCGACTTCAACTCCTGCCATCCCAAACACTGTAAGACCAACATCCCCTACACATTAGCTAGACGAATTTGCACGATTATCGCCAACCATGAAATTCGTGAACAACGCTTGGAAGAACTTAGAATATTTCTCGTACGTCGAAACTATCCAACAACCTTAATTAACTCAAGCTTCGAAAAAGCGAAAGGCCAAACTATCGAGGAATTAAGAACACCAAAGGCGAAGGAACCCGAAGGCAGAATATTACCTCTAGTGTTAACACACAATCCAAATAACCCTAGCATTATTGGGAAAGTAAGGGAAACAGTGAAAGTTTTAAATTTGTCAGACGAATTAAGGAGTACAATGGAGAAAACAAATCTTATTGTAACCAGACGACAACCGAAAAACTTAAAAGGAATTTTAACGAAAGCGGAATTTTCAACGTCCAACGCCACGCCAACTGTGACAAAGTGCAATGAACCTCGTTGCGGCACATGCCCTCATATAATCACCGGGGACAAAATTGAACTGAAGAATGGAAAAACGTGGACGGTAAAATATGACATGAACTGTAAATCTAAAGGAGTTATTTACATCATAATATGCCCAAATTGCAACAGTTTCTACGTGGGAACGACTGAAAACCTCAGAAACAGAGTAACTTTGCATAAGCAGCATATTAGACACGAAGAATATCGACATTTAACCGTCAGTGAACACCTATCTAAATGTAGCAAAGGCAACTTTAACATTATGCCGATCTATAAGTGTATCAACGCTAATAGACTAATAAGAGAGACCAAAGAGAAACAAATAATTAGAACACTAGAGCCTAATCTTAATGCATGCTAATTTTATCTTTGTAAATAACACAACTTTAACATAGTCACACTAAATAGGATGTATCATATTACACTATATGTAAGTAAACAAAATAACCACTGTCATCATTTATCACCTGAAGAGCTAAGAGAGCGAAAACGTTTGTGAATAAAGTGATATTAAAAAATACAAAGCAGTGGTTATGTTCGAATAATATCTCTCTAGTTGACAAGCAACCTTTTTCTATATCTACACTTGTATTTGGCACAACGCAACTTTTATATATATATATATATATATATAATATATATATATAATATATATATATATATATATATTTATATTGTTATATAGGTGCTGTGTATTTTATATAGGTTATATAGGTGCTATATATATATATATATATATATATATATATATATATATATATATATATATATATATATATATATATATATATATTTATATTGTTATATAGGTGCTGTGTATTTTAAATGTGATTGGTTCATTCGTAGTCACATGACTTTCAATAAATGCAATGTTTTCGCCAGGGAAACAAGTGAAAAATTGTTGCCCTCATATTGTCATAACAAAGTAAAGTGTCTTTTTTATGAAATTGTTGTGTAACATGTATGTTTCTGTTCCTATAGCTATAACAAAGCACAGCACTCCAAATCTAAATTTCATTGCTTTTAAGGTATGTTTTACAAAGGGTTGATCGAAAATCACTATCAGGTGCATAGCGCTCTATCCAGCTTTTGTACTACTGACCCCTGGTTTAATTACCTGCATTTAGCGATATCAATCAACTGTTTGTTATTGGCTATCATGTAGGGCGCACAACTTTCACGACTAGCAATTTCACCACGAAATTTCAGCAAATCCCTATATAGAGTGCCCTGGAAAAGATAATATAATGATAAAATTGTATGTCGAATATATTAAGATGTCCTAAATAACTAACTTCCTTGAGAAATCTAAGTATGGATGGAGATACCGACGAAGATTGGATCCCATTTTGCGTTAGAAATCACTATAAAACGCATTTAAGTTACAGCCATGTTGAAACCGGTCAACGACGTGTAGCAGGTGTATTCTAATAATTACCGAGTGATTAAGACAAAGTCTTACCTCCAGACATGCTTCTCTTGACGAGATGGGATCTTCGGTCTTAGAGACCAAGGGAGTCTGGAGCAGAGGACGTCGTTTTGTTTCGAAGACTGGGTTGGCAGTATTTCTGACTGTGTCAGGCGAGGAGGACACAACCGAAGTAACGTTTAGTGAATTACTCCTCTCTTCAGCCAACATGTCCTATTGCAAAGTCATTTTCATGTGTGAAAGTTCATAGCGGCATTATAGGCTCTATCAGCGTTCGAAACACTGATCTTATATGACAGATAATCATCATTTATTTTACTGGATAATTATTACATAATTATACACTTATTTCTGGTTTCATTGGATAATCCCAATGAAACAAAGGAAGAGCTAATGAACTTTCAGAGAACAAAATGAAAATACCACGTAAGCTAAGAAAGTTTTTCAAAGAATGTGTAATATTTTTTGACATTAGTTTGCATTATGTTTTAAATGTTACATTTAAACCTTTCGCACAAATGATACACTATATAACAAATACAATATACAAACTTTGGCAAACCTTTTAACAAAGGTCTTTGATCTAATTTTTGTCTATTTTAGGCAGTTGTTGACTTGTTGTACCACATTGACGAGAGGTTTATAAAGGCGCTGACATGCGAGAGTAAAATATCTGATTTAGTCTAACCTGGCTTGGTTCCAACTTCATACAAACATCACCGTCACGTGATGACTCCAGCCATCTGCGTGCTTTGTCTAATAATACAATAGATTGCTCAAAACTCGTCGCTAGGTACAAACACCGCACTTGATGAAAAAGTAGTTCGCTTCTGCCTACGACCATTCCTCTCCTCCAGGGACCCACATCTCTCCACATCTCTCCTCCCTCTGACCCACCCCCTTCTCTGGGCCTTCCTGAATACTCGCCACCCAAAAAAAATCAAGCTGGACCCATCCAAGTAATCGCTTTTTAGAGCGTTTAAAGCTTACTAAAGCCGGTTTTCCACTAGCGATATTTTTCGCGGGAAGCGACTTTATTCCTTTGTATTTGAGCAATTTGTTCCGCATGGTTGCAGTTGAGAGCCCTGAAACAAAAGTAAAATGTCGATTCGCGCGAAAAATATCGCTAGTGGAAAACCGGCTTAAGTTGCTTCTCATGGGTCAGAATGAACCTTCCTTTAAAAAAAAACTCCAGCAATATTTTACCCTGATGTATATTACCGTGAATTTCATTACCTGTCATAGCTGTTGTTGCGCCCCATCCATTAGCGACAGCTTTCTCTGTCAAATAGTTCTCACAAAGTAACTGGCGTGCTATGCAAAAACGAAAATTTAAAACTAGACATAGTCTACTACGAATATTAATTTTCTAAATTCAATGTGTATAGTGTAATCTGAAAAAATTAAAGAGAAAATCAAGTTCGTTCTGAGCATTGGTTCTGCCCATAACCATGTGAGAGTCTTCATATCGAACATCGTATTTTAAAAATACATGCAGAAGTTCAAAATGTAAACAAACCATTTGTTTAGGTTTACACGACTGATCGTACTCGAAATGAAATAGATTCATGCATTCAGTAATCGACAAAGCACTTACCAAAAGCTTTCCACCACTTCTCTGAGCGATGCCTAAAAAACAAAGGCGAATCTTCTTGATTCAAGGCAAAAAATTACACCAATTTTCGTTACAGCTGTTTTATACATTTACGGGTTGATCCTACCTACGTGCATCAGGTAAAGGTTAACCATTGCGTGTTTCTTATGAAACGTGAAAATTTTACCTCCGCGAATAACAAATCAGAAGCGCGCGTAGATGTGAAAATGCGTAAATTAAAAGCTATACTGCACTTAGAATTTTATTTTTGCTAACTCGTCGCAAAGTTGTTACCAACAAACCTAAATTTTGAAATTAAAAAAAAAATTCATTATGGCATAAGTCCGTAAAACAGCAGAAACCGTGCAAAATTTTACTTCTTTTATACCTACAGCGTCCGAAGTAAATCATGTACGTTGGAGATTTGACCAGTCAAAATGCATATATTGATAGGAAATGTGAAGTTTTAAATCAAAATCTTACTTGCCACTGCCATATTTTTCACCTCGCATTAGGCGCTGAGGTAGACGCCGGTTTGTCTAAAATACGAATAAAATAAAACTAGTGGAAGTCAAGTCCGGTTCGGCTTTGGTTCTGTTCATAACAATGCGAGGTCCTCTGATAAAAATTTTACCCAAATTTTGCATGTCTCAAATTGTTCTCATCAAAAACACTAGTCATAATCATTAAAAGCTTATTTCAACAATTTAAAGGCTTTACTTTAAAGGGGTATTTCAAATTTTTAACAACGTATTTCAAGAAGTATAAAAGTTCAGAATGTAAACAAACGGACTTCTCTTCCACTTTAAGGAATTTTTCCTTGTCCCGACATGAGACCAAACGTTAGCGTTTGGATTACGTTTTTGCTCACTTTGAACGCTGTATCCTTCAATGCAACTTTAAACGTGCGTTTTTAAGGGCAAATACCTTCCTAAATTACCCAAATCCCCGGCCGACTTACTGAGCCTCGAAGTATCATGATTGGTATACCAACTCCGTAACTGCCATCTCCACTTTCCTAACATGAAAGCAAAATTATTCGCTGAACTTTTAACAGAAACAGCAGATACGATTCGTTTCAGACAAATTCTGTGAAACTTAATGATGGAGTATCAATCTACCTTGATTGCGCTAAATAATAGCTTCGCTTCTTTGCCGCAATCAACTGTGCTTTCGTCTTCACTCGCGATCAAGCCAAGGGATCTGGAATAATCATTGCGTGTGATTTAATGAAAGATGACCCTTCTACAACCAGGATAGGTTGCAAAACGTAAACATCATTTCTCTATTAGTTTAACATACAAATTGACCATGCATTGTCCATCCTATTCCGTTGCCTATTTGTTTTTAACAAAAATTGGTTTAAGTAAAAAAGAAACGTTCCAGTGCAATCCGAAAGATAACTTTCATAGGAAACCAGCTTTAACGGCCAGTGTCCAGTTGCGTAAAAGACTATAGTTAACTTTTAACTGTAGTTGAGGACAGAAGTGGCCAATGAGAGTTGTGTATTTCTCAGTTAACTAGGTTTTAATTATGCAGAGTGTGGTTAAAGAGCTTTATAGCTATGTATATGAAACGACTTAATTTGTTTTTGGGGGAGAGAAGAAGCCTATAGGGTACTTTAAATTACCATTGACGGTCATCAGAAGTCACTTTCACGTTAAATAGTAAAAAATCTGTACCTTTTCTGACAGTTATCACAACATTCTTCCCCAAATTTGTCTTCTTGCGGCAATGTTTCCCCAAAGTAAGATAATATAATCCTGAAACACATCAACTTGGTTCATTTCGATTAACAAACGATACGAATTTTAATAAAATGGTAACTATGTAGGTATTTATTGTCTTTACAAAATTTCTAAAATAATAATAATAAGAATAAAGATTTTGGAAACGAATTCGCTTACAAGAGTGCAATTGCATTTGAAAATGCACTGCAGTGTTGATGTAACGTATAGAAGTGCAAACATATAATAGACCTTTCGTATAATGACGTCAAACGCAGAAAGTATGATGCTACATGAAATTTGATTGGCTCCACAAAACTATCGAGCCTATCAAACTACGTGTAACATCAGACTATCCGCGTTTGACGTCATTATAAGAAAGGTCTTTTGCATTATTATCTCAACACAAAGATATCTTTCTAAGTATTGAAATATTTTCCCATCTCTAACAATCTCAGAATGTATTGAGATATCTTTTGGTAAAAGGCTGATTAACGCGGTACCTTCTTCGACAAAAAACTGTGCCAATATACTGCTCCAGCTTGTGTATCATCATGATTTTGTGATCTCTGAACTTATCATTTGTGATTGTATTTGCGAAGTGCCTGTAAACGTTTAGAAATACTATTATCATGTCATTAAAACAACAGTACATTATACCAGTGGTTTGAAATTGCCGCCATCTTGGTTTATGTTCAAAAACGTATGCACAATTAAAATGTTTCTTGTTGTCGAAGCATTTTAGTAGCCATGTTCTAGATAATACGAGGAAAAATTGTTAACCAGCCACAGAATAAACAAGGAAAAAGTAAAGCAACGTTTTTTGCTTTAAAAAGTACTATGTAGGATTAACCAAGATGGCGTCTCATGAAACATTTTAACAGGATTGCACACGACGAATACTTCTACTGTACAGTGTCTCTAAAATATGGTGATAGGTTGAATTCCTCACTAGATAGAATTCAAGACTTAATCTTATTTTAAACAATCAGTACAATAAAAATCTCTAACAACTCACTTGTTAAGGACAAAATCGCCGTTGTTGTAAAACACATAACACGTACTTGGCAGGCTGGTAAATGTAATTATAACCATGCTGAATATTGGCTCATAAACATTCATTATTATACCTATATTTATCCCTTATTTCTTATCTTTATCCCTAGAAAACCACATAAAGCCTTATTCCAATTACCAGGTGATTCCTTTAATCTATAAGCGTACCACATTCTTACCCATCCCTCCCTGCGTACCACATTCTTTTACTTACCCATCCCTCCCTGCTCGTCCTATTTCTTGATAGTAAGATTCGATATCCTTCGGCGCTGAAAAATATAAAACAGGTCATATTGTGCATTTATTATTAGCTTAATACCCCAGTTTTCATGTCGTGGTACACTCGTAAACTTTTAGAAACAAAATAAAAACAAACTTCGACACTACAGGGTGTAAAAAAAGACGCAACAAAGAAATATTCATGAGCAATTCGATCACCAAAGTTCGAATATTCGAGTTGTTGCTTTTTTCTATACACACTGTAGAAAAACAATATTCAAGTTTAACATGTGAACATTATATATTCATGAGTTGTATTGCACTTTTATTTAGTTTCCAAACCATGTATATTCTATTAACTGTGATTTAAGTATATTCTATTTACTGTGAGTTCAATAACAACCACGCTTAACATCGATCACTAGTTAAGGCTGCTCTCCACTTACGCGTTTTTTACACGCACGTACACGTACGGAAAATTATAATACTTTTAAATTTTTATTATTTAACATCTAGGTCAACTAATGCATACTGAAATATGCAAAAAACTAAGTTCTTTCGATTTATTCACTTTTAAGGTAACATGTATAAGGATTTAGACTTTCACGTGCGTGTACGTGCGTATGAAAAACACGTAAGTGGAAAACAGCCTTTAGCACCTAAAAACGTTGGTAAGTTAGAAAAGTGACATTCAACCTACCTCCATAATGTACGACATTTCGCACATCAGGCTTATCTATCCCCATGCCGAACGCCACGGTTGCTACGATACACTAAAGAATTGTTAAATATATATTCTAAAATATAGCCATACAGGTCAGTGGTTTAAAGCTTCTCAAATGTGCCAATGGGAGCTGTGACTAGGAGGAATTTCATTTGGAACTAATCAGCAATCCATTTCTCTATGGACTATGAATTGCATTCTTCGTATTTTTCATAAGGGTATGGGAACAGCGTTAATTAATAACCTAAAACTTCAATGGTATCATTATTACCCACAAGCCTCAGAACATCAGCAAACTCATGATGAAATATGTCAAACTCATCACCTGCACTTCATCTCGTATGAATTTGTGATGAGCAGTCGTTCGTTTGTTGTTGGCCAAGCCAGCGTGGTAAACCTCGCACTTCACTCCAATACCTTGAGGGAAAACAGGTTATATAAAATTGTTTATAGAATGAAAAAAAGAGGATGTTACGGAGGAGGGAGTTTATAAATTTTGGGGAATTTATATACATTTGAATATCAGGCCGTTACCTACTGTGCTTGCACTCCCCCCTCCCATACCCTATACTGGATCATTCTCTGTGATTATTAGTGAATACCATGCAAATCACCCGCATTACACAAAACACGAAATATTTTCATCAAACTCATAAAGAATTTGAAACTACTGTAGCTTGAAATTATAACCTAGATCTTAGTTATCAATGGCATATTTTAGCTTCGATAAAAAATGTGTGTCCAAGGTTCGATGGAGGTTCTTCTATTTACTGCCTTAGGAAGTATATCACTGGAAATTTATTTCAAAATCCCACCATATTTGCTATACCCATACTGTTTCTATACTATATCCATAGTATGAAAATGGCAATTAGTATGGATATTATAAATTCCATACTATTTCCATAATATGAATTTTGATTTTGAATTCTTGTCTTTTCTCAACCATCACACTTAAATCAGCTTCACTTGCCTCTCAAAACACGAGCAACATTTTCGGTTTCTTTTTTTGTAGGACAGTAAATGATGGTGGAACCGTCGAATGATTTCGTACCTCTAGAAAAAAAAGTATTTACAATCAACTGTACAAAATGTACCACAAAGCTGACGCTTTGGACGTAAACTGCGCGAATTAATTAAAAACACGTGATATTTCTAACAAAATTAAAAACTAACGGTAATTTCAAACAACGCAGCATGTAAAAATCCATGGTGTCAGAAATTACAAACCTGGACAGTTCCGTGAGAAAAGGGCTCAAGTCTTGTTCAACATTAGATTTCTTGTTTACCTCAAGATACAGGTTTGGTCTGGGAGAAGAATATGGAAAAAAAGTTTGACTTTCTAATATTAAGTTCATAAACACACGTCGATATGATAAAAATCCTTCGTGTAACCAACCCTCTCAGAAAACAGCTGCAAATACCTGTAACTATCTTATCCTACAGTATCCCACGCTCCAATAACCTTATCCTACAATATCCCACGCTCTAAAAAGCTTATCCTAAAATATCTCACGCTCTAATAACCTTATCCTAAAATATCCCACGCTCTAATAACCTTATCCTACAATACCCATGCTCTAATAACTTTATCCTACTATATCCCACGCTTCAATAACCTTATCCTTCAGTTAGCGACCCTGCGACAATCCTAGCTGGCAAAACCCCTAAAATCTTTAAAAACCTCATCCCAATAGACCTACATTGTCTAGTATTCGAAAAAGAGCAAGAGACCTGTAGCGAGTTACACAAAAACGAGGCTAGTCAGGTTTTTTTCTGCAAAAATGTGTCCAAAATGATTGGAAGTAACATCATTTTTGTAGCTTCAGACAGGTCCAGGGGAAAAGTAAAAGTAAACATGACTTTGAAATTCCGAAAATGAAAATCTGACTAGACTCGCTTTCGTGTACCTCGCCACAGGCCTCCTGCTCTTTTTCGTATACGTCTATTAGGAAAGTTAATTTAGGTTTGCAGCAAAATTCAAATCGGTCATTGTTGACAGCACACACATAGAAATATTCGATCACATCAGCCACTTTGACATGTTTACCACTACACTTACAACTTAATGGAAACCAGGCATGACAGAAATAAATCTCACCTGTCAAAACTTGTCTGTACTTGCAGAGGATTTTTCAGTTTTAAAGAAGTGCAAATATCCTTCTGTACCATAGCAGTTGCTGTTGCAGTTAAAGCTACGACAACAATCTATAAAAAAGCAGTCGTAGTGACATTCCGACAACGAGTGGAAATGTTGTTGGTCTGTTGCAAACTTGCAATTGGTTGAATATGACTTCTTGAAATAAAAGAACTTATACATCAGAGCCTTCCAAACTATTTACTCGTGCACATTTTTTGAAAGAAGAAAATCGCATTAAAATCTTAAAGTCTGAAAACGGCGTTTAGATAATTCTATATCGATATTTTTGCGAAGCTTCAAAACTGTATTTGGTGGAAGGCTTCAATTAAATCAAGGTTAATTGCGTCAGTCGCAAGGATTTAATATGCAAACGAGAAATTGGTTGATATTGACAAATTTGGTAAATGACTTTATCGACAAGCCCATGCACATACATCTGGAAACCTAGTTTTGATATCTCCCAGATTCCTGTAAGACACTCTGAAGTCATGACCCCACTGAGAGACACAATGAGCTTCGTCAATCGCAACACATGCAATACCTAAAAAAGAAAAGCAAGGGCTGCATTTCCATGCATGTACATCTCAATGCCTGCATGGTTAATGTATGTGCACTTGTGTTAATATGTCGGTGTACTTACCAATATTTTTATGCACATTTTTTAGAAAATCTGCATCTGTTGAAATGTATTCTGGCGTCACGTACACGATGCGATAGTTACCTCTAGAAATTTATGTACAGCAGTGTAAGTATTAAGGTCTTTTCACACGATCCAATTTTGTTGGATCTAATTCACTTCTGACGTATGAAATATAGTCGGTCATTGATAAAGCAGTAGTGCATTTGCTTCGGTGGATTGCTGCTCGTATACATGGCAATTCAACAGACTGTAAAACATCCATCAGAAGTGAATTGGTTTCAACAAAATTGGATCGTGTGAACAGACCTTTACAGGACTTGAAAACACAACAATAAACAGCAGACATCACGAGAAATATATATTTCGTAAAATACATATGGTCCGATTGATCTGTGTGATAATTATATAGTTGATGGTAGATTTTTTCGCTATGGTCATAGGCCAAAATATTAGACATTTCTTATAGTCATTTGTCAAATAATAAATATCATTTCTGTGTCATAGGCGTACGGGCCTGGAAATTAAAGGAAAAGGCAGATAAGAAACTCTCTGGCGAATCACAATTTGCTCTCCATTTTAGGCTGGTATTTTTTCTATCGTGAAATTGCCAACTCTTGAGTTTAAATGTTAAAACTGACAGGAATAACCAAATATTATTACGTTGGTGCTACTCAGAGTTACCAACCGAGTAAGCTGAAATGGCTAATGACAGCCTGCAGCGAAGCTTAGTTCTCAATAAATCTTAATTGAATAATATTAAAAGTGTTAGACACTTTATGTTACTGTTTTGTTTACAAATAAACGCACGCGCTGACCATACAATGAACCAGAGATTAGATTGACCACGGAGGTAATCGAACCCATAACCTTTGGTTTGATAATCGCATGCTCCGCCTGATAAGCTATTAGGTGATATTCGAACCGTCTTGCCCCAGTAGTAGTAATGGGGAGTTTAAGATTCACGACGCGACCAGCTCGACGACGCGCTTGCAAAAGGAAGAAACTTTACACGCGAGACAATAGGTATGCATAATTTGTGGTCTGATGACAGCGTTGTCATTCTTACGACGCCTTCAAATGAGGCATTTTCAAGGCATTTTGTCATGAAAGCAACGAAAACATGATAGCTGTTTGATAGCTTGTATGAATTAACTGCAATATCAACTAGACATCGGAGGCTCTTAGCACAATTCAAACGTTTGTTTGATTATTTCATAGTCCTGGCAGCATAATTAATTTCTCGTACCTTAGTTCAAGCAAAGTAATAGACTAGCGACGTCGAGCTAACCACGTCTTAGATCTTAAACTAACTATTGGGAATTCTGAGTAGCGCCATCATAATAACCATTCACCTGAGTTATGCACACATCAAGAATAAAACCACGAACACAGATTAAGGCATATGGACAGTCAACCTCGTACAGGGACTTAACTCGTGGGGACAGAAAGTGCATATCACATGTGCAAATACATTTTAGTTACGACCCACTCTGTTGAGCTACTGTGTAAATCCCTGATTTAAAATGTCCGAAATATCCAATTTCAAAATCACAAAAACAAAGATGAGCAATAATACCTCATGACACCGTTCTTCACTTCTGCATGATTAGTCTGTGCTGAGCCAAGATAACATGCCGAAATATTGAATACTCTGTTAAAAAAAATAAATTACAGGTATTGCTTTAGTGTTTTTAAAGATTCTATATAATTATAAAATATTTCGACCATTATATTTCGCGCTTTTGCATGTCATGATTTGTCACTTAGCAAGTACGGTGAACATCAGCTGGCGCTCTCTTGTTAAGTCACTACAGGGATGAAGTGGGGTGCGGTCGATGCACACTCCCCAGGAGGTGTGGGCCCTAGCTTAGAACAAACAGGTGCAGGTAGGGCGCTAATCTGAGTATCAGTTCAAATTTGGGGAGTTTGGGAAGGAAATTAGTACCCAACAGTGAACTCAAAAAAGACTGGAACGCTAGATCTGCGAAAAATTAGAAGCCAATATGGCAGACACTAAAGGCTTTCTTGTAGGTATGATCCAGGCCTCCACGCGGAAATTTCGTAGGTAAAATGGCGGCAATTTTTATTTTCCTTTGATATTTCCGCGCCGGAGGCCTGGATCATACCTACATGAAAGGCTTCATGATCCGCCATCTTGGCTTCACTCATTAATGTGGGAAAGTCAGAGAGTGAGCGTTCCAGTTTTATTTGAGTTCACTGGTGCTCAATTATATAAAATGGCTCTAGTCTGGGGGGGAGGATGACTTTCTTTATGATATCCTGTGACAATGATATATGATTACCCCAGTTTCTGTACTTGATCTTGCATTAACGAGATCAACGGTGAGACAACGATGGTAGTTTTACCAGTATAAATAGCAGGGTATTGATAACATAAACTCTTGCCGTAACCTAGCGAAGATATTCACACACAGTAAAGAAATAAAAACGTTTCCATGGCTCCACAAAACTAACAAGCCAATCAAACGTCTTGTAACATCACGTTTTCTGCGTTTGACGCCATTATGAGAAAGGTCTATTACAGCTAGTGCTAATACTCAATTAACGCCTTATTAATACAAAGAACCGATGAGGAAGGGACATCCTCGTTCCCAGTTTTTTCGCGTACAGCGAAATACCTGGGAACGATAATGGAGGAAGGGGTGGAAAAATCGACAGAGAAAATGTCAATACAAAAGGATCAGAGAACAGGTAGAAAACAAACCTGTAGACATGACAACACAGACATCTCTCTTCATATCAATAATTGAGCTAATTATTGCCCACTGCAACCTAAAATTTCAATAAAATGCTCTCATTGACGATAATTTAAATTAAACCATTCTGGATGGTCAACATCCTTGAACCCAGATTTTCCGCAGAGTCTAGTATACGGAACCTAGGGACGAGTACAGTAAACTTTGGGTCAACAGCAGTACGCGGGAGACCTGAGTAAGGATGTGATATAGCTAGGATAAAGACGTTACTCACGGCCTGAAGTTAGAATAACCAAAATGCGCCTTTAAAAAATCTGTGTACTTTGAATCAGGTTTTACGTCCTCAGAACCTGCAAAAAAATTATTATAAAAACACTGCTCTCTCACGGAAATTTGAAAGGCGGAATAGCTTTATGTGTAGTTTTCATATACAATATAATTCATGTGTAGTTTTATGTGTAGTTTAATATCTATGTGTAGTGTTCAACGAAATAGACATTAGAAAGCGCCTATTTTGTTCTCACTAGCGAGCCTGCTCTTTTGATAGATCTACAGACCCATATCATAGAATAATGAAGGTAGAAGGTTCACTCAGAGATGCTAATTTTGCTCGGAATTCACAACGTTGTGTACTTCTGCTTTCGACATATTGAAGAACGAAAATTATAAACTAGGGCATTCAATGTCTAGGAGAGTCTAAAGGGAAAGCCCCCCCCTCTACCTGACCCCATCCATACCCCCCCTGCCCCCACCCCTGGTCCCATGGTTCCGGTGCCTGCTAATGTCATCTCCTGTGTGTAGTTAAATATAACTGATTTGAAAACAGGAAATAAATCTACATATGCACTCTTACTTTTCTCGTCAGTAAAAATGACTTGTTCAAGACAAGAATGACAAAATGGAACCAGGTTTTGAAAAAAGATAAATTAAGGCATTTTGTTATGCCTCAATATGCAACTTACAAGATAAGGTCGTATCATCTCCTTCTCGAAAAGAATTGTCATCCCTGTCTTGAAAACTTTCATTAAATACTAAAGCGTCTACGTCAACCTAAAAAATTTTATCATCCAAAAAAATTGTCATTCATTTGGCATTCTTATTAGTTATTACCATTTGTGATCGAATATGAAGAGTGACATTGATCAGGGAATATACTAAATTCTATAGGAATTTATCACCATACTACAGTAACAATGCTTGTTATTAGCATATGCTAACATTACTGATTACTAATTGGCCATAAGGAGAACAGTTCTTTTATTAATTATATATCTTCGGTTATCAATGGTAAACACTGCAATTTCATTGGACAAGAGAAGTTCAAGAGGCCAAGAGTGAGCATTAATTGTATGTACTCTTTCGGAATTGCAACTGCAGTTTTGCTCATAGCCAATAGAAATCACCCTAGTATATATAACAAGCCAATCACCATTAAGGAAACAAAAATGAATTGCAAAAGTTATATTATATATAATAGAACAAAACACGTGCAATTAATACCAAATTTATAATTGCGTTTAACAAATTTAATTTTACGTACTTGAGATAATACAGCATCAATGCCATCACTGTCCCCCCAATCATCCTCTTCGTGAAGAGATAACGATTCTCCATCGTCTTCATCCACATCACTACATAAATTAATGGACACTGGCTCCAACTGTGCTCTAGTTTCTCTATCTTAAAAGATTCATACGAAAACAAGTGTGACACAATGTATAGAAATCTGTTTCGTATCAACAATTATATTGTAAACAAGATAATTAGTGCGAAATTGAATTGACAAAGATTTCCTGTGAGATTGCAATATATCATGTGTAAAAATTCCTGTAAAAATCTAATGAAATTTCATGACATTTTAGCAGCGGTTTAACAGGTATATTACAATACAGCTACTCAAGGGTATCTAGAATGATAATTGATGAAAAATGGTTATTAATATATTTATAATAATTAAATGCTGCAAGGAATATTTGTAAAACATCACTCCATCAATTAATTTGGTTGATTTTGAAAAGGTAATGATGCATTGCTGTGTTGCATGTTTGCATTCTGCAGTATACAGCATTTGATAAGGTTGTGAATAGCTCAAACCTAGTATTTTTTATATATATTGCATAGACATAGCATTAGGAACTCTTGATCTTAAATACAATCCATAATTATGTCACTATGACTGCATGCATGAGTACTGTTTGCTGTAGGTATGTCCAAGCAAAAATACAAATGATTTGTTACCATTTGGATAAGTTGTTACAAATCAAATGCAAATAATTGTATGTATGGTGTAAGTTGTTCACATTTATTCATATTTTGAGAATTTTGGTTTCTGATACTTGCAGCAGAACTGATATTTGAAGTTTGAACATTGACTAACAACATCAATATATTAATTGAGTTCAAAACTTTTACAATACTTGTGTCACATTGTGTTCATTAATCGTACAGTGGAGAAACCTCCATGAAAAAGTAAATCCACCTCTGACAATAAACAATCTCCCTAGTATTATTAGTACAATTAAATCTAAAAAAAATGAAAGTAACTTACCACCAATATCTAATTCTAGATCCTGAATGTCCAAATGAGTTTCCTTATTCAAACATGTCTCTATATCACCGATAAGGCTGTGTATATTTTCTAAACACCCGGCAAATCCTTCATTTTCTATACTCACTGGACAATTCTTTGCCCTCTCTTTTAAATCAGTCAATCTTCGAATAAGCCCATCTATTTCACCAACTATCGATACATTCTTGTTTTCCGCCATTCTATCCCATACTAACTAGTGTAACATGTTAAATAAAGGGGTGTTCAATCAATACATGTCTGTCGTTCAAATGTGTCCAATGAATATGAGAATATAACTAAATATTGATGATTGATCAATGAACACTGGTATTCACTATATAATCGGCCGCCATGTTTTGTGCATAAATTACCGCGGGGAATTTTCCCGCCAATTGATTTGAATTGAGTAGCAAAATGTATATTTTCAAAACACCCGGCAAATCCTTCAATTTCTTTACTCACTGGACAATTCTTTGCCCTCTCTTTTAAATCAGTCAATCTTCGAATAAGCCCATCTGTCGTAGCAGGGGGCGGTTGTTTGAAAGGGGTTTAGCTTAAACTGGATAAACCAAAATTTAAAAATACTCTAATACATCTTGTGTATGACTGAACATGCATCTTATGCATTGAATATGTACTTCCATTAAAAATTAAGCTATTTACATCGTTCAGTTCATTTGTTGACTAAAGTAAAGAGATAATTTGTTTTCCATTTTGAACTCAGTATCCGCCGTTTAAGCTAAACGCCTTTCGAACAACCTGCCCCAGTTGTATAAAAGACAGTTAACTCAGAAATGTGAATTACATGACCCTGGTTGGCTAATTCTGTCCTTAACTACAGTTAAAAGTTAACTTGCAGTTAAAAGTTACACTGAGTAATTTATCACTGTAAATATTTTACCATTCCCAAGAGCTTTTTAGGTGAAGATCATTGTGAAGATGCAATTATATTGCAAATCGTTTTTCAGTTGGCAAGCAAAACTTCTGATACCCCATCCCAGAGCATGTATAGCTATATATACAGAATATTGGATAATGTTTAAATAGAGAACGGCCAAGGAACAACCTCGTTACCAGGGTCTCCCTGTTGGCCTGAGAACCGTGTACGACAAGTGTCGCAGCTCCTCACAAAAATGCTTTTTCATTGGCTGAACTTTACAATACATTTCTGTTTCAACCAATAGCATATAGCTTCGTTCTTCAGAAAGCATAGAAAAGCATTATCCAATTGGACGAAAGCTTCCGAGAGCTGCGACATGTCCCATGGAAAGACGCAATAAAGCAAGAATATATCAAAATTAATTATGATGTTGGAGATCTTAGGCCTAGGTCACGGAACGTCGCTCTTTCCATGTGCCGAAACAGACCGAAACTTATTGAAATGAATTATATTTTGTTTCAGCTCGTTTACAGTAGGTTCGGCGCGTCTAAAGAGTGACGTTTGACGTAGTTAATTCGTAGTTAACTCGGAAATACATGACTCTGATTGGTCAATTCTGTCACTAACTATACTTAAAAGTTAACTACGTTTTTATACATTTGCAACCGGTCACTAGGCTATAGTTATATATTAGAAAACTTATATATTTGACAACGCTCACTGCGTAGTGACAGGAAACAAACAACACTTTAAAAATAGGTAATAAAAATCAATTATATGAACCCGTGCAGGGGTAATTAATATCAATAGCACAAAAGATATTGACAAAAGAAATGAACGTTATTAAGAAATGCGACGGGCATCTTGCACGAATATAAATCGCAAAACTGATAAAACATACAAGAGATATCTCATAATCTACAAAGAACAGAATCCTTCGATCGAGTTTAAATCAGACAAAAAAAGCTATAATCATATTGTTATAGTAAATCGCCAAATTTTCTCAACCCCTAACATGCAAACGTGCAAACGTTGTAATTTATCAGTTTATGTACCTTACAACAGCTGTAAAAATTCTGAGTATTGGACATATGCGTCTTAGGCATTGCTTGAATTACATGGTTTGGATTTATACAGACTTTTAGGGCAATTTTTAATGATTAGCCTGCAAATTTGCGTAAAAAGAATTATAAAATCTAAAAAAATATATTTTGCACTAAAACTGATTCGAGGCTTTCATGCGGCAAAAATTAATAACCTTGCATGTAAGGCTTCGAAATTTTACAGCCGCCAGCTGTGAATGATAAAAATAATATTTTTAAAAAGACTGTAAATACGGCGTTTTCATAAGAGAATTTGAGCTTACGTCCTACGTTGACCGGCTACTCAATATAATTTTTTGCGGTAACATCACAAAAACCGGTGATGAGACTTTAGACGGAGAGTTTATATGAAGACCCAATTCTGTGATGTCTGATTTAATGGCGTTGATGACAAATGTGCATGTCAAGTGCGTGTTGGCCGACAAAAGTGTGCGCAGTTCATTACCGCAAGTCACATCATTGTTATCTGGCGGAAAACTACAAAACGTTGATATGCGCGGCTATATTGCTAAAATTCGCCTTTCGAAAACGTTTGCGTTTAATTGACAGTGCCTCTTGAACGAAACTCGACGGGTCTCTAAAAGCACCAAGATTCATTGTTTTGGCGGCTCATTTGTGATAAATGTTTGTGCCGATGAATTAAAAAGGTACCGCGAAGCGCATATAAAAGTATAGAGAGAAGGGAGAGGGGAATTCATGCAGAGCCAAAACTTAAAGGCGATTTCACTCCCAAAACAAAAATTTACGGGGTTATGTTTTTTTTCCGAGGAAAGGGGTGATGCTCGCGTGCCACGCGTCCCATAAAACAGTATAGCGTAATGAAGTAAGTCGTGTGACTACTCTGATAGAGGTGTCTCGAGAAAAAGTGAAAGAAATTCACTAAATGCGAGCTTGAAAAGTGCGAAATGCACCTGTTTCTATCAACTTGCGCCCTAATATTTCAAGTAATTACATATATTCAGTTTCATATCAAGCGTTCTTTAAAAAGCGTGAAGCTTGTTTAAAGCACATCGGTAGCTTGCTAAAATATAAAATCAAGACATTTTACATGCTTTCATAAGGCTGGTGATTTTAAAATCATTTAATCGTTTATTTCTAGTGTTATTCTTTTTCTTTATGTACAGGGAGTCCCCCAATAATAGTCCCCCATATTGAAATTAGGCTTTTGTTGGAATTTGAATGCATGCATGATCAACGCATTGTGTGTAAATTGCATAGGCATTCAAATAAAGCGTCTTGCCGCCTTCAATTGCATGGGTATATCATAATATAACGGCAGTCAGATTCTAATTTCAACGGAGACAACCTTTTTGGGACACCCTGTATAATATAAATTTGACTATTGCCCGTGACAATCTTAATTAAAACTATTGAACTTTGTGCAAGTCTTCAGTGTTTACGAAATATAATCAAACATTTGAAATTTCTATAATTATTCATAAATATTCCTTTTATGCCCTAACTTTAGCAAATTTTATCCTTCCTTGGAGAGTCGCGGCAAATTTTACTCAAACAGACAATGTTATCAATGTGAAACCAGTAGAAGTTTTTATATCTTAATTTATTATCATCATTAATTTAGTGAACTTTTGGGTCGTGAAAATTGAGGAATAATTAAGAATAAGGTGGTTTTAATATTTCTCACTTAGCAAGTTCATTTCATGTTTGTTGTGTGTATATTTACCCGAGACTAGCTCACCAAAGACACCTGCCTTTCATGCATACTTACAGCCGCGGCTATATAATTGAATAGTTCAGAAGCAACCTCATCCAGATGAACACCGAACGCGTCAGAGAGAACGAATGGATAATAACTTTTAAAAGGTAGAAATTTAACATTTTGAGTTGCAAGGCTTAGGTCGAAACGTGGAACTGATATTCAGTTTGTTTATTTTAGGCAGTTGTTACCACATTTGAAGCGAAGTTGATTGAAGAGGCTGCCACGCTGCTCTCTGGTTATAGTGGATTTATATTTATTTTACTTTCTTATTTCATAATTCAGTTTGCTATGCATGAATCGAAAATTTACAATTTATTCAAATGCAGTTACTAAGTCAGGTTTCCGCCAAAGTAATATATAGAATAAGGATTTTGGTATTGTAACAACAGTTCGCATGCGCATTTCACGGTGAATGATTAAAATTTAGTCTGTAGAGATTCAGTTGCATGCTAATAATTCTTCATATCATGATTAACCCCGTGATATCACATGATATATTTTTAGAAATCCAACATGTCTGATCCAATTCCTGTCCAATTCGTTGCTTACACATTTGGCATCCTCGCTATTCTTCTCAACGGAGTTCTCCTAGTTGCCATGGTATGCGACAGAAAGAAGATGTTTGTCTCCAGGGCTTCCTATCTCATTGCAAATCTGGCTTTTGCTGATTGTCTCAATGGTGTTTTTCTCATAGTTCTGCTGCCGCCTATTTCAGATATTCGTTATGTAACCGAAACGTTGAAAGCTATAACACTTCCTATGGTTTGGACTGTTTATTGTGCCTCATATGCAATATTGTTTCTCATGGCGGCGGAAAGAATTGCCATTCTCCTTCTTCCACTCGTCAGTTCTAAGTTGCTGACCATTCGTCGAACAGTTTTTGGAATTTTTTTGGCCTGGTTGATCTCGATCGCCGGTGGTTTCGCAGTTCATTACGATCATATCTACGCGAGGTTTTATATTCTTCTTTTCATTGAAATATGCACAATCGGCTTCATCGCCAGCCACTTGTTTATTTTATGGGCATTGCACAAAAGGGAGAAACGTTGCGTTGATGAATATTCGTCACAGGTCTCTCCTCCTCCCCAAGTACCATGCAGTAAAAGGATCGCGCAAAGAAAAGCAACGATGGTCGTTACCACTCTTCTAGTCGTGTTGATTTTCTCGTGTTTGCCCTACTTTATTTCTATACAATTATTTATATTCAACAGCACGTATGCCAATACGCTTGCAAGTAAAATTAACGTGGAACTTTACTCGAAATTCAGGCCGTATTTATTTGCATTCAATTACGTGTACTTCTTCTCAAACCCAATAATTTATTCCTGGCGTTTGAGAATGTATCGCCAAGCATTCTACAATCTTCTTCAGCGTATTCTGTCGCTAATTCTTAACTAGTTTATCTATTGTATATTGTATATCAAGTAACACCACTCTAATGAGCATTCAGAAATTTTTGTAAATGCGCACTACTGAAGAATTAAGTTATTATTATTATTATTGATTAAATCACAACTTACGTGGCTTCAATATTACAATTGTTTGGTTCCAACAGTTTTGTATTCACATTTGAAAACCGAGTTTTAAACGTTTTCAAAAGTATGTTTATCTAATATATTCATGAGGGTCTTTATAGATTGAAATAATTATGTACTTTGTAGAATAAGCCTTGTTATTGTTTCAACCAGCACGTTAATACTGAATTGTAGTTTTGACGCTATATAGTTATATAGTTAGTGACTCTATGTCAATTATAGTTTTGATTAATTGTAGTTTTGACTCTATATAATTAGTTAATTGTAGTTTTATTGATATACAGTTATTATGAAACTTGGTGAACTCAAAAAACGATAGCAAAATAATGCATTCATGAATTAGTTATAAGTATCATTTAATAAATATTTATCATCTAAATATCCATCTTTTCCCAGAATTATCCAGACCTTGGTCAGCATTATCCGCTGATGTAACCTTTGGGGTGGGCCAGCCCGGGGAGGAACTGGAGGGTACAATCCCCAGATGAATCGGCATTTCACCTGATCTATTATGTACAATGTTACAACTTCGCTCACCTTGCAAGATATGTTCATATGCGCCAAGTTGAAAAAAGTTTGTTTCCGTTATCACAGGAACCCCCCCCCCAGGAATATCACAGGAATAATTAATTGTAATTAGCTATCTGTGAATCCTTCTATCTTCAGAACTCCACAAACTCCGAACTTACAAAGTCAGAAAAATATATTTTCGAGGGCACCAAATTTGGCAACTTTAGCGATTAACCCTCCTAGAGATGCTCATATGTAGGAAATAAACTAGCACGTTGGTCATATTCGGCAAATTTTCTCCCGGTAAAGAGGGCTCAGTTTTCCAGCGGTCTTCGCATGAAAAATTAAAAGCTTTTCGTTTTACGCCTTGCTCTCAATTTTGTGTAAGTTGTCCGCTGACAATATGAGCCTGCACGAGTGGGAGAAACTTAGCTAAGTTGGACCTGCGTGTAGCACTCATTTATTGATGCTTCGTTTTTTTTCCATCAAAGATGTTCACCTAGTTAGAGAGTCTAATGTTATGATAATATAGTTTAACCGCCTGTAACACGCTCGCCAAAGCATGTGTTTCATCAAAATTAAATGTGTTTGTTGTTTTGCTGAGCACTTATAAGGGAGTTTATTTAGGCCTAGGTTAAACGTCTCATTTTGGTCGCATCGAATGCAATTCAAACAACGGATCTCATCCATCTCATTATCTATTGTTTGAATTGCATTCAACGCCACAAAATGCGACGTTTAACCTAGGCCTTAAGCCGGTTTTCCACTAGCGATATTTTTCGCGCGAAGCGCCTTTATTCTTTTGTATTTGGGCAATTTGTTCCAGATGGTTGCAGTTGAGAGCTCTGAAACAAAAGTAAAATGGTGACAAAACCGGCTTTAGAAAAGCTTGACTCTATCGAAAGGAGGGAGGATTATTTAATAGATTCTTCTCAAATATTCTTTGTTCAAAGCACCCGCCCCATAGTAAAAACTATGAATATTTAAATTCTGAGAGCACTGCTCGAAACGCTGCGCTTAATACACGTAAATACGCGTAAATAAAAAAATATTTTCCTGCTTCACCTAGATTCTGTTAAGGTGTCAAAGTTTATTTTCGGAATCACAATGATTATCAGAATTCAAACGCACATTTTCTTTGTTTGTTAGTGACAAATTAGTGCAATAATTGTATTTATTTTCCTCATCTCCAGTGTGTCTCCATAAATACAGTGGGTGAATCATCACCAAGATTTGAAAGACCAACAGACCAACATTTACCTAATGGTAGGGAGAAAAACAGAGCTCATAACTATAACCAAGTTTCAATCGAGAACTTACAAAAAATTGAGTAACAGAATTTTGTGATAACAGAATTAATTTTAAAAATTCACCCATGGCCAGTATTTTTTTGCATACGTCTTTTGCCCTGGCAGTGGAGTAGCCTAAATCGATATTTGGGGGGAGGTAGGAGGCATATTCATTATTATTATTCATATTATAAAAGACTGTATAAAAACGATTGATCTGAAAATGAATTAGTCACGCAGAACAACTGATACTTCAAATATAAAGTTTCGTTTTCTTGTATTCATGTGTAGAAACATTCGGACTTTCAATATTGCATTCAAGTTTTTCTGGTCTGAGAATTTATTAGAGTAGAGCAATATTGCACGTGCAAAATCCGACTTTTTTGTAGCAAAATGGCCTTAAATGGGTACGCATTCCTTAGAAATAAAATATTATTGAATCGAGTCCACGTCAAATTGTCAGGCCTAATTCTTCATTGTCTGCGCGCTTTTATGCTAATTAATCTGAGAAAAACGGAGAAAATTTTCACTTGGTGAGCAAAATTCCGCCTACTGGAAAACACGTTTAACGCCAATCTATTCAAAAAGATCTATTAGCACGAGATTATTGACTTATTGTTATTTGTGTGTACTAAAATTTGAACAGAAAGTTTCTTACGCAAGTTGGATCACCGCCATACGGTCCCTCCATCAAAGCAAACATTGGTATTTGGGACAAAGAAACCACAGCTGAAACTAAGAGACTTAAACCAAACAAGGCACCAGCATGATATAAAGGAAACCTAGAAGAAAAGCAGTGAAAAATAATAAAGATGGCATTTTAAAAACCCTCAGTTCAAATTAAAACCACAGGTAGATCTGAGCTCGCAAAATTAACGTTCGGAACCAATTTCCCTGTTTTGCAGGTACTTTGAATTTCAATGGTACTTACTCTTTCATTATAAATGACCCGTGTGTAGAATATAAAAAGCATCTCAGAAGAGTATAAAGAAAAAAATTGAAAACCTAGAGAAAAGAAAAAGAATTATAATTGTAATCAGTTATGCTTGAGCGTGGCCTGCAGCGTATAAACAAAAAAAGCAAAAGTGACGCACGGGGCTGCCGGAGGCTGGGAGCCCATGCGATCTTTGACCTCCTAAGATCTCAGGTTTGCAATTTCCCGAAATCGGTCGTGCAAAACAGATAAAGTAGAAATATGCACTTTCTAATATTGCATCGAGTCTAGGAGTTGTCAGCAACAACCCTTTACTATCAAATTTAATATATTTTACATATATTGCGTTACTACAATCGCACAAAAAACAGTGACGGTTTGCAATTATCATTGATATATACAATACCTGAAATTCAAGAAATGGTATCAAAAGACCAACAGTCAAAAGAATTGAAATCAATCCCGTGAGTATGAAAGACAAAATAATTGAAAAGTTTTGATGCCTTCCAGCTGGAGCCCAATCAAGAAGAAATCCAGGAACAAAAGAGAGAATAATTCCACAAAATTGAATAATTCCAAGAATGGTGAGATAGTAATCGACTGAAATAATAAATTAAATACAACACTAAGATGGTTTATTTAGATGATCGATATTTTAACAATCTATTTAAAAGCTTTATGCAACAGACAATAGAACTTTACGAACGAACCTTCTTCAAAATCATCTGCCAGACGTCTCAACAAGGAGTTGATCATTCCAATAACAGAAAAGGAGCGTAAACTGGCGATGGAAACAAAACATGTGTGCATTACAAACTTGGTACTTTTGATTATCGAGGAGAGGCTTGTTTTGTCTGTTTGCATATGATAAAAAGATAAGAAAATGTTAGTAAGACACAAGCACTCGCAGTTGCCTTATTCTACTCGTCGATCTCTGTTGACTTTACTAGGAATAGCTACAGTCAGGCATAGAATAAATAATTATAAATATGCACCCAACCTCGCAAACCAGGCTCTTTTACCTACGCTCCACGGCCCACGCTGCGGCAAAGACCCTGGTCAAGGCTGGTCACGTGATTCTTTTGTTACGCTTCTCCCGTGTGGGGATGGGTGGGACACAAGTAGCGCATAGATCACATCAGTTAAAACAGCGTGTTTCTAAGGACTGAATATTGAGCGCTGTTGTACCGCAAAGCGAAATAACCTGTTTCGTTATTGTTATTTGACCTCTAAATTCGCTCATCAACGCCCAAATTTAGAATAGCACAGGCCTTCGAGTGTCTGTATTGAATGTCAACAGAACTTGTGACGATACTAAAACCGATTCTATCGACGATGATACAGTCTACACATAGCACTTGAATCTAAATTCGGTTTATTGCTCTTTTTAGTTTTTTGCTGCGCCACACTAGCTGTATTTATTTAGTTTATAGCGTGAACCGCTATTTTTAGTTGCGTTAGTACAAAGTCATCTGGATTGTGACAAGTGCTAAAAATAGCAGAAATGGTATATCGACTTTCCCACTCCTCCCATGGATATGAACTAAGTGCTAATTAAAAACCTCCCATATTTTGGGAGGTCACATGACCAGCCTTGACCAGGGCCTTCGCCGCAGCGTGGGCCGTGGAGCGTAGGTAAAAGAGCCTGGCTTGCGAGGTTGATATGCACCTAGCAACACCCCGCTCCCCCATTACCTTGTAGCTACAGTCCCAGGGAGTGCCCCATGGCCAGGAGAATTCAGGGGCAATTTGCCCAACCACCTGTTACGTGAGCTGTATTTCCATTCGGGAAAATTTTTCGACCTTTAAAGGCTTCGTGTGACGGAACCAGGAGGGAGCGGATTATAGTTAAGTCGGGGGTGCATAGGGTTGCACTACTACCTTGAGCAAGCGTCCTACCTTGAATCTGCTCTTTGTCGTTTTCCTGTACTTCACGAGATATAAAGGCATTTTCACATGTAAATTGTTCTGTATTTTCATTTGTAGAGCTGTTGCTTTCCCTAACATCTTCTTCAATGTCATCCGGCACTGGCAGATCTTTAGGAAATATCGTAAACGTGAACAACATGCCTTGACCAACGACAAAGACATAGTAAACGATGATTATGCTTCTGAACGAAACCCCAGCATTGAAACACAACTGCAACAAAGCCATAATATAAAATAAACAATTAATATCACCCCATTACAAACAAAACCAAAGAATTACAATGATTTCCAGTCCTTCTGAAAAAGACTTAATCCAGTTACGATGATGATATACCTTAAATACAAGAAGGACAACTGCTGATGAATCAATTGCTCCATTTATAATACTGACGGCCATATAACGTCGTTGAGGAAGAACACCACAAACCTGGAATGAACCAAGATGTCATAAAAAATAATTACAAATCATAGCCTTATGCTAAAGTTACGCAAGGCTTTATCTTATTTAGAAATATGCATGTAAAAAAACTGTAAAAATAGGTATATTAATTGCATGACAGGGATTACTGATTGAGTTTTTCCACAAGACGCCTAAGGAAATACAATTTTCGGCCATTCGCAATCATTAATCGCTTTTTCCTTTCATGTATGACATATCGTGGGGTTAAATAGGTAATTAGGTGAAAATACTTATCACCCTCTCAGAACTGATACTTGGGTAAACAGGTCTTAAGTCGTCACTTATCATTATTCTCATATTTTTTAAAAAAATGTGCGTGCTGTAGGCAAGACAAGCTCTTATGTCAATCAATTGTGTTTTAAATGTTGCCCGGTCGAGGATGAAATAGACTACGTCATCAAAAGTTTAATTCGATAAAATCATAAGAGTAAGAGTGGGAAAAGTTGAAAGATATTGTTCGCAGAGGTATTGTTTGTACATTTTACTTGTCTTTGATGATAAATATTTTAAGTTGTGAATATTTTAAGTATTGATCGATTGAGCAGAAGACCAACTCGACTAGTGCGACAACGCCTTAAACAAACAAGATATGAGAGCTGGAACGAGCTTCTAATGCCAACTCACATTTCTAACTTACAACGCTGATTGGTTGGATAAGGATCAGACTACTCTGGTTGATGACGTGCGCAAGTTTCCTTCAACCGTTTCTATAAAAGGACGGCAACACCCGAACCAGTAGTGGACTAACGGAGTAAAAGTCTTATGAAACGTTAAGATCGAAACTCAAGAAGAAAATCTAGAAGAGAAAGAGCGAAGCAAGAAGAGAACATTAAGAACACTAGTAATTCATTGTAAAAGATCCACTACCTCGCGTATATTATAAACAAACCACTTTTTCTTAAAACTAAACATGGTTTTCCTTAGCAATATATTGCTGTTAATCAGCAGTTTCTCTTGACATGGACAAATTTGAACGCACGTATAACCTGAAAGTTTCAATTACTCTGAGATTTTTGAGTTCAAAAACAGGAAATTCAAAGAGTCGCACCAAAGTATCATAATATTCCCAAAATTTAAGATTTATGATAATACCATTTCAGGCGATGCTAATAGAGTGTTCAATTCATGCGGGTTTAACTCGTATGTGGTTGATAGTTATAGTTTAGCCATTAAGCATGACAAAATACTATAATTATGATGCCATAATACGGTAACTATTATCCGCTATGAGCATTCTCAAGCTATGTTCCTAATAACTAGTACATTTCAGTGAGATTCACTGCATGTATGATTTCAATCTGAAATTCGTATAAAAATAAGAACTATATACTGAAATAATGATTCATGAGAAGTTGTTTATTTTACTGGGCAGTACCTTGACTAAAACTGCCATAAAAAATCCTCCACCAATTACAGTTAGAAGTAAACCAGGAAAGAGCAATTCATGTAAATCTAAAAACAAATTTATGTCATAAAACCTGAAGCATGGATGAATTAACAAATCAGTATCATAGCTGCATATCTTTTTCTGAGGACTTATTAATCGAGACACCTACGTATCTCAAACTATAATATTCTAAAATCTTAGCAAATTATTAGCATTAAAAATGCATTGTTCCACTTCTGTGGGATTAAAATTTAAAATAGCTAGTTGCATTTCCAGCGACGTAATTAGACCTCTAAATTGGGGTGAGGTGTATATTGATATATTCATGCTTATATATCGTAAGAACAATCAAGCGAACAAAAGAAAGCAGTCTTGCATTAGACAATAATTATATAAATATACGATTGAGGGGCGGGGGCAAAGTTGCTCTCCCCCAATTTTGTTGAATGCTCTTCCACCCCAGTTTCCTCCCAAATAATTTAATGTGACGCAATAGTTTATAATTATTTTATGCGATGTTCGCTTCACTTATACCCCACATTCATTTAAACTGGCGTCGCCACCAGAGCGATGCCCAGTCGGTCATGCAAACAACATTTATAGGTTCGCTTTAGGTGTGAATTTGGGCTGTAGTTGGCCCAACATTTATAAGATGAACGGATAGACTCGTCAGGACGCTACAATTAAAATCTTCCTAAATGAATCATAAGTAACAAAACGGGCACCACTCTTGAGCTAGTAAATAGGGGCAGGTATAAATTCATGGTTCAGGCCACTTTTACCATATGCCGGATCCGTGCGATTCAAAGACAGTGAAAAATTTATAATTTCAAATTAAATAAATATAATACAACTAATATAAATACATAATAAATACAACTACAGTTAATAAACATTTCCCACTAATTAAACTTTGCTTTTTTCATGAACGCTGTAGAGCCTGAGAACGAGGTTGTGCTCTTTTAAGTCAAACGGCAATGACGTACGAGGGAAACCTGTGTAGCGTAAACGGAACTTTATCTAACTAGCTTACCATACGTTGACATAAACATCGTTCCACCAGCAAGTAAATAGATGAAGCTGAAAAGATTGAAGAATAATACGATTAAGCACTAACACATTCACATTCGTACGTTCCTTTATACATACATAAACTTTATTTAGACACGCTAACCTGAATCAGCATTGAGTTGTGTTTCATGAAGGGCGTGCAGGCAAGTACATATCAGGGTTCTGCGAAGGACTTAACTAGTGGTGCTCACCAAATCTAGAATTCATCGAAGGGTATGGCAGTATGCCCACCCCCTGAACGCCCTTACCACGCCCTTATGCATTCAAAGAACAACAGAAAGCATCAGCGTGTAATGCCGCGAATACCATCAGGAAAGATTTCGAAGCATAGCTAATTTTCAGAAATTTTTATCACGGAACATATCATCACAATAGAATAGTGGAGAGGGGGAACATAATAAAAATGGTCCTAAAAGGCAATTGGCAATTTAAGGAAGGGGAAATTGTAGGGGGTGTGTAGGACCTCTTACGGAAAATTTTCTGTATTTTTGAGTCCCTATGATTTGATTTCTAGCATTTTGGGTGACAATTACTGACGAATCCACCTCGGCAGAGTGAGGTCTGTTCAGAAAATACCATTTATCACTGCACATTTCTCATTTTATCACTGCACATTCTACTTTTATCACGGCACACTAAAATTAGGTATGATTCGAAGTTCAACAAGTTATAATCCTCAGAAGATAAGATTATGTGGATTTGATTGGATTTGGATCAGTAAAAGCATGGAGCCGAGAAAATTTTGGATTAATTTTAAGCAGTATTTTCGAGTTAAATTGTTCTGGTTTCCATGCCAGTCATTTTTATGGCCATTCAGCCATATGACATATTCAGCCTGCAAAATAAGATATTATATTTTGCTGTCGAAAACTATGCAAGTTGTAAGCGCCTGTTCGTTTATAGCTGCATGGTCGAACTTGCCAATAATTATTAATTTCTTCACCGCATTTTCCCGAACCTGCCTGGGTGTCTATTGGGTGACGGGGTCATTTGATCGGCAATCTCCATAAAGCAATACTAGATAATAATATTATAAGTTATATTAAACATTATGCTTATTCTATACTGCCCATCGTCAAACAATCGCATGCCACTTACCATGATAATACTCTTGCTTTTCTAAAGCCAAAAACATCCAAAAATTTTCCACCGAGAAATATTGAAACAAAACTTGTGAAAGCAGATAATGTATAGGCCAATATAAGAAGACTGTCTTGTCTTGCACAAGTGTCGCTGACATCGTCACTGATGGAAGAAGTTCTATTTTTTAATTGTGAAATAGTTTTGTTAGAATCAGCCTCATTAGTTTCACAATAAGACGCGAAATAACGTTCGCTATGAAGTATTTCCAACAGTTGAGCCCATCCAAATATACACGCTGTTGAAATAACGCTTTCGAATACGGCCCATAAAACCAAACAAATGTAATAGACTTGCATATTCAGCAATGTGAATACAACAAAAAAATCTATAACATTTCATAACGTTCTGTAACCGCTTAGTTAAAGTTATTTTTTCTACACTATATTCCTTCTCTTTCATGTGTTATAATTATATAAATCACAGGCATTTTGACAAAGCTCGATTGAACTTATTATATGATTCTTTCATGCATGTGGCTTTATTGACGAATGTGAAATTCTGTGGTAAATTTGCAATTCAAATTACACATTCACTCGTCAACAGACAAAGATTAGTGCTACGTCACACGATGCAAATCACTTCTGATGGGGTACGTCATTGCACAGTATAGTCTGTTTAGTTACCTTGTACAGGGTGTCTAAAAAAAAAACGCAACCACTTAATATTCTAAAATTCATATTGTTCATAAGCTCAATAGATTTTATCCCCCTGGGATATTTTAAAATCCTAATCGTACAGTTCAACTGCTAAATCAGCTAAACTAATAATGGTGCAGCTAACAACCGAACAACGAGTTTTTATTCTCGTGCATGATAACTTGAATGCTAACTGTCGACCTTGTAAAATAAATTGTAAATAGAATTTTACTCGTTAAATACTTTCAATTCAGCTCTTTAGTTTACGCACCCGACTTCGTTTACCGACGATTGTGCCGCTAGAATATGATCAGTACAAGCTTTCTCGCATTCCAGGGGCCAAACGTCTTTTGTGTTGTAGAACAAAGAGGATATTCATGAATATTAATGCGTTTTTTTTATACACCCTGTATATGCACAGCAAATTAAGTCAACAAAAGTCAGTGCAGTACTGCTTAATCAGTACCAGACTACAACACTGAACATGCACTCATACTTCATGTACTCATATTCCTACAACATCGTGTGAACGGAGCCTCACACTATCAATAAGCGATCAATGCCTGAAGACATGGAGTTTGCATCATGTAAAAGCATTTGTTCTTATATGTATATCAACTGGTTGTGAATTTTTCTTAGTCCGTCCTCACCAACAGAAGGATGTTTCGTCAAGATGAACTACAATTCAAATTGGTCTAAATAGATGAACTATGCGAAAAATTCGTGTGTTTGCACATAGACGAACTAGAAGACGAACTATCTTTCGCTTGCCCAAGTTCGTCCAGACGGCTGTCAACCCGTCTCTATCGGGAGTTCTAGAGGGTAATTCGTTTAAACAAAACCATTACCACCGAGGAGTAATGTCGTAAAATTCAGAGGAATGACATAGTTCCTCGATTATTTTATATGAACATGGCAAACGGGCAAAAGAATTGTTAAATAAGACAAGTTAAAATGATTAAAAAACTCTTAATCTTCTAATCATGCACAAAAATCGCTATAAACATATTTCAAATTCACCCTCCGGAAAGACTGAATCGCTTGAATTTTCGCCTCATCACAATACTGCAAAGTTTCTTCGAAAGTCTTATGAACAGTGCCCTCCAGGGGCCAGTTGTATAAAAGCTGGATAGCGCTATCCACCGGATAGGGATTTTTTCAACCGTTCTAAAAATGCTCGAAAAGCGATGAAATTTCAGCTTTGCAACCAACAATTATTAAAGAGTATCCTCGAATTAGGAACACTAAGAAATATCAATTATATCAGAAAAAATTAACACTTATTTACTGGGAACGAAGGAAACATTATGTTTTGTGGACCCGAGACCTGTCGATATTTCACGAGGCGAAGCCGAGAAAATTTCGTCATTCTCGCGTGATTCGCTCTCGACCAATGAAACGCTACGAAAACAAAACTTTGACAAGTGGTATAATAATAATATTTAATTATCGGTGGATAGCGTTACTCAGCCCAAGGTGATTAATTTTGCCGAATCGAACTTTAGACCAGTCTAACATTTAATGGACGGATGAAATAACATAGTGTAAGGAACAGATTTACAATATCCCTGCTGTACCCTTACAAAAATTTCACATAACATTTCATATGAAATGAAAAACTTCATATATGAAATTTTCACATAAGAAAAGTGACTTTAATATATGAATTTTATTTTTTAGTATTAATTTTCCTATGTAAAAAAACAATTCATACATGAAATTTTTTGCTTCTCCGATGAAATAATTTAAATTGTGCATGACGTTTATTTTCACATGTGAAAAGTAAATTTCATATATGAAATTTTAGTTTCACATGCATATGAAATTATTTAAATATCATATGAAATTTTACGTTCACATGTGGAAAATAAATTTCCTAATATGAATTGCTACTGTCACATACGAATTTTGATTTTTTTTGTATTACGTTTTCCTATAAGTAAAACGATTTATTCATGAAATCTTGTCTTCCTAAGTAATAAAATGATTTAAATGGTAACCATTCATGTCATTAAATTTCACCTGTACATGTGAAAAATAAATTTCATATATGAAATGCCAGCTTCACATGTGAAATTTGTTTCACATATGAATAATTAAAAGCTGATACATATGAAATTTCACCTTCACATGTGAAAAGTAAATTTCATATATTGAAATTTTTTTCACATGTGAGATTGTAAAAAGTTCATAATTTATCAGTTTTCATTTTCATAACATTTTTGCGTATTTTTGCGTATTTTAACATATTACCCATCTGGGCTTTGATGTAAAAGGAATTTGGTTACCTAGGAAATTACTTTCGAGCGCAAAGCTGTTTATGAAATGCCTTGGTCGCTACAGGGACGTTGCAAGAAGCGGGAAACACAAGTTGTATCTGTGATTAAAAACATGGTAGTAGTTACCGTACGTCTAATTAAGTATAATTTTATGTGAAATGATGGTGCAAATTTATGTGAAATGATGGTGTTTTATATAAATTAATACATTATTGTACCATGGACCCAGTAAAAATATACCTGTCATTTTGGTCCCAATTAAAAATCCCCCCCAACCCTCTTAAAGAACCTAAGTATATTATTTCATAAAATATATTATTTTTATGGATTAACAGTTTTTAGATCCACTTGATCTGGATAATGGTTTGATATTGTTCCGGCGCATTTCCATAAATATATTGGATGAACCATCACTACCATTTGAACAACTAACAAACCAGCATTCACCTATGGTTAAAATTAATATTAATAGATAATTATTATAAGATATTAGTGATAACGAGAAAAGAAACTCCAAACATGCCAATAGACCTTAGGCATAATGACGTACCAAGTCGTGGCACCTGCAGGGAATTCTGATCTTAATAGTCACGGTGGGAAATTTTGAAGTTGGAAATTTTGAAGGTTAAAACTACTAGTTAACTATAGGTTATTTTTAACTATTTCGTATACGTAAGAATAACGACCTATTTTAAACTGGTTCTCTTAGATTCATCCAAACAACCTATTTTTTTTGTTATTTGAACGTAATTGTTTCTACAGGGAGAGTTAATGATCTTGGCAACTCGGACAAAAAGCATACGAATCAATTTGACGCAGGTGTAGCTGGAGTGTTTCAAAACAACTTGATCCTATTTTGATATCATTAAACAGTGTACTCTCCTTTTGTGCTGATTGTTTTGACGAGGGTCTTCAATTTAGAACAACTAACGTCATTCGCTCCTCGTTAACTTCTACTCATCCCAAGATTGAGGGATATGCGTTAGGGCAACACTCTTATGTTCTTAACCTTTTGAGGGGCATCCTCAATAATCGTCATCTAAAACCCCTTGCATTCTACCGCTTGTATCCTCATATATTTCGACCTGTGTTCATGAAATACAATTCCAATCACACAAGGGGTGCAAGCCTAATGGTATAATTGAGACTATATGAGTGAATGAAGGGAGAAATATATGAATGCTATCCAGTCCCCCTCAAGTGTGGTGGCTACGCTTAGTGTAAAAGCCACAGGAGGATTATGGGACGCATGGTTTCAGGGGGATATGCTATTGATTTTTTTGTTACTTTGGAGGACCTGACCTCAAAATGTTAAAAGCTGATACGAAGACCAAATAGGTAAGCCATACCGCTTGTATTCTCTTATATCTCTCTTTTCGTTCACTGATATAATTCCAACTATACCATCTGCCTTACAGTCTTTGTATAATTGGAATTTGTTGCTCAAAAAGCTATAACGTGATCAACAGACTTGAAATTATGATATGAAGTTTCTTACCCAAGTTGGATCACCGCCATACGGTCCCTCCATCAAAGCAAACATTGGTATTTGAAACAAAGAAACCACAGCTGAAACTAAGAGACTTAGACCAAACAAGGCACCAGCATGATATAAAGGAAACCTGAAAGAAAAGCAGTGAAGAAAAAGTAAACTTAGTTTCGTCCGATAAAATTTTTCAAAATTAATTATGACAACTCATATTTGAATCCATTCTCTGAGCTCTAAAAATTAGTGTTCTTTAAAAGTTCAGAGCCATTTTCATCGTTTTCCAGGTACTCAAGTATTTCAATGGTACTTACTCTTTCATTACAAATGACCCGTGTGTAGAATATAAAAAGCATCTCAGAAGAGCGTAGAGAAAAAAATTAAAAACCTAAAAAAAGAATGTGAATTACAACTGCAATCAGTTACTCTTGAGCCTGGCCTGCAAAAGTGATCTACGGGGCTGCCGGAGGCTTGGAGCCCATGCGATCTTTAACCTTCTAAGATCTCAGATTTGTAATTTCCTGAAATCGGGCGGGCAAAGGAGATAAAGTAGAAATATGCACTTTGGAATATTATTACATCTAGTTTAGGAGCTGTCAGCAACAACCCTTTACTATCAAATTTAAACATTTATATTTTTTGCATTCATTTATTTCCTCGCGTTACTACTATCGCACAAAGAAACCATGACAGTTTGCAATTATCATTGATATACAATACCTGAAATTCAAGAACTGGTATCAAAAGACCAACAGTCAAAAGAATTGAAATCAATCCCGTGAGTATGAAAGACAAAATAACTGAAAAGTTTCGATGTCTTCCAGCTGGAGCCCAATCAAGAAGAAATCCAGGAACAAAAGAGAGAATAATTCCGCAAAATTGAATAATTCCAAGAATTGTGAGATAGTAATCGACTGAAAAAATAAAAAATCGTGTAAATAGGATCCTAAGATCGTCTATTTAGATTATCTTTTAACAAACTATTTAAAAGCTTAATTAAACAGAGAATAGAGGTTTACGAACGAACCTTCATAAAAATCATGGGCCAAACGTTTCAACAAGGAGTTGATCATTCCAATAACAGAAAAGCAGCGTAAATGGGCGATGGAAACAAAACATGTGTGCATTACAAACTTGGTACTTTTGACTATCGAGGAGAGGCTTGTTTTGTCTGTATGCATATGATAAGATAAAAAAATGTTAGTAAGTCACAAGCACTCTGTCCTATTCCATTCGTCAATCTCTGTTGGCTTTACTGGGGGGTAGCTACATTACCTAATTTGGGGAAGAGGTGTTAATCAAATAAATATGATTATGTTTATATACTATAGAAATAATTGCTTTCAAAACTGAGAAGTAAGTCAGGCATAGAATTAATAAATATATGAATATGCACCTAGCGACACCCCCCTCTACCATTAGCTACAGTCCCAGGGAGAGTTGTCCAAACATCTGTAACGCGAACTGTATTTCCATTCAGGAACATTTGATGCGTGTAGAGAGGAACGGTGGAATAAACGAGGGAAGGAGGTAATATAAAAATCATAAGATTACATGTATGCACAACTATGCACTTGCATGCAGTAACCGTTCGCTTACACTAATGGATTCTCACTTTTAATAGTGTAAAGGACACGGTGAGAAACGTGATTCTCAATTTTTCCTACACGATTTCCATTTTCCCGACATTTAAAGGTTTCGTGTGACAGAACCAGGAGGCGCCGAAAGATCGTTAAGTGGGGATGCACAGAGTTCACTACCCGGAACAAGTGTCCCACCTTGCATCTGTTCTTTTTCGTTCTCCTCTATTTCACGAGATATAAAGGGATTTTCACTTGTAAACTGTTCTAAATTTTCATTTGTAGAGCTGTTGTTTTCACATTTCCTAACATGTTCTTCAATGTCATCCGGCAGATCTTTAGGAAATATCGTAAACGTGAACAACATGCCTTGACCAACGACAAAGACATAGTAAACGATGATTATGATTTTAAACGAAACCCCAGCGTTGAAACACAACTGCAATAAAAGAAATAATATAAGATAATAAACAATTAATATCACCCATTACAAACAATATCAACCAATTACAATGAATTCCAGTCCTTCTGAAAAAGGCTTAATCCAGTTACGATGATGAAATACCTTGAATACAAGAAGGACAACTGCTGATGAATCAATTGCTCCATTTATAATACTGACAGCCATAAAACGTCGTTGAGGAAGAACACCACAAACCTGGAATGAACCAAAATATCATAAAAAATGATTAGAAATCATAGCCTTATGCTAACACGGTTTTCCTTAGAAATTGCTGTTATTCAGTAGTTTCTCTTCACATGAACAAATTCAAACGCACTATACCTTTACTAAAACTACCGTAAAAAATCCTCCACCAATTACAGTTAGAAGTAAACCAGGAAAGAGCAATTCATGTAAATCTAAAAACATATATTTTAGTCTTAAAAGTTAAAATGAAACATGGATGAATTAACAGATATTATTATATACCACTTGTCAAAGTTTTGGGTTCGTAGCGTTTCATTGGTCGAGTGCGAATCACACGAGAGTGACGAAATTTTGATGAAGCATGGATGAATTAACAAATAGTATCATAGCTGCACTATCTTTTTCTAAGGACTTATTAATCGTGACAACTCCACACACACACGTATCTCAAACAATAATTTCCTAAGATTTTACCAGATTTTTACCAAATATATTATTCCACTTTTGTGAGATTTAAGATAAAATAGCTAGTTACGGTTCCAGCGACGTAGTTAGCTAGATCTAGACCGCTAAATTTGAAGGTGGGGTATATATTGAAATATTCATGCCTATATATCCTATAAGAACAATCACGCGAAAAAAAAGTCATGCAGGCTTGCATAAGACAATATATGAATATAAACCCCTTCCCCCAATTACGCTTCTAGACAGGGTCCTGTGTCTACCAATAGCAATTGTCAGGTCCTGTGTCTATCCATAGCAATTGTCAGGTCCTGTGTCTACCTATAGCAATTGTCAGGTCCTGTGTGTACCTATAGCAATTGTCAGGTCTTGTGTGTATCTATAGCAATTGTCAGGTCCTGTGTCTACCTATAGCAATTGTCAGGTCCTGTGTGTATCTATAGCAATTGTCAGGTCCTGTGTCTATCTATAGCAATTGCCAGGTCCTGTGTCTACCTATAGCAATTGTCAGGTCCTGTGTGTACCTATAGCAATTGTCAGGTCCTGTGTCCACCTATAGCACTTGTCAGGTCCTGTGTCTACCTATAGCAATTGTCAGGTCCTGTGTGTATCTATAGCAATTGTCAGATCCTGTGTCTACCTATAGCATTTGTCAGGTCCTGTGTCTACCTATAGCAATTGTCAGGTCCTGTGTCTACCTATAGCAATTGTCAGGTCCTGTGTGTATCTATAGCAATTGTCATGCAGGTCCTGTGTCTATCTATAGCAATTGTCAGGTCCTGTGTCTATCTATAGCAATTGTCAGGTCCTGTGTCTACCTATAGCAATTGTCAGGTCCTGTGTCTACCTATAGCAATTGTCAGGTCCTGTGCCTACCTATAGCAATTGTCAGGTCCTGTGTCTACCTATAGCAATTGTCAGGTCCTGTGTCTACCTATAGCAAGTGTCAAATGCATGCAAACAACGTTTATAGGTTCGCTATAGATTTAAATGAGTATATGAACTAGATGTAATATCGAAGAACATGGTACATGCGAATTTGAAATGAGCTGGGTGGTTCGCCCAACATTTATAAGAAGAACGGATGGGCAGACCGCACGCTGGTCAGGACATTACTATTAAAATTCCTCCTATAAATCATAAGTAACAAAACGGGCACCGCTCTTAGACTAATAAGGCAGGGCCGTCAAGAGGACCCGGGGCAAATTTTTTGGGGGCCTATGACGTCATGGTTTAAATATCTGCGTGGCATAAAGTACTTGAAAGCTATGTGAAAAAGTTTAACAAACAAACTTTTTACAAACAATATCAACGTATCTTTAAATTAAAATGACTGTCACTCGTACTTTCAACTAGTGTGTGAATAATACACTGAGCCCAACAATTTTTAATGTGCTTTAATTTTAGGTTCTTTCTTAAGTCCAGGGCCGGGCAAAATACCCCACTTGCACCCCTCCCCTCTCGGCAGCCCTGGAGACAGGCACAAATTTAAGGTTCAGGCGCCGTTAAAAGGCAGTGAAAAATTTAATTTTAAATAAATACACAATAAATATAAATACAACCAACTGATACACATTTGCTACGAATTAACCATTGCTCTTTTCATGAACAAAGAAGACGCTGGGAACGAGGTTGTGCTCTTTTAGGTCAAACGGTAATGCCGTGACGGGGAAAAGGGGTATATAAGTGCAAACGGAACTTTATTTCACCAGCTTACCATACGTTGACATAAACATCGTTCCACCAGCCAGTAGATAGATGAAGCTGAAAAGATTTAAGAAGAATAAGATTAAGCATTAACACATTTACATACGTATATACATACATAAACTTTATTTAGACACGTTACCCTGAATCAGTATTCAGTTGTGTTTCATTAGGGGCGTGCAGACAAGTACATATCAGGGTCCGCGGAGCGAGCGAGAGAATGGGGGCATAAGTCCTAAATAGAACCCCGCAGCAAAATTTTAATCTCCTGAAAATAACACTTTTACTTCAACCCTTTTTGCCGACAAAAAAGTGGGGAAGTGGGGGAGCTAAAGTCCCCGTGTCTGCGGTTCACGCATATTAGTTACATAGAGATTACATAATATAAAAAGACTACATTAAGATTGGACGCAAGATGATAAACAGTCCGAGTGGGGTTAAATAGTTCCGCCCCCATTCTGGCTCTGGTCAATCTTGAAAACGAATTTTTGGGAAGGGAGCTGTGTCTGCGAAGGACGCGACTAGTGGTGCTCACCAATAGACCTTTTTCATAATGACGTCAGACGCGGAAAGACTGATCATACAAAAAATTTAATTAGCTCGATAGTTTTGTGGAGCGAATCAAATTTTGTGTAACATCAGACTTTCCGCGTTTGACATCATAATAGCACTATGCTCCCCCCTAACGCCCTTGCCACGCCCCATATACATTGAAAAAACAACAGAAAGCATCAGCGTGTAATGTTTTGGAAAACTATCACGAAGCAATTCAAAGTTCAACAAGTTATACTCCTTAAAAGATAAAGTTATAAAATGAGCGATTTGATTGGATTTGGATCAGTAAAACCATGGGCCGTGCATATTTTGGGCCGGATTAATTTTAAGCAGTAGTTTAAACTACTGCTTCAAATTTAGTTTATAACTTTTTCGCGTATTTTGTGAAGATCTTATAATTTATTTTATCATGAGGGGAATTACCGGGATTTTTAAAAAAGTTCGTATGCACTATGCAATATGTTACTAAAAAAATCCTTTTTAAAGTCTCCGCGCTAGGTCGATCATCATTGCCGGCGGAACAAGGGGATATGAAGCAAAGCAAATGCGGGAAGTTTATAGTCCCCTTCCTAATGAATAAATCATGGCTTTTTTTCAATTCAGCCTCGAAAATAAAATATTATGTTTCGCTGTCGAAACTATGCAAGTTGAAATCGCCTGTTCGTTTATGGCTGGTCGAACATGCAAATAATGATTAAACTGCTCCGTAACTCCTGGGCTTGGTTCACCAGATTTCCCCAAACCTGGCTGGGTTTTCATTTGGTCACGGGGTCAATTCATCGACAATCTCCATAAAGCGTTACTGGATATAATAATAGTACTACTTCAACAGTCTGTACAATCTTGAGGACAGACTTTGAAATCAAATTTATACCTGTAATGTCTTATCTAAATGTATTCTACTTGCCATGTCTGAAGAGTTAATTAAATAAAAGCCAAATGAATAGTGAATTGTGTGTAGTATGTTCAAATAATCTATCCTCTCAAATGATGTGGAGGAAAATCCAGGTCCTAGGACTGTAAATAATATAGTTGTCCCTGCCTATAATACAGAACATGCTGATTTTAATCAAGGGAACAATTGGTGTTTCGTATGAATACTGCTAAACGGTGTGTAGGCAACTCATTGTTTGCAACTTTTAGAAAGTAATTAAATCAGTCAATATTTAGTCACTACAGCGGCCTGTGCTTTCACAGAGCCCCAACTTCCAAATTTTTGCCAATGTCTAGTTTCATTGCCGCCAATGCATCACAGACTGTATGCGTTTGTGCACCTATTTTTGTTCATGTATTCCTGCATGCATGCCTATTTATTTCAAAACTTTAAAAAATGAAACTTTTATTCATTCAGAGGACATTTTGTAGAATAAAATATAGGTATATAATTGCATAATTATACCATGCAGTAACAAATTTGATTTCAGGATTTCCATTTGGCGCAAGTTAAGTACGTTAACCTGGTCAATTTTGTTAAAAAGCCCAGACCTTTTTCTCACGGAGGACTGATGTAGGGAAACATTTTATTTCTTACGGAAGTCACAATCTTAAAGCGTTAAAATTTCCGCGATGGCAAACAGTAACACGTCATGTATTTTCGTATCGGTACCGGTAGTGGAAGTAAATCTTAACCTCCGGCTCTAATAATTTATTTTCTTTATTCACGATCGTGCCACTTACCATGTTAATACTCTTGTCTTTGTAAAGCCAAAAACATCCAAAAACTTTCCACCGAAAAATATTGAGACAGAACCTGCGAAAGCAGATAATGTATAGGCCAATATAAGAAGACTGTCTTGTCTTGCACAAGTGTCACTGACATCGTCGCCGATGGAAGAATTACTGTTTTTTAATTGTGAAATAGTTTTGTTAGAATCAGCCTCATTAGTTTCACAATAAGACGCGAAATAATGTTCGCTATGAAGTATTTCCAACAGTTGAGCCCATCCAAATAAACACGATGTTGAAATAACGCTTTCGAATACGGCCCATGTAACCAAACAAATGTAATAGACCTGCATATTTTGCAATGTGAATACAACCAAATCTATAACATTTCATAGCTTCCTGTAACTGCTTATAGTCAACGTTATTTTTGCTACGTTATTCCTTCACTTGTATTATAAATCACAGCCTTCACAGGCTTCACAGGCATTTTTGAAGCTCCATTCAACTTAATATAAATTATTATATAGTTCTTTGTCTTCGATGCTTGTGCCATTATTGTGGCCTTATATTGACGAATGTCGGATTTTTTGGAAATTTGCAATTCAAATAACGAATTCTCTGGGAATCCACTAGCGTTGAACTCTCGCAATTGAAAAGAATATCAGACGAAACATTTTGCTCGGTCGAGAAATTCCGTCTAGTGGTAAACCGGTTTAAAGGGCTCTTTACACGATTCAAATCACTTCTGATGAGGTTATACTGTAGTATAGTCTGTTGCTTGCATTGTATATATGGCAGCAAATTAAGACAATACAGTACAAGGCAGTACCGCTTTATTAATGACAGACTATTACTTATCTTCTATATCTTCTACATTTCAGAAGTGAATTGGACCCAACGAAATTGTATGATCGTGTGAACGGACCTTCACACTATCAATAAACGATTAGTTCCTGACGCATAGAAAAAACTTAGACATAGAATCATTAGAATGCGTACTAATCACGAACACAGTACGTGTTCCACATTTGTTTCATGCCGTGCCTTAAATTTATATATAAATGCACCATTTTGAATCTCGCAAAAAGTCAGAATATTTTCAAACAACTTTTATTCAAAACTTAACTAAAGGCATATTTTACAGTCAAACCCAGTTCGGCGTAAAGTTGCTTAAGCAGTTAAAGGACAGAAAAAGTAACAATCGAGAAAAAGTCGATTTTTGGTGAGCACACAAAAACAAACAACCGGCCTATTATAATATATTATAGCGATAAGCCGGCATGGTTTAATTGTAAAAACAAAAAACAAAGGACAGTTGACAAATTCGCTATAGACAATATTAATTGACAACCTATTACAAATAAGATTTTCTCTACTAACTATATTTTCTACATAACAATGAATATATATTACATATATATAATAAATATATTAAGTTCATCCGCCGTGCGCATGAACCTGATATAACTTTCCATTGCGAGTATTCAAATGATTGACGTTCACCTCCAGTAACCTTGGTAACTTTAAGATCACTTTTAAAAATGTTCTTATGCATGCATTTCTTCTGTTTGCCAGATTCAGAATATATTTGGCAATGAAGAATTTTTTATAATAACAAAACACTGCAGTCATCAATGATCACCACAATGGCAATTCCATGACCGTAGGTCACGTATAGAAACTGCAGGGTGTCCCAAATAACGTCAAAACTATTGAATTCACTTATAACAATGTAATAGTTGGAGTTTGAATGCCAAAGCACCCTGTTGGGATGCATTTTGTCATGAGGGCAAATTGCATAGTGTCACCAGTGAACTCAAATAAAACTGGAACGCTCACTCTCTGACTTTCCCTCATTAATGAGTGAAGCCAATTAAGATAGCGGATCATGAAGCCATTCCTGCATGATCAAGGCCTCTGGCGCAGAAATTTTAAAGGAAAAATTAAAATTGCTGTCATTTTACCTACGAAAATTCCGGAGGCCTGGATCATACCTATACAAGAAAGGCTTCAGTGTCCGCCATCTTGGCTTCAAACTTCCGTTTCGTTTGACATATTATTATTATTATTATTAAGTCTTTAAATTTAAGATCTAGCCACAAAAGACGGGTGACCTTACAATTCAAACTAACATATACAAGAATGGAATAAAATAATTAAAATTCATACAATATCTAGTTTGACTAAAGTTATTGAAAGTTACTATTTAAGATTATCAAATTTGGCTAAAATTGTTAAAAAGACATCTATTTAAAAAATACCTTTTAAATCTTTCTGTTTCGACTTTGGGTAAAATAAAATCATATTCTCGTAGTTCGTCTAGATGGTTTGTCACGTATTTATATACTCCATCTCTCGTATAAATCGGGCCAATTTCAACTGGTCGATTCAGTAAGTATCACCTCACAATCATCATAATAGGGACACCAAAATGTGTATCGTTAAATGTTAAAATGTTATTAAGGTTAATTTTTTACCGTTCATTTATATATATATATATATATATATATATATATATATATATATATATATATATATATATATATTTATCTATATATAAATATTTGTATTATAAATATAATTATCAAGGTTTAGTTTTAGCTTGACTAAAGTTATCAGGGTCTGCAAAAGGGTTTGATATTGTCAAACTAGTGTTATGATTGTTTCCCTTCTTTTCATTTTCAGCGCAAATCCATAAATACATTGGATGAACCATCACTACCATTTGAACAACCAACAAACCAACATTCACCTATATAGGATTATCAAAATATATTATAGTATTACTCATAGTAATTACTCATAAGCAGGCATCAGGCTGTATTTGGCCTGACATTGTAGTTATCAGTGTTGCTTATACTTTTAATTCTCTGGTGAATTTGAAGTTGCTGTCCCCAGTTGAAATGTTATTACACATTTAAGAAATAGAAAACATTTTCCGTGTTTCTATATACAGTTTTAGTATACACCTGACTATTGTCTATTACAAATCCTACATTCTGATTGGCTAATCAACCATTGTCTATTCGTGATGGTGAACGTTTGGGAAAAATTCGCTCGCGCGCGCCGTATAAAATTTAATTAATTAGATTATTTTTCGGTGTAATTGCGGTGTATCGATTATTTTCTCGCAATGAATATATCTAGGTACAGGGTGTATACTAAAACAATTAGACAACTCGCCCTCGTTGTCTATGAGCGAATAGTCAACTCACGCTTCGCCTTCGTTAACTATTCGCTTATGGACAACTCGGACTCGTTGTCTAATTGTTAAATAGAAACACGCTTCTTGACCAATCAGTACGCGCGTATACTATAAATGTTATATTAAAAATAATTATATGAGCATGTATTAAAACTGAGTTGACCTTAAAAAGTTAGCTTATGCCTTATGGATAGAAGTTTGCTGCACGAAATGCTTTAGTGATCAACTTGAGATAATAATATGTGTTCTAAAATTTGAACAGAAAGTTTCTTACCCAAGTTGGATCACCGCCATACGGTCCCTCCATCAAAGCAAACATTGGTATTTGAAACAATGAAACTACAGCTGAAACTAAGAGACTTAAACCAAACAAGGCACCAGCATGATATAAAGGAAATCTGAAAGAAAAACATTCTTCTGGTATACTTGTGAAGAAAGAAGAAAAATGGTGTATGGACTTCTTCTGTTTGACTTATTTTCTCTGACATATATAATTATACGTCACCAGTAATTAATTACATAATTATTTATGCGTCACCAGTAGCCAGCAATTGTTGCATAGTGCTCATTGCAGAAGTCCCGTGTTATTTTGTATAAAATTTCATTGTTACCATGCAGCCACCATCAATACATTGCCCGGTCTCGGAGATTATCGAGAGTTTTATCGGCCCAAATTATTCTAAAGAACGTCTGGTACGGCTCCAAGAACATCCGTCTGGACGAACTTGGGGCAAAGCGTCTTCTAAGGCGCTTTCCATTAGGCGGCTAAAATGGTCAGACCGGTCGTATTTTAAATTGAAACAGAGTATTTCGTTAAGAATACTGAAGCAGATGTAAATAGGCAGATGTAAATAACGATATACTTGAATACAGAGTTCTTTCATGAAACACTCTAAAATACCAGTAATCTGTCTGTACCGAGATACAACAGGACCGGTCTGGCCGTTTTTTCCGTATAAAGGAAAGCGCCCATAGTTGGTTTGTGTGTAAACACAGGCAAACCGACGGATCATCCGTCAACACGAATTCTCCTCATTTTTGGTCTATTTAGGCGAATTTGAATGGGTAGTTTGTCTTGACGCATCATCCGTCTGGCAGTATAAATACGGCGTTGGGTCGAACGACGAAAAATTCATCATAAAACGGCTTTTGTGCAATCTTTTTACTACATAACCTACTATAAACTCGTTTTACTACCGTCTACATTATAGTTTGTCTAGATTGTTTGTCTTATGTTTATACTCAGACGAATGATTTGTCGGATGGATCATTCGGCCAGACAGATTATCTGTCTTTACAATAAATCGGGCAATTTATACTCATATAATATAGTTCGGTAATTAGTCAACAAAGAGGTAGCTTACGCTTTCATTATAAATGATCCGTGTGTCGAATATAAGAAAGATCTCAGAACGGTATAAAGTAAGAATACAACAATCTGAAAGTAAAAAGAAGTAATTGTAATAGCAAGCACACAGCCATCTACGAGAGACGGGGAAGAAGTACACAGCTACGTTGTCATATAAGAATTTCTAAACGATATTTAATTTGTGGTCGACTGCGCATTAAAAGAAATCTGTCACGCACAACTGAAATATTTGTGCGTAGCGCGAAAATTTGAAATTTGGAACAATTATTACAACAACTGAAGATCTTACAGGCCTAATAGCAATGAATTTTTGACAAAACAATGGTACAATCTTGGAAAATTCATGGCAGCAACAATTAAGAAGCAGAATTGAGGCAGAAGCTGAGCCTACTGAGGAAGAAGAGAGAAACCCTTTGAGAGGGTTTTGCATTGGAAAGAAAAGGCGAAATACTATACCAGGTTCCAACGAGTACCATTTAGTAAAGTCATAGCGATTGATTGAAATTGTAAATACATTTATTTACCTGAAATTCAAGAACTGGTATCAGTAGACCAACGGTCACAAGAATTGAGAGCACTCCCGTGAGTATGAAAGATAAAATGACAGAAAAGTCCCGATGTCTTCCAGCTGGAGCCCAATCAAGAAGAAAACCAGGAGCAAAAGACAAAAATAATCCACAAAATTGAATTATTCCAAATATGGTGAGATATAAATCGACTATAATAATAAAGAAAAAAAGAAAAATACTAAAATTGTACTTTTTGGTACTCTAATCTATTTAATAGTTATACTATAATAACAATGCCTCTAATCAATCGTATACAAAATTAGTTAAAGATATGGGCCATAAAAATTGTAATTTTATTACCCGAAAGAGCTTTTAAAATTACGATAAAAGGCCTATTTCAGATTTGTCATGTCGCGCTTGGCCCACGCGCGTAGGTAATAAAACCCTGGGTACGAGGTTGGTGACGTATCATTAATATCGGTGGTTAGTCGGCTATTTTTAGTCAATTTTTCAGAACAAATCGCAATATGAAAAGCTCTTTCAAACTGAATTTTCATTTCCCATGCTTTTTAAACAGTTGCTGTACGCACTCACCTTTTCCTTCGTCATCCGTCAGACGTTTGAGCAAAGGGTTGATCATTCCGATAATAGAGGTAGAACGTAGAACGGAGATAGAAACAAAACATGTGTGAATTATAAACTTTGGGCTTTTGATCATGGAAAACAGACTTGTTGTGCCTACATAAGAACAGAAAAATATACAGTAGTAGCTGCGTACAGTCACTTAATAGGGGGTGTTATAGTATATTCATTTTTATATACCATAGGAACAATCGCTCCCAATAATAATTACTCGGACAAAAAACGAATAATTTATATGAACATAAAATGTGCTCCCCACAATTAAGCTTCGATCTAGGTACAGCTCTGGGTGCTTCTCTTATAAAAGATTACACATTATAAACTTAGTTTTAAATTGACTTCAACTTGTTCGACCATCAGATGAGACAAGTTCTGTTATACTAGTACAAGGGTGAGAAGAATCTAAATTCATGTTGTAGGGAACGCCGAGAATGGAGGTTCCACCCTATGAAACCTATAGGAATGGAACGATCGAGTTTTGCTGAAAATTTTATACCTTTAATCAGTACATAAAACGGACTGAGAATCTTATTAAATGAATTTTCCTTGAAGTAGTTGATTGACAAACTTCGGTAACAAATTGATGCAATATTTTATTAAATAAAGAAAACTTATCCATACATGCAGGGTTGGTAAGTTACTGGAAAAATAAGCAAACATTGTTATTGGCGGCCCTTTGATTCCTTTGTTTTAAACTAGGAAAACAAATGTTATGTTAATAATAGTTGACTGATTTTTCCATAAAATCTAGCAACTCTGATCCATACAGCAACATTTCACTACAACAACATTTTCAGTTCGTTTTCACTTTTTATCACCACAAAAAAATCTACCGCACCTGTAGTTGGACTTTCCTCCAAGGCTTCAATCTTATCATGTTTCTTATCTTCCATACTTTCAGTGTCGTTTTGCTGAACTTCACGGGATATTGTGAAAGCATTGTCACTTTTTATATGTTCTATATATTTTTCAGTTTTCGAGCCGTTGTTTTCATATCTTCCAACATCTTCTTCAGTGTCATCCGGCAGATCTTCAGGAAATATCGTAAACGTGAACAACATGCCTTGACCAAAAACAAAGGCATAGTAAACGATGATAATGGTTCTGAACGAAACCCCAGCATTAAAACACAACTGCAAGAAAAAAATATGAAAGAAAAAATGATAATGATAAAAATACAATACAATACAATGATAAAAATGATAACAATACAGTTATGCTATAACTAAACGTTTCCATCTTCCCAAACAAGTAAAGGTTTTCAAGTGATGGATTTCAAGAAAAGGATGCATGTAACTTGTTGAAAATGCTCCCTCCCCCTCTGCATGTTTACATAAATAAGACTTCAAATTTCACAATTTATTATCCAACTGTATCATATCACACGAACGTTTTTAACTTGCACAAATTCTTCAAAATATCCTCCTAAGATTAAGGCTGGAACCCCCGAGCTCTTCTTCTCTTAAATGGAAATATTTTTTTAATTGTACTGCCTTCCTACGTACGATGTAAATATTTCTTATTACTTGAGACTGAAAAAACGCTGCACATTGCCACACGGTCTACACCAGAAAGTCTTCATCACCTCATGAGTTCTTTTTGAGGCATATTAAAGTGTAAATACCTTAAAAATGAGCCACGAAACGGCTGAAGAATCAATTCCTCCATTTATAATACTCATAGCCATATAACGACGCTGAGAAAGAACACCACAAACCTAGAGGCGAACAAATTAAAGTTGATAAGTTCACGGCGACCAGGTATAAAATCCATCGCAATTATCGCTACTCTGGTTTAATTAATGAAAGTAATCACTACACGAGCATTACATTCACATGGGACTCCGTTTCGACCAACGTTTTAACACTAGAACGGAGTGTATTACTTTCATTAATTAAACCAGATGCAGAGTAGCGATAATTGATAATATTATATCTCAACTGTAAATCATCCAATCAGAAAGCTCGATTTGTACCACGTGATCAGTAAATTAATCATGGAGTTCCATCGATTTTTTTCATATTATGCTATAAAAGTCGAATACCCGCTGCAGCGGGGTAAAATGGAGGCAAAAGAAGCCATATCACCCAGCTTTTGCGCTGCCTACACGTTGTTTGATATAATATATAATTTATAGACCTTCCGCTCGGGGAATTCGACGAAATATTACCCCTCGGGAAGATATATCCCTCGGGAGAAGCCCTCGGAATATATCTTCCCTTGGGGGTAATATTTCGTCGAATTCCCCTCGCTCCTGGTCTATAAATGATAATGGTAACTAAATTGTAATTATATTTTTATATAATGATTAAGATGAAAGAGTGTTTGCTGAAATTTAACAGAGCAAATTATAATATGAGATTGAGGATATGTTACAAAATTTGAATTATAACTCGCTACACTTTGTGTTTCACGTTTTTTCTGAAACGATCATTAGGCGAATGGTCACTATGAAAGACTTGAAAAAGCCCTAAAAAGCCATGGTAGTGGTTTACCATGGTTGCAGAAGATGACGAGGAGACGTGGGTGTTACAATAGTCGAGATCTTGTTTATTATAAACGTTTATCTTTCAATACTCGCATGCTTTAAATAATACTAACTACAAACTAGTACTTTTTTTTATACACCATCTTGGATGCGCCCGCAAGTCACATCAATGTACTTAGTATAAGTTTCATATTGTAACATCCCCCCTTTTATGAAGGGACTGCTCCTATTACCAAAATAACTTACTTAAAACAGATAAATTAAAAAAAGCAAAAATTACATAGATACATACAATAATTAAATTGTTTAGTATGTACAAATATGTATATATAATTTTTATATATACGGTTCCAGCTGTGTTCGTTCTTTCTTCCTAACGGACATAGTCTTTTAAGTACTCTGGAGCTCTTCGGGTGCGCTGTGGTCTTGTTATTCGTACTGGACAAGCTGCTTGTCGTTGGCTGTCTTGCTCTGCTGCTAGCGGTCGAGGGGACTTTGCGGGTGATAAACTTTCCGTAGGTTTTTCTTTCAACGGGGTGGTGGATTGCGTTACTTCTTCCTCTGTGGACTCCTCATTTGCTTGACTCCACTCATCCTCCGAACTCACCTCTTCTTTTATCGGCATCTCCGCTGATTTCTTCAAATGACTTCGGTTTCTGCGATAACTATTTCCTTCCGGCGTTTTGACCGTATATGATCTTTCGTCTAATCTGGCAGTTACGACAGCTTTATCCCATTTCTTTTTACCCATTCTAAATGGTTTCATCCTTACCACGTCACCATGACTCAACTCCGGAAGATCCTTTGCATTGCGGTTGTAATACTTGATCTGCTGCTCCTGCCGTTTCTTCATGTCCCTAAACTCTTTTTCCTGGCACATCACCTTAGGTTGCAGGAGCTTTGATGTTGTAGGAAGAAGTGTCCGAGTTCTCCGGTTTAGCAAACGTTGTGCGGGACTACTCTCCATACCCTGAGTAGGTGTATTGCGATAATCCAAAATCGCCAGGTATGGGTCAGCTCCCCCCTCAACAGCTTTACGAATGAGCCGTTTTGCCATCTTCACCGCTGACTCCGCTTTACCATTCGCCTTGCTATTACCAGGGCTGCTCGTGAGATGCTCGAAATTCCATGTGTCGGCAAACGTTACAAATTCTTCCGCCGAAAACTGTGGGCCATTATCGCTAATGACTCTCTCTGGACAGCCGTACCTCGCAAAATGATTCTTCAACTTGAGAATTATCATACTCGTTTTGGTACTGGTCAGCCTATCAATTTCCCAAAAGTTACTAAAATAGTCGACAGTTATCATATAATCCTTCTTATCGAACGTGAACAAATCCACGCCAACTTGCTCCCAGGGACGTGATTGTATTTCATTGGGCATCAAGGTTTCCTTCTGCTGTGCTGTTTCATAGGTTCTACAGACTTCACAAGAGCCACTAACTCTTTAATTTCCGCCGACATCCCTGGCCAGTACACACTCTCTCTCGCTCTACGAAGACACGACTCGGTCCCCAGGTGCGACGCATGTATTTTCTTCTTCATATCCCGACGCAGTCTACTCGGTATGATCACTCTCTGCCCTTTGAATAACAGCCCATCTTGCACCGTTAGCTCATCCCGCATACTGAAATAAGGTAGGATCTGTGCTGCTAGGTACTTCTTCTCTTGTGGCCATCCTTCCATTATGGTTTTCTTAAGTAGCTGTAGCGATTCGTCTTCATCGGTCGCTGCTTGAATGTCCCTCATTTTCTCACTTGAAATTGGCAAAAAACTAGCCATGTTGACACACTCGAATTCAACACCAGACGGATGTTCCGTTGTAGGCAGGAAAGCACGCGATAGCATATCAGCTATGTACATGCTTGTTCCTTGCTGATACCTTACTTCGAAATCATACTTCTGCAGCCTCATCATCATCCCCTGCAGACGCCGCGGAGCACTTGCCAGGGGTTTTCGGAGGATAGCCTCCAATGGCTTGTGATCACTTTGAATCTTTACATGTCTTCCGAAGACGTACTGGTTTAATCTCTCAAGTGAAAACACAATCGCCAACATTTCTTTTTCGATTTGCGCATATCGTTGCTCTGTCTCCGTCAGGGCACGACTAATATACACAACTGGTCTTCCTTGTTGCAACAGTGTCGCTCCTAAACCCTTCTGGCTTGCGTCACATTGGATTACCACCTCATCCTTCGGATCGTAATACTTTAACACCGGGGCCTCCGTGACCAATTTCTTTACTTCCTGGAACGCCTTCTCTTGCTCCTCCTCCCATCTCCATTCTACACCTTTTCGGGTCAGACGGCAGATTGGCTCCATAACATCAGCCAACCTTGGCAAAAACTTAGCCAAGTAATTTACGAAACCATTCAGTCGCTGCACCGATTCAATATCGGTTGGACGAGGTAATTCTTTCACTGCTTCAAGCTTCCCTGGGTCTACCTTAAGGCCTCCGCTGGTAAACAGATGTCCCATATACGTCACCTCTTTTTGGCGCAGCTTCATCTTATCTGGGTTGAGGGCAACACCATTTTTCTTACATCTTTCTAGCAGATGACGTAGCTTTCGATCATGATCTACATTCGCATCTTCTTCGGTCGCCCCAACTCCATAAATGAGAATATCGTCGGTGATGTCCAGAATTCCGTCTAGACCATCCAAAACTTGATGAACTCTCTTCTGAAAAATTTCCGATGAAACTGACAGTCCGAATGGTAGTCTTCGCCACCTGTATCTCCCGTAGGGTGTTGCAAATGTCGTAAGAAAACTCGAATCTTCCTCCAAAACGCAATGCCAATAGCCGGCGCGGAGATCCACTGTAGAGAATACCTTGGCTTTGGCCAACTCCGGAAGGAGATCATCCAACACTGGCAAATGGTATTGCTCACGCTTAAGCGCGGCATTTAATGGCTTCGGATCAATGCACACCCTCAATTGACCTGACTTCTTTGTAGCGACTACCACACTGCTCACCCACGGTGTTGGCTTATCCACTTTAGCGATGACTCCCAACTCTTCGAGTCTGTCCAATTCACCTTTAAATTGCTCTTTCAATGCTATCGGCACACGCCGAGTTGGTACAACGACTGGTCTAGCGTCTTTCTCTACTTCTAATTTCACTGTACCAGGTAGGTTTCCAAGCTGACTGTGAAACACCTCTGGGTATTGATTAACTATCTCCTCTACCGTCAATAGCTGATTCACCTTTGGTTTATCTCGTTTAGGTGCTGTCACTGCTACAAAATTATCCCTATGAATTGTGATCAGCTTCATTTGTTGCGCTGCCCTCGCACCAATCAGTGGCGTGAGACTTTCTCGCACTACGACGAACTCAAGGAGAACTTTTTTCCTGACTTTGGGTTTCTTATAGCAACTCTTATGGTTCCTGTTGGTTTAACTTCGGTTTTATTCCACATGATAAGTGTTTTGGTAGTTGGAGAGAGCTCCTGCTCCCCAGAACACTCTCCGGTAAAATGTTTATTGATGCACCACAATCCACTTGAAATTGAACAGGTTTTGTACCCAGAAACATTTCTGCATATATCTCTCTTGGGTAGGCTTCATCTGATGGCCCAACTGCGCAAACGCTCCCATTATTGACTGCTATACTTCCCAGGTATTCGATATCGGAACTGTCCGCATCATTTTCATACTCACGTTTTTCTTCTTGTCTTGTAAGGTGCACTTTTGCATTATCTCTGCTCTCGACTTTTCGGCAAACCCTGGCGAAATGATTCTTTCCCCCACACTTTAGGCATTCCTTTCCCCAGGCTGGGCATCTTTCTTTTCGTTGTGGGTGTCTCCCTGCACAAAACTTGCATGTTATTGGTGACATCACATCTCGCTGGTCTCTTTGATACCCGGTCTGCGTCTTTCTCATTGTCACTCTGTGTATGTCCTCTGGCGCTGCCTTGTCTGAGATTATCTTCATTTGTGTTGTCGTGACTTCAGTGCTTCGACATAGGTCAATGCATTTCTTCAAACTAAGTTTTCGTTCTTGAAGGAGTTTTTTCCTGGTTTGTGTATTATTTATTCCAAACACAATTCTGTCTCGGATGAGTGAGTCCTTTAGACATTCACAAAAATTGCATGTTTGTGCTAATGTACGTAGCGTCGCGACATATGCATCAACACTTTCATCATCTTCCTGGTTTCTACTATTGAATACATACCGCTCATACGTTTCATTAATCTCTCCAATTGTAAACTCGTCAAATTTGCTATAATAGGATTGAGCTTATCGCGTTCTTCTTCCGTGAATGACATACCATTGTAAATTTTGAGAGCTTCGGTCCCAATACAATGTAAGAATAAAGCAACACGGTACTGTTCTGTCTGTTTGTCCAGATTCGTAATGATCGCATAATTCATCCACGCTTGCTTAAACGTCTTCCAGTTTTCCGCTATGTTACCCTTCGTTTGAAGCTTTTCAGGCGGCGAAATTCCTTGTATCGGTGCCGGTGTTGGCGGTGTTGTAGTCATGATTTACCCGCTATAATTTACTCTTTTCTTATATCTATGCTTATCCTTTTCCTCGTGGTCGTGGATTTCGATCTTATCTCGCTGCCACCATGTTACAATAGTCGAGATCTTGTTTATTATAAACGTTTATCTTTCAATACTCGCATGCTTTAAATAATACTAACTACAAACTAGTACTTTTTTATACACCATCTTGGATGCGCCCGCAAGTCACATCAATGTACTTAGTATAAGTTTCATATTGTAACAGTGGGGTTCGATTCCGGGGAATTCCCACCACATCCAAGGAAGGCAGCAGGTGTGCAAATTACCCAATCAAGGCGTGGAGAGGTAGTGACAAAAAATAACAATACAGGGCTTTTTTTCAGCCTTGTAATTGAAATGTACACAGCTGCGACTCACTATATTAGTTATTATGCAAATATGTTCACAAATTTACTCGAGTAAGCTCTTTCCTCTGCACGAAGTAGGGAATATTGAATTATCCCAGTGAAAACATGGCCTCAATGTTTACATTCACATACATCACGTGATTCGTAAATTAGGCAGGTTTTTTATATAAAGGGTGGTCCACTTTATTAGTTTGATCATTTTGTTGTGACGATGGGACGAAGCAAAGACCTTACTGACCCAGAAAAAGAAATTATTATTAAAGAGCTGGCAAAATCAACCACAATTGAAGATATTGCAAGGATTATCAAACGTCACGCCGTAACAGTAAAGAGATTTTTAAAAGATCCTTTGAGGAAGAGGAAAAGAAGAACTGATCGCGGATCCATGAAGTCTTTTTCAAAGCGTGATTTACGTTGTTTGAAGCAAAAACTGCGAAAACTTCCAGGAGCAACGAGTGATAGAATATTTAAAGAAGCTGGCCTGCTGGACATCTCAAAAAGTACACAAAACAGAATTTTGGCAAAGATAGCCGAGAACAAATGTTCACTAAAAAGGCCTCCACTAACGAAAAGACACAAAAATTTGCCGTTGAACTGGGCTAAAAACTATATGAAGACAGACATGAAATGTGTATTGTTCCCTGACGAGGCAAGAGCAACCCTGGATGATGGTTGGTCGAAAGGATGGGTCATCCATGGTGAACAGTGTCCAACAAGAATGAGACGCCAGCAGGGAGGCGGAAGTGTAATGATTTGGGCTGGCATAATTGGGGACGAAATGTTTGGTCCTATTCGTGTACCAGAAGGGGTTAAACTAACATATCAAACTTATTGCCAGTTTTTAAAAAGCGTTCTTGAACCCTGGCTGGAAGAGATCCCACTGTCGCTGTTGAAAAAGTTAATTTACATGCATGACAACGCCGCTTCCCATTCAGCTAAAGCAACAACCCTATATTTAGAGTCCTTGGGTTTCAAGGACCGAACACTGATGATTTGGCCTCCAAATTCACCCGATCTTAACCCCATAGAGAATATGTGGTCTATCATCAAGCAAGTGTTATCTGATGACCTTGTTGGCACCTTAGGTTTTTCTGCTTAAGGAGGAAGTGTGTTTGCAAAGCTGAGACTTAAAGAAGTTTACGGAAGGACACCAGCAGCAGCGGAGCCTGCGGCTTAATTAATTTGACCAAACACGAGGGTAACTCGCCAGGTCCGAACATAGGTCCAAACTAACGAGGTCCGCACATTGAAATGAAAGCCTTGTCTATAATGCCGAGATAACAACTGCAGATACCCACGGGTCGAAAAACTACAATTACACCGGTGTGACGATTGGAAGGTTAATTTTAAGAGACACTACAACGAAAAGAAACCCGAAAACACCCATGCAGCCTACGAATACGATACCAATTGTCGTGTGTTAAAAATATTGCATCAAATTCAGTACATAAGTTGACCAAATTTCTGTATGTATGGCTCGGATCATGAATTTTCCCTAAAGTAGCTGATTGACAAACTTCGGTAACGAATTGATGCAATATTTTATTAACAGTGTCATTGCAACGATGGTGATCCTGCAAACTGAAGTCTTGATTATTTAATTTTACTGCACATTACCTTCACTAAAACTGATGTATAAAATCCTCCACCAATTACAGTAAGGAGAAGACCAGGAAAGAGAAGTTCATGTAGATCTAGCAATAAAAAAATAGTCTAAAAATATGTGACACGTATCGTAATATTTAAATGGTAATTTATTAAATGGAATGTCAAAGTCCACGTGAGAATAGCGAATAATGGCGCGAAATATACCAAATACGGATGTGCCACGCTATTTATTTGCCAATTCTTACGCCGTCTTTGACAACTCTTTCTGACGTCATTATTTGACGTTCCTGTTCTCATGCAATCCAAATTTGCTTAGTTTTTTAGCTTGCACAGTTGGTAACTTATCTAGAGTAGCACCATCTCAATGTTTAGACATAACTTTAGCTGGAAAAAGTGTCCGTACAATTTCAAGTGTGTTTTCACCAGCTTACCATATGTTGACAAGAGCATCGCTCCACCCGCCAGTAAAAAGATGAAACTAAACGCAAAGAAGCAGAAGCGGATTACTAAAATACGAATATTTCATTCATCATTTGGGGTTCATGTCATTCATCTCGTTATGACAAGAAAATGTTTTGAAACAGCAACAAGGTTATATAGTACAGTCACAGGAATCCCAATAAATAATATTTGAAATGATAAAACTTATTCCATCTCTCCAAAAATTAAGACTGGTAGGAAACAGATCGACAAACGACTGCATGATTAGAAACAATGCAGTTAAACTTATTGATATGGTGATTGATAAGAAGTGAGTGAAACATGACAACGGAGGGGGAATATCTGCATTCACCTCGATATAAAATCGTTTAAAGCGTTTACTAGTTGACAATCTGCCAAAGTTACTCCATGTGAATTGGCGCTTTATTAATAATATTGAACAGATATAGTCTCTTGACGAGTTTCCACCAGGATGAGGATCAGCACTATAGTGTTGCTCTTTTTCAGATGTTGGACTTAAATCGATATAAAACTTTCATCTCTTTATCTCGAATCTTACTTTGTCTCTATAATGGTACCAAAGATTTGTATTTCCGCTGTGGAGTGCCCCTTGGCGTAGTTCTTTAGAGATGCTGTCATCCAAGGCTTATCAAAAGGATGGAGTTTGACAGATTCCATCGAGAAAAATTGAACTGTAGCTGCCGAGATGTTCAAGGTTAATGCACTTTTGACCATCTAAGTCACCTTCCGGCCGAAACGGTTTCTCGCACAGACTGTAGAAAGCACCGATAATATCGTTTTCCGGAGGAGTCGACCAGTCAGGATATTATTCATGTTACATCCACGTTGCAAATTTGGTGATCTTACGCTTATATACACGCTTTGGTTCTGAAAGGTGCGTCCAGTTTAATATTGCGTCATATTGTGCCTATGGCAGAGACCAGTGCACAAACTGAAGAGACATTCATGTTAAATTGCGAAACGTGTATCATTTATTCGTTTCTTTTAAATCATCTTTGTAACTATACTAAACCTCACGCTCGGTGAATATCGCTGAATAAAAACCAAGACGTATTCACCTCGCCTTTGACGATTGATTGTTAAATAAGCATAAATATGTTTTAAAAACATTCCTTTCTTTCAATCAATGATTCTGCCGTTGTGAATAGAATTGCGTGGCAGTGTACTCTTACCGTCACGGGGCCGGTTGTTCGAAAGGCGTATAGCTTAAAATGGAAAACAAAATTATCGCTAACAATTTCTATGCACGCAAGCCTTACAGATATTCGCCGATATCGACTAGAGGTTTATCATCTGCTACATATTTCCAACAGTAAAATCTTCGATCATTCTACTTACCATGCTAATATTCTTGTCTTCCTAAACGCAAAGATATCCAAATATTTTCCGCTGAAAAACATCGATCCAAAATATGTAAACACAGATAATGTATATGCCAGTATAAGAAGACTGTCTTGTCTCGAACAGGTTTCGTCGCCATTGTCGCCATTTGAAGAGTTGCCTTTTAATTGTGATACAGTTTTGTTAGCATCAGCCTCATCAGTTCCACAATAAGACGAGAAATATCGTTCACTTTCAAGTATTTCCAAAAGTTGAGCCCAGCCAAATATACATGCTGTACAGAACGCTTTCAAACGCACCCCATATGATTAAACAAAGATTGTAGAGCTGCATATTCAACGATCTGAAATCTAAATATAAGCAAATCAATTTATTTCATTACTAAATTGGTATTTCACTTAGCTTCATAGCTTTTTTAATTTCATTCAATTTTAGACTTCACGTATCTGCACACCAGTATAACTTTGATTAAATACCTACTTAATGAACGATGTTGATTAGCTATAAGTTATAGCGTATAATAGCAATATTTTGTTAAAGGGCTATTCAGGCGTGTCGATTTCTATGGCATTGCGAAGTGCGAACATTAAACTCTTTGCATTAACCAGAAGCATGCATGAAGATCTAGACTGGCTTAATGGAGCCTCTCTCCATTAACTGTGGTGCAAAACAATAAGTCTGATATGTACGTTGGTGCTAAACCTTACAGTAATTATTTGTGATATGTATACGTACATCTGTAGTTCTTTTATATATTGTCATTTGCAGGCGTACACAGCATGTGCAGGTACATCTTTGACTTTGATGAAATTTCGGCTCCGATATGAATAATGTTGCCAGCAATAAATCAGTCTAAAGACAGAGACAGTGATATTTCGTCTTTATTCCAAAGACATCGTCAGACTATTGAAATTCAAGCAAGCGGTAACCTATTGTGTCACCTTGTAGTATGTATATAATGTTATATCCGCCACACATGTAAACAGCACCAGTGAACTCAAATAGGACTGGGACACTCACTCTTGACTTTCCTCATCAGTAATGAGTGAAGCCAAGATGGCGGATCATGAAGCCTCATGTTCCGGAAACTTGGCTTCAAACTTCCGACAGAGTGAGCGTTCCAGTCTTATTTGAGTTCACTGAACGGCACTAAAGAATTGTGAAGGTAACAACCCTGGCTACGAGGTTGTGACAGACTGGATCACTGGAACGCTAGCTCTGCGAAAAATTTGAAGCCAAAATGGCGGAACAAGAGGCCTTTCTGTAGGTACAGGTCATCAGTGTTCTAATATTCTTGTAGTATGATTCAGGTATCCACGCGAATTTCGTAGATAAAATGGCAGGAATTTTGATTTGACCTTTGAAATTTCCGCATACCTACAAGAAAGGCTTCATGCGAATCTCGTGATTGAAAGTCAGAAAGCTAGCGTTCCAGTCTTATTTGAGGTTACTGGGTTGTGATGGTGATAGTTAGAACAATGAATGAGTTTTTTACAGGCTTTGAGTTTGAGACCAGTGGTCAGACCACACATTGTTAGTATTGCATCGGTATAAAATTTAAAATTTAAGTTAAAATTCCAGGTTTGGAAAATTCGAAATGTACCACATATTTAATTAAAATTTTATTTCAGTCTTGCAAAATTAGCTACTAAAACTATTTACAACAAGCGATTGTTATTACTAAAATTCAAATATACTCATTATAAAATCCGTTTATTAAATTTCAAAAAACAGCATGTCAGAATATAGAGCTGAAAGCAAAATATTGGCGCTTTCTCCAAAGTGATAGATCCGGGGTGAATTTTACGAATGGTGGGTTTTGTTTAATGATAATAATTTCCCTGGTGACATTGGTGTTACAGACCTTGCATGTACACCTACATAAACCATGATTACGCGTACCCTAACACAGCAGACACACTTGTCAGATGGAGTCATTTCATTTTTAAGTTGTGAACTGATAACTTCGAATTTCTAATATATAGTCGATATATTCTTGTCGCTGATCTAAGGAAAAGGTTATTAATTTACTAACGAGACCTGACGATATTGCAATCTTAAGACGCTGTTACACGGTGGAATTTTTCTTGCAACTTGCAATGCAATTCTTTTTGAGAGATGTAAATTTGGCAACTATCAAATTTTTTCTTTGTTAAGGCGGTGTTACACTATGCAACATTCCTTGCAACTAGCAATGCACTTCTACTCCTGAGGCATTTAAAGTTGTCAAATACGAACATTTTTTACAATCTGCTAACGTTTTCTTAGCATTTCGAACACTCTTTACTAATTAACATCCCTCGAAATTATAATTGCATTGCAAGTTGCAAGGAAAATTGCATAGTGTAACACTGCATGATGTTTCTTGCACTTGCATTTTGAGAACTCTTCACTAATTTACATCTCTTAAAAGTCGAATTGCGTCGCAAGTTGCAGGAAAAACTGAACTGTGTAATATGGCCTTTAGTTATTACTTTCATAGCAATGACTGCTTGATTCAGCAAAACTACTTAATTTGATTCATGGACAGCAAAAGTTAGTCGGATTATCTGATTCGAAATTAAAGACCATGGGTTAATTACTGTACGAAATTATGGCACACACAATATTTCACTCCATTATTTTGTTGTTCACAGGAGCGAAATCCGAATTAAATATTTTGGATTAAATGGTTCAGAATTCTAAATCAGTCGTTTATTCACTGTAAAGTCTGTGGCGTTCATCCTCCTCGTCATCTGATCCATAAGTTGAAGAACCTGGGGAGGGAGGCTGGGAACCTGGTCGGGGAAATCTGAAATACTATAACAAAAGAAGATGAGGTGAAAGTTTATTAAAAACCACAACAAACGAATTTAGTGTGATTTCGGGCTAGAATGAACCTAATCTAACTGGGAAGACTTAGCCTTAATAGACAATAGACTCAAAATAATTGAATTTACTGTCTATCTGTCGGTATCTTTTATCATCTAGCGTAGTTAAACTCCGCTGGCTAAGTAAAGAGAGGAGAACGTCTTTCGTATATTTGAAAGAGAATGAAGTCAAGCTTCTTCACACGAGATTAATGAATCCTAATGAGAATTAAATATAGCATTTATAGTACGCGCACGCTGATTGGTCGAGAAGCGTGTTTCCAGAAACACGGCAATTTTCGCGCCGAACTTGACAGGCGAAGCGATGTAATGATTATTTCTCGTTCTCGTATCTCTCGCTCACACGCGTGTTTCTTAACTGTATAAAAACACGGAAACTGTCTTTTATTTCTTAAATGCTAAATTGAATGAGGCTTTGCAAGAAAGAGTTCTTCAATGCCTGGTTTCAATTTAGTCGTAAAAAAAGCATGCCAAGGTGACGACAGATGTGAAGGAATATTTCTATGCGCGTGCAGTCAACAAAGATGACTGCATGAATACAAAAAAAATTACATCCAGACTACTTCTGGTCGGTGAAAATGACTTTTAGAACAAAATCACGACCATTACCACAAAATGGAGACCAGAATTAAAATTAATACAAAATTTGAACGACTGAGTTCTACGAAAACTTGAAGGTTTAGTCGAGCGGCAAAACAAACCTGATGTTGAACGTTCTCATCCTCTTCAGGGACCTCTGGAAATTTCTCAGGACAGATCTTTGACAGAGCTTTTCGCCTCGCTTTCATGTAATTCTGAAAATTTCGTATTAGAACATTCGTTTAAATTTTCAATTACTCAATCAGAATGCAAAAATATTGACCACCATTTTACATGAAGTGTTAAAAATTATGCATTCAGATTCAGCCTGAAAAATATAAATACATTTGCCGACTAGTTGTAATCGACATTCCTCCATGTTACCTAAGCCTATGTTAACCGTTGCATTTTGGTCGCATCGAATAGATGAGATAATAATGAAGCTTAATGAGGTGTTTCATCCTATGATCTGATAATGAAGCTTAATGAGGTGTTTCATCTCATGATCTGATAATGAAGCTTAATGAGGTGTTTCATCTCATGATCTGATAATGAAGCTTAATGAGGTGTTTCATCTCATGATCTGATAATGAAGCTTAATGAGGTGTTTCATCTCATTATCTATTGTTTGAATTGCATTCAACGTGACTAAAATGCCACGTATAACCTAAGCCTTATCAATATACCTTCCCGAGACTCTTCCAGTCCAGTAACTCACTCAGACGTTCAGTTCTGTTTCTTTGGATGATCCTTTGCCGACGGCTTAGCAAACAAAATGCCTTCATGTGCTGTGAAAATTATGAAAATGATCAGCGTACTTTATAGAGCATTTCGTTAAAAATATAGGGGTGAAAGCATGCATATAGCCAGACGAATGCTGCAGAGATCCTAAAATACCATAGGGGGCGGGTGTACGAAGCAGGATAGTGCTATCCACCAGGCGCCGGTTGTATGAAAGCTGGGTAACGCTATCCACAGGATATTTTTTTTTCAATCGCTTTAAAATCGCCCGCGTTTGCTATAACTTTGATCAAAACTACGTATTCCAAAATCGAGCATCCTTTTTAATATTAGGTGATTCCGAAGATGAAATTTATCGTTTTTCGAGCATTTTTAAAACGGTTGAAAAAATCACTATCCTGTGGATAGCGCTATCCGGCTTTCATTCAACTGGCCCCAGACAGTGGTTAATTTCAATCGCTCTGTAATTTCTCGTATAGTTCGGTGTAGCTTTGGTCAAACCTTAATATTTCTAAATTGGGGATCCCGTGGATAGCGCTATCCAGCCTACAACTGGCCCCAGTAATCTGTCTGTATGCAATGCAACAGGACCGTTTTTACCGTAAAAGCAAAGCACTGTATCATCATCCATTCCCACCATTGCTCGCGCATTTATTTACTATTGGCAACTTTTGGCGTTTGAAATGGTCAAATAACTCCATGAAATACCTCAGTTAACTGCGTAATAGATCCTTCAGCATCTTTGAATCGTCTGTCGACGAGATATATTCCATACGAACATGGGTCTGCAATATGTTCGGCCATAAAACGTCCAAATCCTGAAAGATTGGTCGATACGGATGGTATCCCCATGACTGTGCACTCAGCTAAAAATAAGACGGTCATTTTATTGTACAGGTAATATTACATGAAAGAAAAAAGCTTTCTTTTTCTATTGTTCTTTCTTATGATGGGGGTGGGCTTGACATGATGGCAGGTTGATATGATGGTGGGGGGGGCATTAATATTATGGGGGTTGACAAGTTGATATGAGGCAGGTTAATATGATAGGGGTGGGCAGGTTGATATGATGGGGGTGGGCAGGTTGACATGGTGGGGGGAGGCAGGTTGATATGGATGGGGCAGGTTGATATGGTGGGGCAGGTTAATATTATGGGGGTTGACAAGTTGATATGATGGGGGGCGGGTTGATATGATGGGGGGGGGCAGATTGATATGGTGGGGGCAGGTATTATGGGGGTGACAAGTTTGATATTATGGGGGGCAGGTTGAAATGATGGGGGGGGCAGGTTGATATGGTGGGGGGCAGTTTAATATGATGGGGGATAATATTATAATATTATAGTTAATACAGAAGATTATAAATATAGAAGTCATGGCATTACATGTCTTAATATGGTACAAAACCTGGCTACGTTTATCTTTTATTTATTTATTCATTTATTTATTTATTATGCTTTGCCAGATACACACAAACTTACAGTACAATAATAAGCACAAATGATATACAATTACATGGCAGGGTATCCGCTACAGCTCACGCCGAATACAGCGGCCCTTGACAATAATACAACACAGAAGACAAAACAACGAAAACACATAATAATAATTCTCACACCTGGAGTGTATCCCCATGGCTCATAATAGGATGGAAATACTCCTAAATGACAACCACGCACAAACTCTTCGTATTCCATACCAATCAAAGGATTTGTTGCCGATAAAAATTCTGGATGGAAAACAATCTATACAAATAAAGAAAAACATTTAACTTAAGGATATTGTGCAATGTATATAATACAATGAAATAATTACTGGCCCAGAAGAGGAAGTACAAACGAAGCTGCATAATTTTCAGTAGCAGACACATTAACACGCATAATGTGTTCAAAAGATAACCCTGGACTATATTCCTACCTTCACCCTGTCTTCATCGTTATTAAATAAACGACAACGTCGAATATGATTCAATATTTGATCAGCTGCATCATTGACCACATTATGTGTCACAACAGGAGGAAGACTTCCTCTCTAAATTAAATACATTTATTTTCACCAAAGGTGCATTTGACTCGAATGAACTACATAAAAACCAGATCACTCGGCCTTACTATATACACTGGAAACTTTTCAAAATCCATACTACGAAAATTATCTATACGCATACTGTTTCCATACTATATCATCCATAGTATGGAAATGACAGTTAAGGCCCTGTTACACGGTGCAATTTTTCTTGCAACTTGGAATACAATTCTAATTTCAAGAGACGTAAATTAGTGAAGAGTCTTCAAAATGTAAGTGTAATAAACGCCATGGAGTGTAATAATAACAAAAGTTCGGTAGTCGCCAAATTTACATCTCTCAAAAGAAGAATTGCATTGCAAGTTGCAAGAAAAATTGCAGCATGTAATATGGCAGTCAGTATGGATATTATAAACTCCATACTGTTTCCAGGTAGAATCCATACTATTTCCATAATATGGATTTTGAAATGTACCTGGGCAGCGTAAATGCATCGCTTTAACTTTATGAGATCACCCGAGGATAACAATGTTTCTGCTACGGGAAGTTCACCTCTAAATAAAGTGTTAAGTAATAAACATTCAAAAATGTTTTTCCTATACTTCTATCGTTTGGGCGATTTGTTTAACCAAGGCATTTAACCAATTATAAATAGTACTTATGTACTGTCAGAAAATATTATACATTACCCAAGTGCAGATTCAAAGATTTTCTTGCCAATTTTATCTTGTAATTCATCGACTACATCTCTTAAAAGGCAAAAAAAAAGGTTTTGAAATATGGAGGATATCCAACGGGAACTCTTGCATTACACAGAGCATTCCAACGCGACTAAATAGTTTATTCTTAAGTATTGTGCATGGTATGTTATTCAGAATAATTATATACCTTAACTGTTTTGTCACTGCTTGACCTCTGAGGGAATCAACGTTGAAGTTGTTGGTTTGAGTTGGAAAAATCAGGAAAGCAACCACTGTTGTAGTACTGGACGTTGACTATAGCAGAAGAAAATATCTTTTTTTATAAGCACAAGCGCCAGATATGAGGTATGCTGCAATTTCATTGGTTGACTACTAGACAGATATTAGCTCATATCTGTCCAGTAGAGAAAGTAAACAAAATGGCTAAAAGATTTGAGGAGTTGAGTGAAATAGAAATCCAAGCTTTAGTTGATAATAGCACACCAAAATGTGTGTATGTAATAAAAGAGTTCATGTACGACTCGAGTTCGCAGAATAACTGTTAAATATCATGTGAATGCACGCGTTTGCTGTGGGGAGGTCCACAACTCCCCGCGGATGTTTTGCATCCCTGGTAGATCTTCTCTAGGTACAAGTCAAAGTACTACATAATTGAGTCGTGAATATTCCCTTACTTCTGCTGGATGTTTTATAGTTTGTTGTCTTGTAATGTATATTAGCAGCAAATCCACTGAAGTCAATGTACTACGGCTTCATCAATAGCCGACTATATTTTATACGTCAGAAGTGAATTGGATCCAACAAAATCCAACTCATCCTTGTTGTGACGTCAAATGATTAATGCAATTATATCACAAACCTTTAAATAATAATTTAATCTTGCTAATGACTCTATGAAAAGATCCACTCCTTTATTAAAATACTCATATCTAAAGAAGAATTGAGAATAAAAGTGATAAAATTTTCAATAAAATAATCTTAAAAATGTAAAGTCTTAAAGTAAAATCGTAAAAATAATCTCAAAAAAACAAAGTCTTAAAGTAAAATCGTAAAAATAATCTTAAAAAAGCAAACAAAGTACCTGCCAGCAGAGAAGAGATACAGCGTGGAATCTAAATCAAAATTGTGCCTGAAATAGAAACATCGAAATTACAACTGAGTATAAACCTACATTGCATGAAGCTATGTATCACGTATCGTGCGTACTGATTGGTTACACTACAATATACAGACGACTACATGTTTAAGATAGCCCAGACTTACCCAAAAAAGTGGCCGCGCACAAACTTGTGTATTTTATCTTTTGCTATCGCGTGTAGATTTTGAAATTCGTGTAAAGCACTGTCAGAAAGAAATGTGCAGGAGATGTTAAAATGGCGAATCTTTCCCAAGCAGGGGCCAGTTGTAAAAGATAAGTTAAGTTTTAACTGTAGTTAAGGGCGGAATTGGCGAATCAGAGTGTATTTCTGAGTTAACTAGGATTTAACTATGCAAAATGTAGAGGTTTAAAGGGTCGTAATTTCCAGTGTGGAATTATACACACTTCAAATTCAAGCCAGGAACAGTGATGGGAAAACAAGTCAACTATAGGTCCTCCGGCAGGAATCGAACCTACGCTTTTGCGATGCCAGTGCAATGCTCTTGCTACCGTTCAACCTCTAGAATTTACCTACACCGAGTGAAGTGCCAAAAATCATAATTGATTTACCCTATGCACAATGTAGTTAAAGAGATTCATATACCACCGGCCCCAGGTGGTTTAAAAACAATCATGATCATGACATCGCTACGCGACTGTGAACTTTTCGTCAGCGTGCCACAAATTCCACACTTAAGGCACTGTTACACTACACACGCATTTTTCCTTGCAACTTGGAATGCAAAATTGCAATTTTGTAATTTTAAGGGATGTTAATTAGTTAAGACTGCTCGAAATGTTAAGCCTTTACTCATAGTACGATGATAGTTCATTGAATTATTTCTTATTCTTCAACAATAGAGAAAGAAGAGGAAAACTCACGTGTACTTTACAACATTTAAACCATTCGGAAGTATGCACTCTGAAAGAAGAAGAAACGTAATTTTACTCCTCCGCACTAGAACCTGTTCCCCAAAAGGGAGTTATTTCGTAACTAGCTGAAATAAGTTGTCATTCCTAAAATTCTCTACTTTTTGGGAGTGTCTTTAACAATATTTCATACTAACTCTCCTGACGAAGGCCTTCAGGTCGAAACGTCGAGAAGCGTTTTGTCTACTTTAGGCAGTTGTTATACCACATTTGATGCAATATTAGAGAGTTTCAGCAGCGACTACGACTATAAGATTCGTCATTCTCGCGCGTTGTTTGCATACGCAATCAGCCAAAACTTGTAGTCGCCGAGCTTTTGGGTACGAATTTGTTGGTAAATTACGTACTCGAAAACACAACGACTACGAGTTTCGTCAGATGGCGTTGGCGAAAGCACCGAGCTTGGCGCAAAAATGACGAATCTTGTACTCATAGTCGTACTCGTAGTCACTGGTAAAGCGTCCCCATTGTTTAAAGGGCGGCAACCCTGCTGCTTCTTAGATACATTTGTGAAAGCATCATTACCTGGTCTTCGTTTCACCATATGTTCTGCTTCATCAGCAGTTATCAATGATACTGTAGTGAACACGTGAGCAGAGTGAACAGCGGATCTTTCAAGACAATATCGATGATAGATTCCACGATCACCTGCTTCCTAGAGGTTAAACACAAAGCGTATTTTTACCAATTTTTAATCCAGTGGGAAAGATTGAAGTTCATCTCCACAATACTTATGTTTAATGTATGGCTGAAGATTTAGTTAAAATTCAAAACAGATATAAAATATAATATGATATGAAAATAGATATGCTCGTTTATTATAATAAAATAAAATAAAATAAAATTCCTACCTTATCTATATTAAACTTTGGTAGAATATTGAGAAAAAAAAAAGATAATGGTTGTTAGTAAGACATGTAACCAGCAAACCCTGACACAACTGGGACGAACAGACCCAAATGGACCTGAAGCTACTAAAGGGTTCTTCTGGGCCATAAGCTAAGATATTTGGCCCCAAAATAACGCCTGGGTAGCTATATATGTGACAAACTGAAACTATTGAATTATAACATTCTAGTGGAAAAATTCCAAAAATCCCGTTTATCTGATCCCCAGAATCAGACATACCAAATCAATACAGCCGATAATTCAAAAGTGTATAAATTTGGGAAACATAATCGTGATGTAGTTATGTCTACAGTAAATTAGCTAGTAGGTGGTACACCACGTGAATATTTAATACTGCAAAGCTTACGTGGTACTAATTTACTTATTTGATGACACCATGCAAACGTACAAGAATATTATTAGTTATACATGTCTTACTCCTGACAGCATATTTAATTTAGGATATTGTAGTGTAGAACTGTATAATGTACTTACACTTCCAAGATTATTATAAAAGTCAGCATTGGCGGCACAGAGATGTCTTCCTAGTAATGTCGCGTGAGTTGTGAATATTGTAGTAACGTCAACATGTCTTGTTCTCAGAGCAACCAAACCAACACCTGATAACCACTCGTGGAAATGAGCAATGACAGGTAACGGTTCTCTCTTTTTAAACTAAAACCAATGGAATGGTCTATTGACCTTTATAACGTAGTTTAGGAACGTGCGCCCACTCGCGAGCATGCTTTACCCGCAGACCACGTCACGTACGGCGATTAATACTCTTGATAAATGTCCATGTCATGCATGCAGTTTATGCAGCCTAATCGCGAGCATGCAATTTTCCAAGTTCAGGATCTACTTTAATAGGGGAATGGTTCATTGGATCAACTGGAACTATGTTATACAAACTTGCCCATCATCGGGCAATAACTACAGCAAATTTCTGGCTAACATGTTCTTTATACTCGATTCAGGAAATTTTTAAAGGATGAATGGCTTATAATTCAATTTAGTTCTACAGCAATCGGTGTTTCCTAATTCCCACTCAGTATAGGCACAATATAGTGGTAGGGTTTAGAACGAGTGTCAGAGGTGTATTCCTAACAACAGAGATATACTTCACCTAACTGTTAGAAATGAAATAATGAAACTAACCTGAGTTATAAACCAACATACGAGATAGCCAAAAATCACGGAGTCATTAGCCTCAATATCAAGATGTGTAACACCAACACTACATTTCTCCCAGAGTTCTTGCTTCCAAGCATTCATGAATTTACTACCAGATCCAATATCCAACAACAAAACCTAGGAAGGGAAATAAGAAGATGCAAGAGGTAAGATGAAACAAGGGAAGCTGCCAGAGGACAATTTGTGGTACTGAGTTGGGCACTTCTCTTCTGTTTCTTATCATAAAAAGATGACCCAGGAGGAAGTATTATTATATTTATATCGAATACAAAATCGCACAAGGGATTGGTTGTGCTTTAAATCTTGCACATAAAGATATAACATAAGGACAACTCAATGTGCCCTAAGCATAATTATGATAACAAAATGATTGGTACCGGTACTTGTTTTCTAAAACATGTCATATATACAGTGTTGCACATTGTTTGTTGTACCTAATAAACAACTGAGACAGGGTAATATGGCTAGAAGTCTAGAAAGAATTAATTCAAATGTCAAGGTACTTTAACGAGACAACTTACTTGGGGGTAACCATCAATCAGCCATCTTCCAAAAACAACCTGGAAATATTATACTTGACATTAACTTAAATTTCACCTCATCAGCCAGTGGCTGCATGCTGGAAACAATGTGAAACAGTTAATTCAATAGGAATCCATGTTCAGTATATGACAAAGTTCAAATCTGACTTCTACCACCACCACTACTCTACTGTTCAGCATGAACATGAGCCAAAGAAATGTGAGGAGTTCATCAGAATTAAAAACCAATCACAAACACAGTAGATCAGCGAGAGGTATAAAGCAGACGTCAACGTAAAAACTGCACAAGTTTATGCTCTTGACTTTAGTCTGCTCATGGGCTGCATGGTTGTACGAAAGCTGGATTGCGCACAATCAACTTAACAGTGGTACTTTACTTCAATTCCTCTTAAATTAATCATTTTTTGTTTTTCAGTTTAACCTGGATTAAAATGCAGTTTTCCTAAATTGGGCATGCATTCTCTTTCATTTGCATTGCTTTCTAGGATGTTTAAAATGGTTGAAAAAATCATTATCCATTGGATACATGCAGCTATACAGCATTTACACAACTGGTCCTAGAATCTTAGCATAGAGAGAATACATTGCATTAAAGTGGGGTTTGGTACTAAAGACAGTAGTATATGAGAAAACCAAGATAAATGATTTTATGAATTGCATTTTCACCTTTATTCCTTCTTTTTTTAAATCCTCCATTGCATCCTTGATTGCCTGACTTTGTGGTTCACAAATTTCAACTTCCACATTGACGTTATGTTCCTTGTAAGGACCAACTAAGCAATATTGATTACCCAATTCCTCTACTGTGACCGGAGCTTTTGTTCGAATCACAGTATAAATACCACCAACTGCAACAACAAGAGTGATGACAAATTTCTTAGTCAACCAAAATTTCACTCAATTTCCACAGATAAATATTTTGTTGCCTAATATCTTAAGTTTCCCTTACAAAAAAATCCAATTGGATCTAATTGGAATTCCAATTATGGAGTCCCATAATGTTTTATTGTTTTAGAATTAGCACGTAAACATTACAAGGTAAAGGCAATTAAAGTACAAAAATTATTGGATAAATAATTGGGGTGGCAAAAATAGTAGCCTGGGCAGGACTATAATTTAACAATAAACTATTATCAATAAAGTGCTTTAAAGATAAAGTCCGTTCTGCGCATATATTCCGCGCAGCAACACATTCCATCAGTGGGGGAGCAACTTTTGGAATGTTAATGATATGCAAATATTAGCGCTTTGTATTACAAACGGCAGATCGGGAGCACAATTATTTTATTTTATGTCGCAAGGCGAAGAGGCTCGAATTGCAAGTGACGAAGATAACTTATCTTATCATAGGTAGCTTATATAAATATAAAAAAATTGTGATGTTTGAAAATGTTGCCAACTGAAATTCAGGACTTGCCTCAGCAACAATGTTTATAATTTTGACAAAATTTCGATCGCATGCATATCTATAAAGAAATTCAATCTTGCAAATAGAAGTGACTCCATTTATTTTTCAACGTAGTCAAATTATGCACCATCTGAAAATATAATTTCCAGGAATCCAAATAAGTAGTAACCAAGTTGTAGGCCAGCAATCATGTCGCTGACCAGACAATACACTTGGATTCTTGCCATTGCTTGTCATCTTTAATTAGTTCCAGCTAAATCTAACACTAGGCTTGTATCAATTACATAACTTTCTAATGCAATTTACAGCAATGCCTTCTAAGTGAGATACAGCAAGCCAGTTTATAGATCAGTATCAATATAGTTTCTGTTATCATGGTAGGAAATGTATGTGCATATGAATAAGCATAAAATTCCCTGTGTCTATTTGATTTATCTGGAAAATAGTGAATTTCATGTTCAAGTGAGTTATTTCACTCTGAAATTTGTTGCAAATTCTTTATATATACAGGTATGCAAAATTCCAACTGCAAATGCAGTGAAATATAAGCTTTGACCGTTTATATACAAGCAATATAGAAACAAAAGCATGACATGTATATAAATTGATTATCATTCGTTATTGATTGCTCACTTTTGATAAATTATAAATCAACACTTTGCAATTGTGATTTGTAAAATCACTAAATGCACAATGCATCTACGTTCAAGGTCTTAATATACAGATGAGTACAAATTGTATAGAAATGATGCTAAGAAATTGGAAGAAAACCTGATGTAACACAGTGTGCAATAAACACAAAATATAATGTATTTAGGTACGTGTATCTAGACGTGATGAAACAAGAAATGTACTATTGTACTAGTTCAATCTCAGCATCTCACCTTTATTTGCGACCTCCCAAGCGATTTCAAAAGTGAAATACCCAACATTTGTCGCCGTGTTAACATGACTGTTTGTATTTGTAGCCATTTCGATAAATACGACTGAATTCTACACAATAATAAACATGTTTTATGCAATTTCTTCTTCGTGGCATGCAAATCAATCTTTGAACTTCTCAACTTTCATTTTTCAATACTTTACTAAAGGCTCATTACTTCATCTTGCACGCATTTTCGGGCTTACAACTGGGTCCTGCATGTCGCAGCTCTCGGAAGTTTTCGTCCAATTGGATAATTCTTTTCTATGCTTTTCAAAGAACGAAGCCATGCTATTGGTTGAAACAGAAATGTATTAAAATTATTCTTGCGAGGAGCTGCGACACTATACCTTACAACTCACAAGCACAGAACGCAGAGGATAGAAGTTATTGAACCATGGCATCTTACCATAGGCAGCCCAGACGACTTTGACTTGCGCGTTTTGCGCGTGTGATCTGGCTCGCGGGTCGCGCTTACCTCGTCTATATATAATGACAAGGCATGCACCAGTCAATTGTATTACTCGTTTATTCAATCATTTTAATTGGTTCATTTGATCATTTCGTATGAATTGCCTGATTCGGAATATATTTTCTATGGGTTTAGCCGTTTAGTTCACACTCAATAATGTATATCGTAAAACCAATTGGAAATAACAGTATCTCCCACACGTATTATTGTTATATTTTCAACTAAATGTTCAATACTAAAACAGGTTACAATCTGGATGAAATATGAAATATTTAACACTGATGGATTGTTATTTTAATCACCGGCAAAATATATGTGAGTTACAAAGTTTTACAACTAAAAATTGTCGTGGTGCATGTTCTAAAGCCAGCCTATACAGTACCTGCATGAAATCTGGGTTGGCTTGTAACTATCATCAATATGTTACATTTTACAATATATTTTACTAGGTGAAAAATTAACGGTAATTGTTAAATTATACGACGTACACGATATTACACCGTTAAAGGCGGATTTTCACTTACAGTGGAAATCCGCCTTAACAGTAGCGTAGCCAGCCTGACGATTTGTCCCGCTATGCTAATATTATGGTGTTCACTGACTGTGAAAACAATAGATTTCAAAAGACATGAATAATTATAACAAGACGCCTGCTCACGGCGTTCACTCCGCCTGCATGCCAACTGATGTACATAATTCATCCGTGAACCGTGTAACCCAGGGCTTCTCGGTCAAAAATAAAGTTATTTTGGGTTACCTGTAGAAATGCCAAGTTCTGTCGCCCAAAACTAAGACTGCGCATACGCATGCAGGCGGAGTAATAACTCGAAATTTACATAGTGGGACAAAATCGTCAGGCTGGCTACGCCACTGACCGTTAAGACAATCAGTATGTTGCAATTGCTTGTTTTTAAAAAGTGACAAATACAGTGGTGCATCTGATAACATTTGCTATTTTGCTATAATCGAAGTTTACGGTTTATTTGCGCAGTTCGCTTATATACCAGTGAACTGTAATAAATAACTGAAACGATACCTCCTGATTGTTTTTGTGAAGCCAAAATTCGCGAGACTTTACCTCCAGACACGCGTGTTTCAGTACGAAAATTTTGGCTCGATTCGCGGGTGACTCGCGAGATCACTGCAGATGTAAAGCGCGAGATCACTGCAGATGCAAAGCTCGAGATCACTGCAGATGCAAAACGCGAGATCACTGCAGATGAAAAGCGCGAGATCACTGCAGATGCAAAGCGCGAGATCACTGCAGATGCAAAGCCCGAGATCACTGCAGATGCAAAGCGCGAGATTACTGCAGATGCAAAGAGCGAGATCACTGCAGTTGCAAAGCGAATTTGAAAGAAATTTGATTTTTTGTTTGTTCCATGGTTTTAATTTTTTTTATGGAATTATAATGGAATTATTCTTAAATTCAACCAGGTGACCTGTTTTACGAATTACGACTGGAGTTACCGATCGGATTAGAAACAAATTCTCTTAAACTAAATAGGTCCATAAAATGCATTCTACTAACATCAAGAATGTCTCAGCCTGCAGGAAGTACTACGCCGGCAGTTATTTATCGCCATAAATATTTTTGGAGTTCTTATCAGATTTACGAAATCACAACAAAATACTTTTGTTTTGGCCGTGTTTGTTTTAGCGTGTAAAGACTTAGTTTCACTTAGTTTGTTTTGGCGTGTAAAGACTTAGTTTCACTTAGTTTGTTTTGGCGTGTAAAGACTTAGTTTCAACTTCTGGTCAGAAGGTAGCGCTCCAGTTATTTTATTTTCACTGTTATATACCATGCATATTAAGAGGGAAATGACGTCACCAATGTTAGTTGACATCTTAACGAATTCCTACACTTATCAGACGATTTGGTTTTACCCCATGTCCATTCTCGTTGAAAGCGACACCTTGTAGGCCTAGGTTTGTGATAGAAGATGTTCGAAAATGTGCAGACGATGTGTCATTACACCAGTAATTGCATACTTTGTAGCAGTCATTGGTATACCCAGACACAAAGAGACCCTTAAGGAAGGATGTGTCACAGATCAGCATTTGATATTTGTATTTCGTCGTGGCCACACCACCTTTTTTTGCTTTCCATAAGCCATATGACGCTGCATTCTTATCATAATTACCAGCAAATGTGATAGGTGAACCATCAACTTTGGTAAAAGCTGCATTTTGTTTAGATGCTTCATCGACAAACATCACTTCAGTGAACTGAATAAAAGTTTTAATTGATGAGAAATGGTTGAAAAATATCGTCCACAGAATGTGTTAAATGACGAACAGAGAGAGAGAAGAAGGGCAGATCTGGCCTTTGTGGAAATAAATTACATCATCTCACATTGGATAAAATTATAATAATTTTAAATGCCTTTTAATTAGTTTCATTCCTAACCTTAAGTTCTAAGATATTCTTTGGAAATTCATAATCAAAAGCTTCGTTTCTCAGCTAAGTTTATTTCCAAAGTTGCACTGCAATAATTCATTTCCAATGGGAGGAGATGACGAATGGGAGGAGATGACGAATGGGAGGAGTATTATACTCCCCCCGGAATGTAATAATTATCTTGTTACGTAAGCAGTTTATAGTTTGTGAGATGTTTAATTTACTCACTTATAATAAAATCATAACTTCAAAAAACATTTCTTTGATCAATAATTGTCCCCCCCCTCCCCATTCATTTTAACCTGGGGCGACACTGACTGTGACTGTGTTTGAGGACGGCGAAAATGGTGCAGCGGTGACATTCCCCAAGCATTAATGTTCTCATTATTTTTAATTTCATGTAACATCCTTTTTGTTAATGTCTCCCACTAGTGATTTTTTTTAAATACGAAAGCAACGTGCAAAAATTCAGCGCACCGTGTCCGATGTAGCGAGGCTTGAGTTCTGAGAGTGTTTTATTTTTATTCAAAACATTACTGCCCATATAATTAATTACTAAGTTTTGTGTAACCTCTATGCATGTAGATTTAAGAGGGTGGTGTTCGTACATAATTATTTGTTGCTGTAATAAAACATTGAAAAAAAACAAAAACTTTAACTCTGCGCAACTTTCACGTTTCAATAATATCATATGCATGAAATATTTACCGGAATGTTGTTACAGTCTGCTCGATATCCCAGTTCAGGTGTAGTAGTGAGTTCAGTCTTTATATTGACATGACTGTCTGTTGTATAACACATTGTCCATCCACCACCAAATGACGTCATATCACACTTCACTTCGAATGGCATGCTTTGGCCATCTCCATCTGGATCAATCAAATATTTTCCGTCTGTGTACCCAACACTTTTTTTCTTAACATCAAGGCAACTAGAACCTGAAACAACTAGAAAATTATTGATTTTCATCAGAAAATGCTAACTTTTTTCAAACTGTCTGGTTAGCACATAATAAATTAACGCCCGTATTCTAAAAGTTCACTCAAACTTAAACTCATTGAGTGAAATGTTATTATCTCTGATAACGATGCATGGCGATATTTCCAGTCGAATTGGCTGGGCTTGATATTATCAGCTGTGTTTTACCTTAATTAAGGTGGTACTGCAAAAAAATCATGATTTATTCTGGGATTCAAACCTAAATGTATCACTAAGCGATCTGAATATTATTTTAAGAATAGATATACAAAGAGAATCAAACAAGTTTTATTAATAAGGGTTTTACCCCGGTTGAGCAAAACAAAAGGGGTCGATAGACTTTTTTTATAGTTTCATTGTTCTATTGTATTGTTCTCTAAAATTTATGAATATATGCAAAATTTTTTCGTCGCTTTTCTTAGCAAACTTAAATTCTCATTCCTCATTCTCATGGTCGCGCCTGCCTTGGGTGAATATAGGATTGAGGATTCCTAAATTGAAGATTTTTATATATTTCAAAATCAAAGAAAAAAGAAATATTCTGTAGTGGATCACCTTAAATCTTTCCACTTATTCAGAAAGAACTTTCTCAGTGACGAGCATTAACAAAAATTTATAAGTCACACCCAATGAGTGAGAGTGAGTAACCAGCTTTTTGAATGCAGACGTCTCCACCTGCATCTGGATCAATTAAATATTGTCACCTCGGTAACCTTCCCTATTATTTCTAATATCAAGCAAGTAAAACATGGAAAGTTTGAAAAATTATCATTTTTATGATAATGAAATTGTATACTGTCTGGTTAACGCAAAGCAAATTAGGCCATTGCAAAATCGAAAATTGTCCACAAATTTTCAAATGTGTACAAAACAAGCCCCCCTGTGAAATTTAAGACACGTCGACCTGCATTGTATTTTTAACTTAAGGTGGCTCCCTACAGTTTATTAAAATTGTCAAATACATATTTTGAACAGGGATATTAAGCCATGTAGATGTTTGGCTAGAAGACTAAACCTTAATATAAATTTTAAGCAACATATGTAGAGCCAAAATCTATTTCTAACTTTCGCTTGGCAACCGTTTCTATAGCAACAGAAGCGCTTCAAAATGACCGCCAAATACAGTTACAGGTTTTGACACGCTATTTTTTTGCATCAAAATTTCACACTTCGGATGCTTTAATGACAAAATAGTTTGTTCTGTGGTGTGCGATTTTTTATATTCTGAAAATAGTTACTTTAGCTCTTAAAAAAGTCGCACCCTACTGATTTTTTTTAAACTCTACTATTAATAAAGTATCCAAAGTTTAACATCTTAATGAAAAAAAAAATAATTAAGCTTGATTAAACTGTATTTGGCGGCCATTTGGAGATGCCTGTGTCGCTATAGCAACGGTTGCCGAGCGAAACTTCGAAATAGATTTTGGCTCCAACGAAATTTTTCTTTTTTGTTCGAAATTAAGTCTGCATGAAAGCGCCAGACAATGAAGAATTCCGCTCCGAGTGCTAAAATCTACGTGCATGCATAATGCAAAACAGGCTTAAATTTTTATAACAATATAGTTAATATTTAATGACAAACAAAAAATAACGTTATTGCAGCTTCTTTCCGACCTAAAATACAATGTCGTTCAGCTGCCATAGGTTTTACACGACGACTTTTTCATTTTTCGGAATAAGAACTTTTAAATTTGTTATTTTAATTTCCTTAAACTTCCCAGACCTATCTCGGAGGATCCCAGTTTTTAGGACTATATAATTGGGGAAAAATACCCTTGTTTGGAGATTCTACATGAGTCTTGCCAGTTTTTCCTAACAGAGAACTGGTGAACGGTTTCGACGTTTTATTGAATATTTTACCCTGTTGTTTGACAATAACATTTCATTTCAAGAGTAAAACATAGTATCCGTAACTTAATATTGTAAAATTTGGGTAGGAAAGAAAGAAATCTCAATGCACGAGTTAGTTTGCATTTCTATAATAATTATCTATCCTTTGCGTTACCTGATATTTGTGTTGTGTGAGGCTGGAAAGTTGGTGGAACAAAATATTTTTTGTCCTAAAAAATGTTATTAAAATTATAAGCGATATTTATACAGCGAAAATAATTCGAGATATGGATAAATCGTGGAGTAAAAAGGTGCGGATAAAAAAATAAATCTACACGGAACTTCATATAGATCGAGCCATGATGAAAAAGTCGCGAACCTTCGTAAAACCCGGCATCTTTTTAGCAACAAATATACGCGACAGCCTAATTAAGATGACGTCCAATTAAGCCACTATTAGAATAAGCAGCAGCTTAGTTTTCTATTCACGAATCAACTGCATTTCATTTTTTTTTATTCAAATGTTCGGAAACCTACAGGGTGTCCCGAAAAAAAAGTCCCGCCTGTTTAAATCAAGCCTTTGTTAGATAATGATTGCCTTAATATTATGATAGACAAGTATAAGACGCTTTATTTTAATGTTTCAACCAAATAACTATGGTATTTATACACTACCGCGTTGAGCATGCATTCAAATTCCGACAAAAGCTTCATTTCAATGGGGGGACTTTTTTGGGCACACTCTCTATAGTCGCTCGTGTAAGTGACCCTAATACCTTAAATTTAGTAGTCTATAAGATTTCGTTCACGCGAGACCAGGCGAATTCGTCCGGTTCTGATGTTCAGGTGGTAAAATCGGTTAAAATCATGACCAGTTCTACGTGTTCACACAAGAAAACCGGATAATTTCGACGTAACATTCGTTCAGTCCCGCGTGAACACAGCGCTCGAGCATTCTTAAGCTTAGATCTTTTCAAGGCATTATATGCAGATATCTTAAATCCCCCTTTTTCATACTTATCGGTTTGTGATGCTCACTGACAGGGGAAATTATTGCGTGTACAAGTACAACAGGACATGCAGTCTGTAGATCTGTAGATCGATTATACATATACAGAACAAATTAATTCAAAAAGCCATACACCTTGCAGTTACCTGCGGGAAGGCGAATGGTTGCTTGTAAGGAGCTTTGAAAAATTTCCTCCATTTTTCTTACCTTCATTACTATGTAAAGATGGTTGAATTCAGGATTGTGTATGCCAGATGTGTCAGTAAGCGTCGAATTATTGAGTTCACAAAGACCTTTTAGCTTTCCAGCGACTTTAAAATTCACAGAGGCGCATGATTCACCTTCCAAGCAATACATGACACATTCCACCTCATCTTCTGCCTGCTTTGTGTCGATGATATGATTTTTCAAGTGCCTTTGTTCAATTTTTTGGAAGACGGCCTGACTAGTACTTATATTTAGGCATTCTCCTGGCTGAGATAATTTTGAAATGAAAAGTAGCGCGAAAATGAGCATTAAGAAAGCCATTGAAGTTCAGGATGCACCTCTTGGAACACTTCGTTGCTTTTAAGACGCCAAGTTCAGCGGAGAACCAGATGTTGATTGTGTTTCCAAGGTACAAACGAAAACAGTCAGCTTACAAGCCATATATGGTCAACAGCTTGAAGAACAGGACACGGCGTTCTGTGTAAACATAAAGTGCATTAACATGAATAATTCTCCAAACAAAAGATTATTTGCAAAATAACTTTTAAAAGGACTTTAAAAACCTCATTAATTTTCTCTTTGGGTTGTTTTGACTCAATTGGATTGCGTCAGAGATCGGTTGGTGTCCAATTTTATACATCTTAAGATGAATTTTACAAAAAAAAAACGTGGCGTCAAGCAAATGGCACGATGCACCACATTTTTTGGCAACGCAAAACTTCAGCGGTTCCGCCGACGCTCTAATTTTCAATATTCAACATTTCCGCACAATGATGAGAAAATGTAAATATTCAATACATGTTGTCAGAGACGTGCCAACAAAGAAAGCCCAATTATATAATGCTTTTAGTGGCGCCATAAATGACAATTTAAACAACAATATTGTGTGGCCATAATGGACGCTTGCATCTTTTGAAATTTTCTTGCCCAATCTTGTCAAAAAGTAAACGAATTGCTTGCTCGAAGTAAACTAATTAGCCTCATGATGACGAATGCGTTGCGATTTTTGGGGTTCTTTTTTTAAATTGTAAGCGCAAGACCTTGTCAGGGCGGCTGTCTTTAATTTAGGCTTAATTATTTTATTGTTCAAATGGTCTATTGAATCTTAAAAAATGCTTCTTACAATGCTATTATTGTTTACACGCATTTAGGAAAATTGAAAGTACCCCCAAAATGGCGGATATTCGTCATCGTGACAAGGGCTAATTGTTTCTAGGTTCTTTGCAATTGACAATTTTTTGTGATATTTTTTAAGCTGTATGCTTTGTAGATAAAGAAAAAAGATCTTTTTGAAAGGTTATGTAACGATATGTTATATGTAGATATACGAAAATATACATAAAGCTTTTAAGTTTTAACGATCAGTGTCTAGTTGTCGGTCTCGTTCATTGGCTTTTTGATACCTGAATTCCCCTAAATACTTTTGACTAAGTCGTTGTTTCCTGCTTATAGCAACATCTGAAATAACATGAAAAGAAGATTGCATTTTTGATTTAAGAAACAAATTTTGTCGTTGTCTTTCAACTTCTTTTTATGTTCAACATCTTGCAAAACAGGAGACCGTTTTCTTTTCCATAAACTTGAATATGTTCAAACATGAATAATTATTCAAACAAAGGAATATTTCAAAATAAATTTAAAAGGAGTTTAAAATAATTATTTCTCTTTGAGTTGTTTTGACTGTATCAATTGGACTGCGTCAAAGACTGATTCGTGACCAATTATATACATTTTAAGATGAATTTTACACAAATAAAGTCGCACGATACACCACATTTTTTTGGCAACGCAAAGCTTCAGCGGTCCCGCCGTAAATATTGTAAATATTCAATACTGTTACCAGAGACGTGCCAACAATTAAAGTCCAGTATAATGCTTTTAGTAGAGCCATATAATGCTTTTAGTAAAGCCCAATAATATTATAGTGCTTTTAGTAAAGCCAAAGATGACAATTTAAACCAGAGCATTGTGAGGCCATAATGCAAGCTTGCAGCTTTTGAAATCTTCCTGCTCAATTTTGTCGAAAAATAGGGGAATTGCTTACTTGAAAAGTGAACTTATTGTCCCTCAGTTCTTTGCAATTGACAATTTTATGTTATATTTTTTAAGCTGCTTTTTAAATAGAAAAAAAATTAGATCTTTCATTTGAAAGGTTTTGTAACCATATGTGACTTGTAGATATACGAAAATATACATGAAGCTTTGGACGATCAGTGTCTAGTTGTCGGTCTCGTTCACTGTTTTTTTGGGTGCAGTTCGCCTAAATACTTTTGACTAAGTCGTTGTTTCTTGCTTAGCAACATCTGAAATAACATGAAAAGAAGATTGCATTTTTGTCTCGTCGTGTGCCTTATTGGTGTCATATGCACTGGAAAGAATGTTGTGTACTCAGGCGCTTTAGTATAGAAAACCATATGGCTGCATTCAGATATTGTATGGAGGTCAGCTTAGAAAAAGCGAGCGCGCGGGGGTGCTTGAGGTCCATTTAAAAGGATTAAATATTCAAACAAAGGATTATTTGTAAAATAGCTTTTTAAAAGGACTTTAAAAACCTCATTTCTCTTTTGGTTGTTTTGACTCTATCCATTGCACTGAGTCAGAGATCGGTTGCTATCCAATTTTAAGAAGCAAAGCTTAAGCGGTCGCGCCGACCCTATATTAGCTCTATATTCAACATTTCTGCACAATGCTGAGAAAATGTAAATATTCAATACTGTCACTAGGGATGTTTGACAATTAAAGCCCAATTATATAGTGCCTTCAGTGAAGCCATCAATGACAATTTAAACAACAATATTGCGAGGCCATAATTGACTCTTGCATCTTTTGAAATTTTCCTGCCATGCAATCTTGTCGAAAAGTAGACGAATTGCTAACTCAAAGTAAACTAATTAGCCTTTCTCACGATGACGATTGCGCCGCCATTTTTGGGATCCTTTTTTTAAATTGTTTGTGCAAAACCTTGTTAGGGCATCTGTCTTTAATTTTAGGCTTAATTTATTGTTCAAATAGTCTGCAAACTCTTAAAAAATGCTTCTTACTTTGCTATTATTGTTTAAACGCATTTAAGAAAATTGAAAGTACCCCAAAAATTTCGGATATTCATCATCGTGAGAAAGGCTAATTTTGTCGAAGTTCTTTGCAATTGAAAATTTTATATTATATTTTTTAAGCTGCTTTGTGAATGAAAAAAAAATTAGATCTTTTTAAAAAATGAAAAAAAAATTAGATCTTTTTGAAAGGTTTTGTAACAATATGCGACTTTTAGATGTATTATGAAAATATACATGAAGCTTTGGAGTTTGGACGATCAGTGTCTCGTCGTGTGCTTTTATGGTTTCATAATTATTAACTTGAGAGAATGTTGTGTACCCAGGCGTTTTTATAGTAAACCGTATAACAATGCATTCAGATATTGTATGGAGGTCAACTTAGAGAAAGTGAGCGCGCGGGGGTGCTTGGGGGCGCTTACGTTTCCTTTTGAGGAGAAATATTAATTGAAGGTGCTCTTTGAGACTCGTCACAGAATCGTCAGTGTATTAAAAAAACCGCCTGCATGCCGTATCTATATTTTATTTAACAGATTTACTCAGTGGGAAAAGCGAACGCCTTAACAATATTTTAAAGTCATATTCCTTTGCTTGCACGTTTAATAACATCTGATGACGAATTCAACGCTTCATTTTAACAACTTGAACTTGAAAGGAAATTGATTCCATGCACGATGCTTACCGGATATTGTAACATAAAATGTCCAATACTGATCAACCTATAACATATTTAAAAACCGGTGTATCTAGTAAAAAGCTAATCTATATAAATCTTGTTAAGATGCGTTGCACAACTACGGAATTGATGACTTTAAAACAGAAACAGAATGACGAAATATATTTGTATTTGTAAATGTGACATCCCAGAGGAACTAAACTTTCTAAAAGTTGGTATTCTGTGCTTGTGACAGTGACTTTATTATATCTTGCATTACAATCTTGCTAAATTGCGAACTAATGATACTTTGCGCTCCATTGTTAAACTGTCCGCTTAGTCCCAGGCCTCGTAAGCGCGCGCTGGTAATTATGCAGGGGGGGCAGGCCACGCTGAGAGAACTGGCACAAAATGTTGGGCCGGATTTCAAAAATTGTCTCGGATTTTGTCCCTGATGCAAATATTTTGAGATCAGCATTGCTTGAGAAAAATTTTCTTGCCGCCATTTTGAATTAAGAATTAAAAACATTTTGTGCTAGTCCTATCCTGCGCGTTCAAACCGGTGACATCAAAAGAATGCAAGGCACTCCGACTAGGGGCTAGTCTGTTGAATTTAATGAGAATAAAAGAACTGTAAATTAGTCAACTCATTAACGAATTCCTACGCTCATCAAACGATTTGACACCAAGGCATGGCCATTTTCATTGAAAGCGACACCGTAGTAGCCTTTGGTCAAAGTAGATGTACGAAAATATACAGACGACATGTCTTTACGCCATTTATCGCAACTTTTGTAGACGTTATTCGTATATCCTGAGAAATGGAGGCCCTTAAAGAAGGATGTGTCACAAATAAGCATCTGATATTTGTAATCCGTCGTGGCCACACCATCTTCATTTGCTGTCCATAAACCATATGATTCTGCATTTGGCTTATTGTAATTACCAGCAAATGTGATAGGTGAACCATCATCTTTGGTAAAAGCTGCCTTTTGTTTAGATTCTTCATCAACAAACATCACCTCAGTGAACTGAAAAAAAGGTTGAAAATTATCTTCCGACGTATACAGACAGAATGCATAGCCGAAGAGGATCTTTATTTGAAAATGACGTATATAACGAAAATGACGTTAAAACTATGCGATGCCAGATTTTTTCGCGTCGACAACTACTTCCAAAATATTGGAATATGCAATCGTTGATATTCATTTCAAATTTTTAGATTTAAAGAACGTTCATTTTAACGTTTTATGTGTTCCAAATTTTAGCAGATGATCATTTCTTGTCGAGTTGAACCGTGGCCTAGCTATAATAACTACTCTCCTTGTTTTATATATAAAAATCTATATCGAATTGTCTCCGGATAAGACGAAGTTGCTATTAAATTGATGTGGATTGAATATCAAGGAATATATCAAGCCATGCGGCAACCTTGTGGGTGCAATGAATTAGTGACGATAAAAATTCATAAAACAGGTTTTCCACAAGCGATATTTTGGCGCGAAGCGACGTTTTACGGTTTTAGTTTTTCATGCAGAGCTATCAACTGCAAGGATTTGGAACAAATTGCTTAAAAACTGCTTAAACGCAAAAGTGTAAAGTCGCTTGGCGCGAAAAATATCGCTAGTTGAAATAGATAGGTAGATAATATATATATATATATATATATATATATAATTATATATAATATATTATATATATATAATATTAAATATATTATTATATATAAATATATATATATATAATATATATATAATAAATAATATTATATAATATATATATATATAATATATATATATAATATAAATAATATATATATATATATATATACACAGCCAGAAACGCGCAAGTTGCAGCAGGCCTGCTGCAGACTTGATGCAAGTTGCGATCATCAAGCCGATATCAGGATGCGTTCGCATCGCTTGCTCCGGCTTGATAATATCAAGTCTTTATAATAACTTGTAGGTACACCACGTAAGTATTAAATACTGCAAAGCTTTCGGTCCGTTAACCCGGACCTTCATCAGTGCAATTACTTGAATACACGTTTGCGCGTCACTTAAATATCATGTTAGTCGTGATTAGTTTGCTCGCGCTATTAATTAAACCGTTTCATTTAATTAAGTTCTAATCAATGCGCGCGCCCTAGACAAGTATTTGACTAAGAGACACCGAAAAGAGCACGCCACGTACTATTAAGTGGCTTTCCCTCTTGGACGATAGTTTGATGTTTATAAATTTCAATAGATTCTCTCATTTTACGAGAGACAGTAAACTTATCGTTTGCTAAAATGGTAGCATCGTTCCATTTAATGCGATGATCATAAGTCCACGCATGGTGAGCTACTGCAGACTTATCCAGTTTACCTTTCTCGCAGTTCGTCTTATGTTCTTTAAGACGTATTGAGAGATTTCTACCGGTTTCTCTAATGTAAACCAAACCACATTCACATGGAATGCGGTACACACCAGGTTTCTGTTGTTCATCGACGCCATCCTTGTGTGTGTAAAGAGCGCGAAACAATTTGTTATTGCTAGAATGGTAAACTTGTATTCCAACTTCTTTTAAAATCCTAACGATTTTATATGAAGCTGGGCCAATATATGGTAAACAGACAGAGGATAGATATTCCGTGTCTTGCCTCTGTCTTTGCTGTTCATTCATAGCATGTTCTATGAATTTCTTAGGATAACCATTCATGTGCAGAACATCCTTCAAATGCTTTAACTCTGAGTCAATGCTATTTGAATCACAAATTGTTTTGGCACGGTTGATTAATGTTTTGCATACTGATCTTTTAATGCTAGGATGGTGAAATGAACTATAATTCAGATATCTGTCAGTGTGTGTTGGTTTTCTATAAACTTTATGGCCCAAAGTCCCGTTCTCTTTTACATCAAATAAGATATCTAAGAAAGATATAGAGTTATCTTTCTGTATTTCTAATGTGAATTTAATTGAAGGGTGTATACTAAAAGGGTGTATACTATATTTAATTGAAGGGTGTATACTAGGGTGTTTTTTTGTTGTCTAGGGCGCGCGCATTGATTAGAACTTAATTAAATGAAACGGTTTAATTAATAGCGCGAGCAAACTAATCACGACTAACATGATATTTAAGTGACGCGCAAACGTGTATTCAAGTAATTGCACTGATGAAGGTCCGGGTTAACGGACCGAAAGCTTTGCAGTATTTAATACTTACGTGGTGTACCTACAAGTTATTATAATTACTAAAGTCGCCATGCAATCATACAAGAAAATTAATATCAAGTCTGTTGCAAGTTGTTAACAGACTTGATGCAAGTTGTGAACTGCAGACTTGATGCAAGTTGTGAACTGCAGACTTGATGCAAGTTGTGAACTGCAGACTTGATGCAAGTTGTGAACTGCAGACTTGATGCAAGTTGTGAACTGCAGACTTGATGCAAGTTGTGAACTGCAGACTTGATGCAATTTGTGAACTGCAGACTTGATCCAAGTTGTCAAAAAGCGAAGTGAGGAAAGCGCCTTATGAAGCTTCGTATATCCACCATTTTAAACAAAAAACAGCCAAACGGTAGCCATCGAGGTTGCCATACTTCGGTCGCGACTTCGGTTTTAATGTTTCGTAAAATAACAAGCATTTTAACACTTGTGAGATAGGTTTTGACTGAGCAAAACAAACAAACAAAATATTTTTCTTTAAAATAGTACATACACAAAGCTTCAATAAGGCGTCTTCCTCGTTACAGATTTCTCTTGAAATTGGAAAGAAATTCAGTAACGAATTTCATATTCATATCAACGATGTCGATGAACTTTACTCAGTCGTTCATGTATTTTCATTTGTTAAGCTTTTTAAATCATGTATTTTCGTTGCCACTTTTTCAAAAATCAAACCAGCTTTGAGCTTTCTTCTTTTGAGATTTTTTTCTTCTTCGCTTTATTAGATTTTAGCGAGGATTTTAGTTCGCACTTCGCACTTGTTAAAAACTCGAAATTTTGTTGACTCAAAATGAGACAAAAACAACCGAACTTGATTACGTGTTTAATATCTTTGTAATATTTCGTCCAATTGCAACGAGGATAAGTGAAGGGCATAAGTACCTTGAAGGATATCTTGGATCGAATGACGGAAAAGATAAGTATATTAGTTCTTTAGTTAGTAAATGGTGCCAGCAACTTCACGTTTTGAGTGAAATTGCCAAATTCCAACCCCAAGCAGCATACACGGCGTTTGTCTCGGGTTTTCGGCACAGATTTACTTACCACATTCGTGCCGTTCCAGGTATCAAGACCGCGATGCAGCTTGTTGACGACACCATCAACCTGAAGCTCCTTCCTGCGCTCCTCGATAACCGTAGCTTGTCCATCCATGAGCGACAATTGGTTTCGCTTCCAGCTCGTATGGGAGGTCTTGGTATTCCGATCTTTAACGACATCTGCGATGAAGAACATTTGAACTCCACAACCATCTGTCATCTTCTCTCAAGTAGAATCATCCACCAGAATGGTACACCATCAGCAGAACATGGAGATTCCATCCACGATCTTCGCCGTGAGATTGCAAAACAACGTCAAGCTAGGAACTCGTTGCTGCTACAGAACTTGAGATCGAGCATGAGTGAAGAGCAGATTCGAGCAAATGACCTCGCCCAGTTGAAAGGATCCTCAGCTTGGCTAACTGCTCTGCCACTTGCTGAAGAGGGCTACATCTTGACCAAGCGTGAGTTCTTTGATGCAATCTACATGCGTTATCGATGGCCTTTGAAACGCCTTCCATCTTTCTGCGCTTGTGGAAAATCGTTCACGGTAGATCATGCCCTGTCGTGCCTGAAAGGAGGTTTTATCCATCGAAGACATAATGAGATCCGTGATCTACTTGCTGCTGCTATCGATGACGTTGCTTACGATGTTTCAATTGAACCTGCTCTTGCTCCTTTGACTGGCGAGGTTCTTCCATCCAGTGCTAACTCAGCCGATGACGCCAGAGTGGACATTGCTGCGAGAGGTTTCTGGCAGAGATGTGAAAAGGCATTTTTTGATGTAAGGGTGTTTAACCCATACGCCTCTACACATCGACGCCAGACGTTGAGCAGCTCGTTTAAAGCCAACGAACGGGAAAAGAAGCGACATTACAACCAACGGATTGTTGAGGTCGAGCATGGCTCCTTCACACCGGTCGTCTTCAGCGCCTTTGGCGGATGCGGAAGAGAGACCCAACATTTTCTTTCCTTCCTGGGTGCGAAGCTGGCTGACAAGAAGAATCATTCTCCATCTATGGTGGTTAGCTGGTTACGACGAAAGATCGCCTTTGCTTTGCTTAGAGCTCGCGTGGTGTGTGTTCGTGGCAGTCGAAGTTGGAGGACTGCGTCCATCACATCAACTAACGACATTACGTTGTCGGAATGGAACTCCAACATTAGCGAGTAGTCTAGTTAAGTTGTTATTGCAACGAGGATTGATGGCGAGTGCATACGCGCTTATCCAGTCAGATTAAAGAAATGTAACGATAGTATACGTCAGCAAGTTGTTCCTAAATTTCAATTTTTATAAAATTTATAATTATTGCGACTTGCGAGAAATTTTCTACAGCTGTCCATTTCAACTCATCTAATTTTATTGATTAGAAATAGCTGTATGGCTAAATAAAGCAAAATAATCTTTTTGATTTAAAATACAAAAATCTACCATGTAGAGCAATAAAATATTGTTATAAACTGTGAACCTCGTTGTGAACAAATCAAATAAACTTGTTATCAAGTTACTACAGCAAACGGCGAATTATCAAGTTGCAACAAGCCTGATTTTAACGACTTGCTGCAAGTTGTTATCAAACTTGTCAGGACTTGTTAGCCACAACCATGCTGCAAATTGTTTGAACAACTTGCAGCAAGCCTGTAGATAACAACTTGCCGCGAGTCTGATTTTCTCAACTTGCATCAACATTGATGTGCTCATAGACTTGCTGCAAGTTGTTCCATCAGACTTGTTAAAACTTGATATCGACAGACTTGATTCAAGTTGATAAAACAAGTTGCATCAAGTCTGCAAGTGACAGCTTGCAGCAAGCCTGGTTTTCTCAACTTGCATCAGCATTGATGCGTTCGTCAGACTTGATGCAAGTTGTTCCATCAGGCTTGCTGCGAGTTGACATTTGCAAACTTGATGCAACTTGTTTCATCAACCTGCATCAAGTCTGCAAATGTCAACTTGCAGCAAGCCCGATTTTACCGGCTTGCTGCAAGTTGATGACGTCAACAAGCTTGCTGCAACTTGTCGACAACTTGCAGCAGGCCGGTAAAACCCGCAACTTGCAGCAAGTCTGTGGCGTTTCTGGCTGTGATATATATATATATATATATATCAAATATGTATTTAGAATCATATATGAGTAGAGTGCTCGATATACCAAAGTATAGAGCTAGTATAAAGATAAAATAAAATAAACTTGGTTTACTTCATAAGATTTTATTCACTACAAACTTGTTTCGTATGACAAGCAACGCTTGCCACACTCATCAGGTGAATTTAAATGTCGCGCTATGTTGTTAAGTATATATAACCTTGGCAACAACATAGCGCGACATTTAAATTCACCTGATGAGTGTGGCAAGCGTTGCTTGTCATACGAAACAAGTTTGTAGTGAATATAATCTTATGAAGTAAACCAAGTTTATTTTATTTTATCTTTATATATATATATATATATATATATATATATATATATATATATATATATATATATATATATATATGAAATCCCATGCAAATGTAATCATATGCAATTCTAATTAGACTTCGAGTATCTATCTATCTATCTATCTGCGGCCAACGTTTTTGCAAATGGGTGTATATCTGGAAAGATAACTTCCTTACTTTAAGCGCGCGAAAAATGCAGCCTAACCCCCAGTCTTCCTACGCGGTTTGTACGTCAGTTTCAGTCCCCCAAACATCAAAATCACGCGGTTTGTACGTCAGTCTCAGTCCCTGAATGCAATCCGTTACACGGCCAGTATAAATTTGAATGCATTCACGAAAAAGATAACCAACTGAATCAGACTGAATGCAATGGAGAAAACCACTCAAAAACACATATCTAAAATCTACTGCATTGAGAATTTAAGATGAATTGAGAGAGGCGTGAGGAAAACGTTTTCACTGGGAAAGTTAGTCTAAAAATGCCGATATATTGCGTCGTTTCTTCGTGCAAAAGCGAACAGTACGGAGCTAGAAATTCTCGCTAGCTAATTTCGTTTCACAGGTTGGTAAACTGACTTCGCCGAAGTCTGCCGCAAGTTTTTAAAATGTTTTTTTAGTTCGTCGTACCGAGATTGCTTCAAAAAGTGAGACAGTGTTTCATTTAATTGCTTCGATAGCTAATTCAACAGTGAAATTTTCCCGCCCAAAAGCGTAACTTAAAACATCAAAACACCATTCAGCATATGATGGTAGTCATAATAATTTACGTTATAAGTTGAAACTCTTTTCCCAGTAGATGCAAGCCCTAGCATCTTTTGTACAATCAGCTATCGGCATTACATCCCGTTAACAAGCATTTATATGCTGAAATGCACTCGGCGATCACAAACCGGAAATGACTAATAACTGCGCAGAAGACTATATGTCCGATATGATGACGAATGCAATGACGTGTCGTTTGTCGTAGCTTCACTTAATCGGCCACAGTTATCATTCCACAGTTATCATTCCATATATATATATAATATTATAATATATAATATATATATAATATATATATATAATATATATATATATATATATATATAATATTAAAATATACAGTAGTCCCCCGCGAACTCGAACTCGCTTAACTCGAACTCCTCCCTAACTTGAACTAAATCCAATCCCCCTTGGATTTGGTAATTCTTTTATAGTAATTTACTCCGCTTAACTCGAATTCGCTTAACTCGAACTCCTCGCAAATTCGAACAAATTTTGTTTTCCCTTGATCAAATATATCCGGTTAACTCGAACTTTGGTTTCGAATCATAGTTCAACAAACTTTAAAATGCGAGAAGATAGCACTTTGACAACTATTTTGGAAATTATCGAAATAACAATGTTCAAGTTAATGAAAGTGTATAATTGATTTTAAATTTCAAAAGATTTTCCGTAGTGCCACGGTTGTTTTTGATCAAGCTTTCTTAGTTCCTTTGGTATTCTTTCGATCTTTTTAATTTAACGTCGTCCTCTCTCGGTGACCATTCATATTTGTAGGCATGATATCTCTTGAAGGATGATTCGATTGGATTTTATACCTTATTGTATTATTTATAAAAAACGTAATCTGACACCAACTCCGGTTAATTCGAACTCCCGGTACTTCGAAAGTTGGACTTAGCCAGGGACTACTGCATATACACTTTTGGAACGTCTTCGTATTCAAAATGAATATTAGGCGAGTTTTACGGCGGTGGGACACTATGAAAACTTTCGTCGCAACTTGTATTTAATTTCTTCTACTCCTGAGGCATCTAAAGTTTACAAATACGAAATATCTTACGGCCGATAACGTTTTCTGAGCATATCGAACACTCTTAGCAAATTAACATCCCTCAAAATTGGAATTGCATTACAAAATGCAGAGAAGTTGTAACAGCGCCTTAAATTATCTTAAATAAGCAGAAATGACTTAAATAAGCAGAAAATAAAGATTATGATTCGTAATGGTTTAAAAGGAAATGGATAATATGATGAATATTTACCGGAATGTTGTTACAGTCTGCTCGATATCCCAGTTTTGGTGTTGTGGTGAGTTCAGTCTTTATATTGACATGACTGTCTGTTGTATAACACATTGTCCATCCACCACCAAATGACGTCATATCACACTTCACTTCGAATGGTTTGCCTTGGCCATCTCCATCTGGATCAATAAAATATTTTCCATCTGTATATCCAGCACTTTTATTCTTAATATCGAGGCAACTAAAACCTGGAAGGTTTGAAAAATTATCAGTTTTACAATAGTAAAATTTCCTTACTTTTTTAAACTGACTGGTCAATGCCAAGCAATGCCAAGCATGTACAAAATAATCCCCCTGAGAAAATTAAGGCACGTCCCGTATTGTATTTCTAGCTGAATTTACTTTCTTCTTTCTTTCTACGCAGGCGGATTACTTTGACATCATATACCTTTGTGAGTGATGCAGCTGTCGTTATGTACCTGTAAAGAATACCTCATGTTACAAATAATTGCCAGGGACCATGATCGTTCGAAAAAAAGTTTAGTTAAGATACAGGAACAACTGAACCAACTCCCCAGGTCCTTTTGATAGGTTGGATCTTTGTCTATACCCAAAACTTTGCAAGAGCGTCAATGCAGATATATTTCGTGCGAAACGACATTTCGCTTCAAAAAAATAAATATATTTTCCTACATAAATAAGTGATAAGCCTTCCCAATTGTTCTCATTTAACATAATATAGCTGCACTTCCGTTATTTCTTCTTAGTTTGATTGTCAGGCACACGTAAAGGTTACTTACTTACTTTCCCACATAAATTTTAACATAATTGAATTTGTTTGGTTGCATGTTTAGTTTAATCTGAATCATAAGATTTTTACAGGTGATTTAAAAAGGAGTTGGCCACGCACAACAATAATTTATGAATAATATGGCCTCCTAATTATCGAGATGCTGGCCCGAATTTGTATTTTACACGAAATGCAAGGCCAACGGTTCGAGACGAGAACACATTAGTAACAAACGATAAGATAAATGCTACTTTACCTTCTGTGACTGATCAAAATAAATGTAGTCGTAAAAACTATTCTCTTGCAACTGTTCCGACGTATTATTGATCACATCATGTAACATCTCACAGAGATTGGCCTCAGCTTGTGCTAAACTTTCCTTGTAGTTCAGAGATCTACAACATGGTTCTTTTACGCACGATGATATGCATTCAGCTTTGCTTGAAACGTTTGCCTTCTTCAGAATTGAACTGTCTAGTCGGAAACCTGTTAGGCGTGAATCATCGAAATTGACTTTAATGTATAATTTATTCTCCGTAGTGGAAAACAGACCCAAATAGTTAACTTTTATATAATAGTTCATTTTAAATGACAAACGGGAAACAACATCGCTGCTTCTTTCAATAATATAAAATACAATGTTGTTCAGCTGCCATAGGTTTTACACGAGCTCAGTAGCGTACCAGGAACGATAATTGGGGGCATATTCATATATCTGTGATACGCAGGATTGATTTCTTTTCTAATCAATTGTTGTACAGTTTGTTAACATTGAGGGAAACAATGTATCATTGTCAATTTGGCCGGGCAATCTGCATGAGTCGTGCTAGTTTTTTCTAACGAACAACTGGAGAAACAGTCGAACGTGATTGAATCATTTCAGGCTGTACATGGTTGGATAATAATTTAAACACACATTTAATTTGAACATTGTAGTAAAACATAGTATTTTAATATCATTAATTTTTGTGGGGAAAGATAGGAATCTATTATTTTATCCTTTGCGTTACCTGATATTTGTGTTGTGTGAGGCTGGAAAGTTGGTGGGACAAAATCTTTTTTCTTCTGAAAAATATGAATAAAAATTATTAGGGACTTTTAGCTTAGCATAATACAGCGAAAATAATTCACGATGTGGATAAATCGTGGTGTAAAAAAGGCACGGACAAGAAAATAAATTTACACGGAACTACATCATGCAGATATGATTAACAAAATGAAAAATGCACATGCATTGTTTGATTTATTATCAGATAAACAGAACATCGTATGTAGTTTTTCCATTATACATAGAACAAATTCATTTAAAAGGCCATACGTACACCATGCAGTTATACAAACAAGAAGACGTATAAACGAGCTTTGAAGCCGTTCCTTTTTTCTCACCTTTTTGACTTTGTAAAGATGGTTATATTCTGGGTCGATCGCGTGTGCCAGATGTCTCAGTAAGCGTCGAATTATTGAGTTCACAAAGACCTTTCAGCTTTCCAAAAATTTTGAAATTCACAGACGCGCATGTTTCATTGTCCAAGCAATACATGACACAATCCACCTCATCTTCTGTCTGCTTTGTGTCGATTTCATGATTTTTCAGGTACCTTTGTTCAATTCTTTTGAAGAAGGCCTGGCTTATATTTAGGCATTCCCCTGGCTGAGGTAATTTTAAAATGAAAAATAGCGCGAAAATGAGCATTAGGGAAGCCATTGAATTTGAATTGAGAAGACGTCGTTGCTTTTAAGACGCCAAGTTCAGCAGAACACCAGATGTTGATTGTGTTTCCAAGGTACAAACGAAAACAGTTAACTTACAAGCCATATATGGTCAACATCTTGAAGAACAGGACACTGTCTTCTGTGTAAACAAAAGTCTATTAACATGTATAATTATTCAAACCAAGTATTTTTACAAAATAGCTTTAAAAGTACTCTAAAAGGAATAATTTTTTGGCTTGTTTTGACTCTATCAATTGGACTGCGTCACGAAAACAGTCAGCTAAGAAGCCATATATGGTCACAATCTTGCAGAACAGGACACTGCCCTCTGTGAAAACATAAAGTCTATTAACATGAATAATTATTCAAACAAAGGAATATTTAAAAAAAAATTTAGAAAGAATTTAAAAGAATTATTTGTCTTTAAGTTGTTTTGACTCTATCAATTGGACTGCGTCAATGACTGATTCGTGACCAATTTTATACACTTTAAGATGAATTTTCCACAAATAAATCGCACGAAACACCACATTTTTGGCAACGCAAAGATTCAGCGGTTCCGCCGACGCTATATATAATGCTCAATATTCAACATTTCCGCACAATGATGAGAAAATGTAAATATTCAATACTGTTGCCAGAGATGTGTCAACAATGAAAGCCTAATATATAGTGCTATTAGTAAAGCCATAGATGACAATTTAAACAACAACATTGTGATGCCATAATGCACGCTTGCAGCTTTTGAAATTTTCCTGCTCAATCTTGTCGAAAAATAAGGAAATTTCTTACTTTAAGCTGCTTTTTTAATAAAAAAATAGATCTTTTGAAAGGTTTTGTAACCATATGTGACTTGTAGATATACGAAAATATACATGGAGCTTTTGAAAATAAGTGTCTAGTTGTCGGTTCCTTCACTAGTTTTTTGGGTACAATTCGCCTAAATACTTTTGACTAAGTCGTTGTTTCTTGCTTAGCAACATCTGAAATAACATGAAAAGAAGATTGCATTTTGATTTAAGAAACAAATTTTGTCGTTGTCCTGTAACTTCTTTTTATGTTAAAAAAAGTTTAAAAAGCTCGTCGTGTGCCTTTATGGTGTCATATGCACACGATGGAATGTTGTGTCCTCAGGCGCTTTGGTATAGTAAACCATATAACATTCCATTCAGAGATTGTATGGAGGTCAGCGCGCGGGGGGTGCTTGAGGTCAGGTTCATTTAAAAGGATTCATTATTCAAACAAAGGGTTATACTTCATAATTATATTTTTATATTAGAATAATTATGCTTTTTCTTTGGCCGGCTTATTCACAGACAGTGCTCAACACATTGTAGGCATTGATCTTCGAACTTATGTAAGCTCTAACACCATCGAACGCAAAACAGTAATCCCAATACGGTATAAGCTTACGTGTGAGCACAATTGAGGCGGGGAAAACAGTCCAAAACGCACGCAGAATGGGTAGACACACTTTTGCCAATGGTAACGACAATAATAGATCATAAACTCGTATACAATCTGAATATATTTTTAACCCGAAATTGACGATATGCAAATCGTGAAACGTGATTCGACTAAATAGAAAAAATACATAATAAACCTAAATTAATATAGTGTAACTCTAAAACAAACCCTTACAATAACTAAATACAAATCAAAAACGACTTACAGATGTTTTCCCAGTAACTCAGAACTTTACTTTAGCTTGTAGATTTTGCCTTTCACTTGCGAACCTTTAGCTCCTTACTGCCAGAATACCTCAACTATACTGCCAAGTTCTTGGTCCAACTGCATGTCTTACCCAAGTTTAAATCTAGTTAACTTAATTTCCTATGGTACTTGAGATTAATAATTAAAGATATATGTTTTCCTGTGATAAGCACAGTTGTCACTAACGAACATAACATAGACTAGCAGTTCCAAACCTACACTGATCAACCTATAACATATTTAAAAACCAGTGTATCTAGTAAAAAGCTAAATCTAATTCATAAATCGCCTTTCTACAGAATTGATGACTTTAAAACAGAAACAGAATGACGAAATATATTTGTATTTGCAAATGTGACATCCCAGAGGAACTAAACTTTCTTAAAGTTGGTATTCTGTGCTTGTGACAGTGTCTTTATTACATCTTGCATTACCATCTTGCTAAATTGCGAACTAATGATACTTTGCGCTCCATTTGTTTAATTGCCCGCTTAATCCCAGGTCTTGTAAGCGTGCGCTGGTAATTATGCAGGGGGGGCACCCACGCTGAGAGAACTGGCACAAAATATTGGGATTTCAAAAATTGTCACTGATTTTGTCACTGATTTTGTCCCTGCATGATGCAAATATTTTGAGATCAGTATTGCTTTAGAAAAATTTTCTTGCCGCCATTTTGAATTAAGAATTAAAAACATTTTGTGCTAGTCCTCCCCTGCGCGTTCAAACCGGTGAAGTCAAAAGAATGCAAAGCATTCCTAGTAGGGGCTAGTCTGTTAAATTTAATGAGAATAAAAGAATTGTAAATTAGCCAACTCATTAACGAATTCCTACGCTCATCAAACGATTTGACACCGAGGCATGGCCATTTTCATTGAAAGCGACACCGTAGTAGCCTTTGCGCGAAGCAGATGTACGAAAATAT